CTTCCACAGCACATGTAGCAGGTGTTTCAACACTTACACAATCCCATCTCCCCTCAAAACATGTACTGGACAGAAAAAAAAGATTTTAATAAAACTGGTAAATGTACTGGTTATAATACACTCTGTTTATGTTGTATTGCATCAGACTTACCATTCTTCCCGTCCCTGTCGATAGATTTCTCCAGAGTCATAGATTTTGCCGTGCTTGCACTGACACTCAGACTGAGCAATGCACCCTCTCATGGAAATATCATCAAACACGGTTCCTGAAGAAGAAAGTTACACTTAAGTTTACTGGCTATGAACTGAAGTTTGGGTTATATGTGAATCACAGGTGAGGTGAACAAACCAGGAGGACAAAAGCAGCCGTCCATTTTGTGGTCTTCACACAGGGAACTTGTGTCCTGAAGTGTGCAAGTATCCATACAAGGTGAACCACTCTCATCATAAACCATGTTGTACGGACATTCTTTGGCTGTAAGAATAATCAATATGATCATCTTTGAGATAGGTAGAGTATTACTGTTGTTTTACAGTAATACTCTTTCTGCTCATTAATAACATCTAAACTGAGAGCTTAAAAACTGCCTTTCATTCACCAAACAGATTAACAGATTTTTTTTAATTGTATCACTGTGATCTAATCTCTAGACCATATTTATTTAAAAATGATAACCTAATAGAGAAAAACTACTCCTGAAAAGTAGAAAGAAACTTACCACAGAGCTGAGCTGTCCTCCAGTTGGGAGGCTGCCCTCCTGCATGAGAACACTGTCGAGAGAACTCTGACAGTGTGCTGCAGACACAGAAGTCATTTGTAATATTGTCACAGCCACACATGTCCTGCACACATGCCTGGATGTAAGCCTCAGGGTTTATCAGCTTGGTGCACGAATTCCAGGACTCTGAACGGAGCATTTTTTCACAGGTGGTTTTCTAAAAAGATAATAGGAATGAAAATGATCATGGTTCCAACAACCACCAGGTCAATACTGCAAAAACTGGATGATGAACTGACAAACTCCTTGCAAGAATCCAGCTCATTCACAGCCTCTGCTGATTCATCTTCCTCTTCAAAGGGATCCTCACAATCATCATTAGGACGATGGGCTTTGTGTTGATTACCAAACTCTATTGGGCTGATTTTACGACCTGCATATGACCAATTCATGATGTCAGAAGTTGTATCACTGAGGAAAATTATCATTATAAAATGAAAAAATGTACATACCATCCTGAATGAACTCATTGTAAAGAGGAACACCATTGAAGTCTCCACAAAGTCCACAAGTGCGGTTTGCATAATCATGATCAATTTCAACCTTTAAAACAGAGGATGTAAGTCTTAGAAACATTCTATAAACACCTCTGAAATATTTAAAAGGTAAAAACATTACAAATGAATGGAATACAATTATCATACAAAACATAAAATATTTTCTATGGCTATTTTCCCGTTTTTTCTTAAAGAAAATGAACTTTGGTTTAAAGTTTTTTGAAGATTTTGTTTCAAATGAAATTAGTCATGTTTTTAGTTTAATCGTACACTAATTAAATGATCACATTTATCTAAACGTAACCGCACATCAAGCGGTTCCCTTCTCTGTAGCAGTAATACAATGACATGTTCCAAATTACGGCATAATCCGAAGAATCATCAAAAAGGACTTTGGAAGATCTCAATTTGAAGAACAATTGTTATTAATGCTTTGTGTTTTTACCATGACTGCATCATCACTGTTCCACATGACAGTTATCCCAACTTTGGACTGGAGCTTGATGTAAATGGCATTTTTCTCCACCTGAACCCCTCCTTTGTGGAACGGTAGTGTGACTCTGGTAAAAAAAAAAAAGAGACCAATGATAAGATGTTTTAACAGTAAATGCTACAACTCCTTCCACGGGAGAGATGTCATCGTCCTTGATACTTACTGTTCATTGTTTACGGTCACCCAACTCTTGCTGAGGTGGAATGAAAGGTCATTGATGGTAACCAGCACATAACTGACGGTAGGGTTTCCGTCATTTTCTTTCCTCTTCATGTGCACTGAAAACTCCTGATAGGACTCATGGCAGTCAGAGACCAGATTGTATTCACACGTACCAGGAAACTGGTACACATCACCATCAAAGGTCTTGAAGTGCTCTCTGCCCCATGTGCTGCAGATACTGCTGACATGGTTGCGAACTGGAAAGGTCAAAAAGTTTGTGCCATCAAACTAACAGTGGAGGATGTCCCATACAATTTGTCATATTTCTTTTTAGAAATTCTAATTTAACATGATAAACTTTACATTACATTAAAAATCTGAGCCTTACCCAGCAGGCCTTGGACCTCGGTAAAAACGGACAAAGCGAGGAAACACAACCACGCAGATCTCCCCCTCATCTTTGCCATGGTGGCCTTTCTTTCACCAAAGCTGGACGTGGTCAGACTGCACATGACTCCCATATATATTGAGATTGCACTATTTTTTTCTCACACCCTTTTTCTGAATAGGACCAGAAGTTTTACTACCAAGACACAGCAAACATTTGCTAAGGAAATGTTTGACGCCATTCAAAAGTCCCCTATAAATTGTTCTTACATCGTCCTTATCTCTTTTTTGAACAAATGTGTTTGCACTTCAAACAAAAATGCATACTCATACAGGATTATTAAGGCTGTAAAAACGTGTGCTCTTTTCTTTTAAATTGATTTTTAAATAAGTTAGAATGTGAGTAATTTTTGACAAATCAGTGTCAAAGACTTTGATATTATATTTAGGCACAGATTGCTGAGCAACATCAAAGACACATTTTCCCATTATGGTATATTTTACTGATGATGAAAATAAATATTTAGAATATTTACAATTGATAAATTTAGATCCTACAATTCTTTTATCATTTGTTGTAGGGATCACAAATATCTTGTGAATTAGGAAAATGTTTGTTCAAACCAAATAAAACATTAAGTTTAAGCTTTGGTTTGCATTTATTATTGCAGACTGCACAGTCTGAATGTTCTGTGGTTCTCTTTCGTAGCTTGATGGAATTTGCTATCAGCTACTTACATTTTGAGAAAAAACAAAAACTGTCTTAGGTTGTTTATGAGAAAAAGAAGCATGGGTCTAATGAATGGAAGGCTTTTAGTCTTTGAATTAATGATAGGCAAGGGATTATTTCAATACATAACATAATAAAATGATGTACCAAATCGCAGTTTTTCTTACGCTCCCATCATGTCATCTTCTAGTCAGATGGTATTGGGTTTCTCTAAATCACCATGCCTTTGTCTTGTTCTTCCATCACAACTGGAGAATTTGTCTGGGTAACAATTTGAGTGGTATCTTCTAAAATTTAGTCATTTTACCTTTTGTTTTGTAACTATTTTAATTCAAATCAAAATGTGGGATGAATGTGTTGGTCTATAGAGGGGACATGTGGCCTTCAATATTTTGCATTGAATCTATAATATTGGAGATTTACTATATGTATATATAAAATGCCATACGCTGGCTCCACTTCTCTTCCACTTTACTTATGAATGAAACATACCGTGGTAAAACTCTGAAATGTCTTTCAACATGAGATATCTGAGCTCTTTTTCCTTCTTGAGTGGAATATTATAAAAATTGACTTATTAGAAAAAACACAGTCGCAAAATATGTTAAAACATTGGCGTACACAGTGTTAAATGTTGCATTTATTATAGGAACCTTAAGAATGAGAAACCATGATGTTTTATCCATTTTTAACTGCTAACAAACAAAAAAGAAATATTTAATGAAACAAGCATAAAAAGATTGATGAGACAGGTCTTTCACATTTACTAGTGAAACTTGTTGCTTAATGAATCGTAAAACCGTAGCACTTTAAAGTTAATATTTGCTTTAACTAGTAAGAGTACATAAACCATTATCTTAATTGCATTTGGTCAATGAATGGCACAGGATGTGCATTTGAGGTGACGACGCAACATCCTTGATGACTGTCATCCTCTTCCTTCACCATCTCTTTAACATACACAAGATTTGGTATTTAAGAACCAAATATTTCAGCCATGCAGGGCTCTGTGTTTCGTTCCTTAACAAATATCAGTAACTCTGAAACCTAATATTAAGGTGCTTTTTTAACCAATCTGCCACACGGTTTGTTGTGTTGGTTTTGGGTTTGTTCAAGCAGGTCACGCCATCCTTTCCAAATCTTCTCCACCATTTCATGCTGTTGAAATTGTATTCGATAAGTGTGAAATCTGCAATTCCAAGTTAATAACAAATTAAAAGTCTTCTGGAAAGTTTTCATATAATCTTCCAGCCAAAACTCCTCGTTAGAAACAAATAAAAAGTCTTCCGGAAAGTTTTCATATAATCTTCGAGCCAAAACTCCTCCATGTGCAAATAGGGCTTCAAACCACTCCCACAGGAGGACAGCTGTATGGTGAGAGAGGCCCTCCGTAATTACTTTTGTGTTGATTTAAGGTGGACAGCACATTCACCAAATAATCTTAAAACTGTTTTTGCAATGCAAATAAGAGCATCAATACAAGTAAATTAATTTTGTGTATAGTTTATCATATTTTTTTGTTTTCCACAGATTATATTAGTGAAATAAATACAGAATGAACTTCAATTAATAAGCCAAAAAGTAAACATCAGTCAAAGTGTCAGCACTAATTCAAAAGTCAATATTCTGGATGGAGGATGTGTTATCAACGTGTAACCAAAAGAGTGCATGAGACAAATTCCATCCAAACACCCCCACAATTCAAACATCAAACCCACAGGTAAAGTCCCATGGCACCAGCTCCATCTATGACAAAAAAAACAGCGGCTAAATTGAAATATTGACCAAGGAAATTTAATTTAATTTTTTAAATGAGGAATGATTTTGTGAATGTTACTTGTGCAGTCTATTTAAAATGTCGCAGTGGGCATAAGATGTAAGCAGATGGTGCTAAGAAAAATGTGACCTGCAGGTGGCGGTATTGATTTCGTTGTCAGGCAACAGAGTGTAACAAAGCTGCGCATGCGCAGCGTGGTTATCACTACACGGTAGCTGTTTGAGATTCAGCTGCATCGAAGTGAAAACAACTTAGATCTTTGAAATAAAGAGTTACCAGCGTGCAACTCTCCTTAAACCTGGTCCCTATGGGTGAGTTTGAATTTGTCAAGTGTATAACTGATAGCTAGCGCCAGGTTTGAATTAGTACAGGCTAATTATACGCGACTAGCTTAACCATTACACGTTTTGTTCTGCCACTTCTGCTCCAAGATGCACACGGTGGATTTGGTGTGTTTGGAGCGTCTTTATTTAATTCAAACCCACATTTTAGGCCTACGCTTATCTTTAATGGGATTTATTGAGTGGACATTATATTGCTCTGTTTACCGTCCCAAGTTTATAACAGGCCATGGGTCGATCAGTCCGAAAACTAAAACCTGTATGCAGGAAGTCTAGTGGAAGCCAGAACTATTGCAGGACTATTTTCTTAGGTTGCATTACTTAACTCCTTATTACAAAGATGAACACAAAACCTTCATAAAGTAAATCTTAAGAGAATTATTCAAACCTTAAGTAATCACCAAAAACTAGATGCGTATGTGGGATCAATTAAAAGAAAGCATGGCTGTTGGCCAGTTAATGGTCTTTAAATACTTTGAAAATACGTTTGGCTCATTTATGGTCTCATATCACCATATTTGGGCTTCTTTTAAAGGAACAGTAAAGCTTGATCTGTTCTTGTCATCTTGTATTCATCATGTTGTTACACATGGGGCTCACCTCTGATGTGTGCCTTTGTTTTTTCAGACAACAGTGTTGATGGTCCTGAGCAAGAGGAACAGGAGAGTCCATCAGCTCCAGCCAGAAAACAGTCTTCAGTTATGGACCGTAACCCATCTCCACCCCCGGAGAAGGCTGATGGAGGGAAGGATGAGGACGTGGATGCCATCGGAGACACTGTTTATAGCAAGCACTGGCTTTTCAGCACCCTGACTCGCCTTATTAATGTAAGCAGACCGAAACTATCAAGTTAGAGCTAATTGGACAGAAAGGTATTCAGATGTTAAACAGAGTTCATAGTGTTACCCAAATTCTTTTAAACAGGTCTGGTTGGAGACCTTTACACCCTTCTTCTGTGTGACTAATGAAAACAATTACAAATGAAGTCACTTCAATTAAATTGTGTTTTATGTGACTGAAACTCTCCTACTGTAGTGCAGAACACTGTTTCAGCCCACAAGATAACGGTTATCTGTATCCTAATGCCTGGAAAGTCCATTTGTATTGCAGGTGGTTACAGAGCAATCAGAGGGCAACTCTGAAGGTCAGATGAAGCTCTCTGATGATGATGAGGATGATCTGTGTCGAGTCTGGGATATGGCCATGGATAAGGTATAACCTGTCGTGTTGTGTTGCATATGGAATTAAGAGGCAGATTCAACTTGTTTCACATGACAAACAATTCATAATTGGAATTCTTTAGTGAAATACGATTAAGCAGAAGTAGTTCCCAGTTCGTGCTTAGTTTTTACATTTGATGACACTGTTTAGTAGAGTTAAATGTTTGGTAATGACGGCATGTTGATTTGCTGAACATTAACGCAGGACGTGGCAGGTTTTCTGCAGGAATTCAAAGCTGCTGATATCCTTCTCGGGGTGATAGCCAAATCGCGGTGTCCTCGCCTTACTGTGAGTAAAACCTCATTTAATACTTTGTTTACCATGTGCTTTCAATATTGATATTTCTGAGTTTTACTCTCTTTTATATTTCTGCCCTTAAATAGGAGATCAGTGTAGGAATCCTGGGGAACATTGCTTGTTTTCCTGAAACATGTGCCACTCTCAGTCAGAATGAAGACTTGGGGTGAGTAAAAACAACCATCTGCACTGATCAATAAATGGATGCTACAGTCTGGTGGAGCAGATCCAGATATTTGCAACTCTCTGTGCATCCACAGTGCTGTGCTGTTGCTTCTTCTTGGAGACACAGATCCCCCGACCATTCTGGAAACCAGCAGGTAATGCCTGACCTGTCTGTAGACTTTTCAGAATGAGGAAATGAGAGGACATACTCATCCTGTCTGTAAATGTGTGCAGACTGCTGCTGACCTGTCTGTCTCAGAAAGACGTCAGCTCTGTGTGGCTTCAGCGGATACGACAACAGACATCTGTGTGCTCCAACCTGTGTTTCATCATGTGCAGCTCCACCAACAGTACTGTCCTTTATCTCACCTCCTTTCAGGAAAAAACAAACTAACAAATAAGATACATGAGAAAGGTCAGTTACATATATATTTGTGTGGTTCACAGCGGATCTCCTGGAAAAGGTTGGAGAGCTCATCGACAAGTTGTTTGACCTTGATGAAGAACTGATGAAGAGCTGGATCACAGCTCAGCAAAGTCAGGAAAAGGAGGATGATGATGATGATGATGATGGAAACCATCTAGACCTGACCTCGTGTCTCATTGAGGCAGCTAAGCAGCTAAGGTGGAAACAGAAAGAATGTTGCTGTTATTGAGTTTGTCACGTCTACGTTGTTATGTTGTGTTGTCGAGCTAAAACAACAGCAAGTGTTCAAACTGGTGTTGCTTGCTTTGAATGTTTTCACAGGTCAGAGAGTCCCAGAGGCATGGAGGGGTATCTGCACATCCTCCAGCTCCTCACCACTGTAGAGGAAGGCATTCAGCTTTTTGGTAAGACGCTTTCTCTAGAATTCCGCTGTTATTAAAGTGATAATAGAAGTTTACCACAGTTATTCCAGTATGTAAAAACAGTGATACAAGCTTTTTAGTGACTCATTCACTGGCTGATTGTTCCCTCCAGCCGCCCCTGATGGGCCGGGCAAGTCTGCGTGGAACCTGGTCTGTGACGTTGTGTGTGAAGACCTCTGTCAGTCGGACGATCTTCCGGTGGTTTTGCATGAGCAAAAAAGCATTTTGGTCCATGCGTTGTCTGTGCTGCAGGCGCTTTATAGATGTCAGGACCAGTGGTGCAGCAGCAGTGAGAAAAGTAAGTATTCCAACAGGTGCCCTGGTGTCGTGACTGTGATGATTAGATCAGAGGTCATAGCACCCGCACAGCTCAGTATGGTGTTTAAAACCAAACAAAAACACATCTGTGTGCAGTTACACTTTGCAGTTGATCATTTTCCTATATATCTGTTAAAATTCTTATTTTTTTTATTCAGTTCTGCCTCTTATTGGGACCATGTTGAGGGTGTGCCAGCAGCAGAGCAAGTGCAACGAGGAACCCACAAATGAAGATGATGCAAAAAAGGAGCAGCAGCAGACTATTTCTGACATCACAGCTGAGTTTTTGGCTGACCTGGTCATTCACATTTCTAAGGTAATATTTGCTGTTCCCCTTTCACAGTTCAGTCAGATCATCTCATTGGATTCTTTGGCACAGCTAGTGACATGTTTATCTTTTTTCTGTTTTTTTTCTCATTGCAGGACATGGTTATAAATTTGATAGATAAAGGTTTTCTGACACAGAAGACTTGCCTCACAGCTGCCGCCTGTTTACTACCTACATTTCAGACTTCAGTAAGTGCTTTATCTGACACAGTTCAGGTTTAAACTCTGCAGTTTGTCTGCTTTTTATAAGTTTATAGAACCAACACCATTATCCATAGATCTGTACATTCCAAACAGGGGTCAGTAAAAATGTAATAAGGGTTTTATCTTAACTGCTCTATTGTTATGTTCTGCAAAAAATGATTGCAGATGAATATAGTCAATTAAGACTTCATTACCCTAAAAATGTAAATGCAAAAAATTGTTGTTTTGGCAGAATAGCATATTTGTATGTCAAATGTTTTTTCTTTGTTTTTTTTTTTACACTAACTATAATGTGGAAAAAGTCAATACATCATCACTTAAACTTTAGACCAAAAAAAAAAGATCTCGTCTTTTTATTGGATTATCAGATGTTAAAATCTGGGAAATACATTCTAGCTAGGACCAGACATGACTTTCCACAACGCAGTGACAAACGTAGTGTAAAGCCACCAGTCGCATCCATAACTTCCACAGATTTCGTCTCTCACATCACTGCAGAAGATTTCTGATCCCCTCCTCTCAAAACTCTTCTCCCCCAGCAACATTTAAGTCAGGATGAGGACAGATAATACTTTCTGATTTATTTTGAGCTTATATGCTATTAAGTTGTGTGATGGACTGCTGTCACACACCAACAGCTTTTGTGGAAAATAAACACTGTGTTTCCACCTGCCTTTTTCCTCCTCCTGTTCAGTTTCAGCACCTACAGACCATGTTGTCAGAGGCAGATCCCCAACTGGCAGACGTGATGAGGGCGCAGTTTCCTGTCTGAGGCTCCCTGCAGATCTTTTTCAGACTCCCACCACAGCTTTTTATAGCAGCCATAATTTCCTCTCCCAAGATCACACTGCATTTTAGAGTGTTTGCCTTTCCATTGGAAAGACACCTTCTCCAATGTTAGACTTAATTATTGTAATTGTAATAATGAGGACAGACTCTGCACCTAGGTTTATAAAATGTATATAAAGTTTTTTTTATATTTCTTTATTGTTTACAGTATGATATTTTTGTACCTGGTCATTAAAAGTATTTTATGAAAAATAAGTGCTTATGATCTTTTGTTTAATCATTGATACTTTGGTAGGGCACAGATTAAAAGCAAACACAGGATCAATCTGTTGAACAGTGTTTGACTTATTTGATAAAGTAAAAACTGATTAGAAAGGATAAATAATTTACTGCACTTAAGATTATCTTTACATAATACAAAGGTTGCTAACTGGCAACCAAAACAAAGCAAAGACGCTTTTTTTTAACCTGAAACTAATAACAAAATGTAAGTATTTAAATTTCCTTCCAATTTTTCATATTTCATAGTTATAATTACAATCTACATAAGGTCAGTTTTACTCCCTTTCTGTTCTTTAAATCCAGAACAAATCTATCATCGTTTGGGATGACGAGCCATTTCCAATTACTAACACGTGTACTTTTAATTGTCATACGAAACTCCTTTTAAGTTTATTTTAAAATACACATTTTCACATGAGACGAAATTGCATTGAGTCATCTTCTTAAGCATATGAGTAATGGTGCTAATGCTGATGACAACATCAAGTGTGTAGCAGAGGGTGACAGTCACTCTGTAAGAACAATAAAATTAGATGAAAGGCTGGAGGCTGGCAACAATAAACTCATTTGGTTTCCAAATGCGCCATTTCACCCACTCATGTAGAAGAGCAGACCAACCTGCGCACTTCCAGCAAGCTTGCGAAGGCTCTGTGAATATAGCAGCTTTTTAATTAAAGCACGGATTGATATGTAGAACACTCTTTCTAATGGAAATCCCAAGGTGGTTGGTGTGTACATGAGGCAGAGATCATCCTATGGGGAAAAAAACAAACCCTGTTTTTTAAAATGTGTTCTCGCTAAACATGAGTTGCTTCTTGTCTAGACGTAAAGCACATGGATTTAGTGATGCCTTCATGTGAGAGCCCTGACATGTCAGTGTTCTGAATGGCTACTTGTAATCATGCCTGGCCTTTCAAGACTGTTTGTGGGCAGCGGCTTGCACTCAGCCAGCTGTGTGTAGCTGGCAGAGAGCAGCTGCAGGCTTTGCTGCAAGGCGAGACATGTCACAGCGATCAGTATGAAGCCAAGATGTCCTCTTCTGTCCTGCCAAACCTAATATTTCAGCCTCCCCGTCTACACAGAAGCTTGATGCTATCTGTCTTCATGAACTTGTCATAACTGGCTGTTCCCTTTATGTGTGATGCACAGATCATTGACACTAAGGCTTTTTTAGGTCTCTCAGGTGCTGATACAGGATGTCAGTTAACTAACTTTCTTTATGACTTGCTCCGGTTGATATAAAGCCCTTTTCACTGACCCGAACGTTTGCACCACAAAGAAACATATATATATCATTTTTGTGAAAATTCACATCCTACCCAATTCACAATGACTTAAGATCAATAAGAGTATATTTGAAATTACATACCATCATTACATTAAGTTGATACATTTTCATTACAAGACATGAGCAAGTCATCCAAATATAACTTCTAATTGAAAATAGTCCACAAAACCACATTTTACTCAACAGCTGTTCATGAAAATAGACAATAAAGCTTGGTTGAAAGCAGAATTTTCTTCAGACAGGATTATCATAATGAACCGTTCTGAAAATAGCTCCCTGGCTCTGGTACAGGAGTTGTTGCTTACAGAGTGATAATGAATAGAGGAGGTATACGTGCACAGTTTCACGTTGCTTGTCCTTTGATTCCATGGCCTGACCCATTCACCACCACCTGGTCAAGGTGTGTTAATACAGACACACGGTGCTGGTTTGTGCAATCAAAGACCTGTTCAGCTCATTTCCTGAGTTTCCTGCCTCTCTATCTCTTGTCAACAGAATAACAATGAAAGGTTCCCTTTACGTGATCCCCGAATATCCCAGACGCAGAGCATTCCAGCGAAAAGGATGTGTGAACAACAGCCTGCTCTGCTTCTTCAGCTGGGATATCGGTGATGATATGGTAAGTGTATGGAAACAGTGAGACTGAGTTTGAAATGTTTACATACACTATTTCCAGCTGTTTAGAACCATAAAGAATCATCACTTATGAAAGTGACAAAAGATCATAAATAGAAAAATAGAATATCATTAAAAGATCGACATTCTTTTTTTTGCACAAATGTATTTATTTCAGGGGGATGATAGATAAATATTTGAATAAAATGGTCTCTGTTTTGAAAAATGTGTTTATCTTGTCTCACATTGCATATCAGAACAATGCTCCTATTATATAACATGCTAATCGACCTGACGTGTTCAAATAAGGTGACAAATAAACAGAACATACTCAAAAAGGCCGCTTGTTCATTTCTTCCAGTCATGTTTCTTAACGCAGGCGTCGTGAATATGAGGCTGTTTGCGAGCACAGCTCTGTCCTGTGTAAACTGACGCCCATCACCCAGCAGCATATGCCGCTGTTTGTTCTGGCACAAAAGCATTGGTGCTAATTAAGGAGATGCAGTCCTGCAACAGGAAGTGTGCGTAAGCCGACCATTCACTGCCCTGAGTTAGTTGTTCAAACAAGCCTGGGCATCAGCTGAAAGACTTTATTTCTATTGATGAGGTGCGATCAGAAGACCTTGAATCTCTGGAAATTCAAACAGGGGAAAAGGACACCAGACATTTTATCATCCACAGCAGAAAAAGTGTCTCCCTAAAAAAAGATGTGGAAAAACTTAGCCAATAGCATAGTTTGATGATTTGAAATTTACTGAGACCATATTATAAAGATAGTAAAAAACAAAAGAATTATATCAAGAATAAAAATAAATAGAATACAAAATCTGTACCTGGAAAATAAAAGGTATTTTCAATTCAGATTCTGTTCATAGCTATTTATTTAGAGGTGTTTTTTAAATCTTTTTTAATCTAGTTAATGTTCTTGAGTGGTTTCTTTGCACTGTGGTCTAGATTAGCCACAGAGAGCTCCTGCAGCTTGACGCTCAGACACTGAGAGTAAATCCCTCTGATTGGAATGAACAGAACTGGGACAGACTGGCCACAGTCCAGCTCTGATACTCAGACATGTCTATGACAAACCTAAATCATACCAGCACGTCTGGGGGTGTTACTTTATTTAGCTGTTATGTGTTTCTATTGTTTGGGTTGAGTATTTTGTGCCGTCTGGTTATCTGGTATGCCTGCAGAGGCAAGAGCCTTTCTCTTTTTATGGTAGTAGGTTTTGTTATTAGTGTAAGTATATTTTCCAAATGAGATGTGAATTTAAATTCAATGAAGAAAAAATTAGTAAAGACATTTGGATTAAGGAGCTGGGGAAAATGAGGATTCTCAAAACCTTTGAATGTTCTTTCAAGTCAAAGAAACAATATATATGTAAACCATTTGCATGGTAACTGTTAACTATTTTCAAGGATATTAGAGTGGGAGTCTAGCAAAGCACACAGAAACAATGTACAACATCTGTATTGATAATAACATGGAATCTGACAAGCGAAAGCTAACTAACTTGACATTGAGGAGATCTGATCCAGAAACTGTCAAGACATGAGAAGATCAAAGGCATGCCCAGAGCCTCTGAGGCACAACAGAGGGATCTGTGAAAAGTAGTTAATTTTGATGTGCTTTATCCTGAAGTGAACAAGCTCTGTTCAGTAACTGAGATTTAGCACAACTGCAGGTCAGTGCTGAACCCAAAACAAAGCCGCACCTCCAGCATTCATCAGGCTTTGCCCTTCCATTTTACAAAAAAGGAAGTCATAACATTTATTATTGGAATGTGCAGACAATAAATTATCAAATAAAACCATGTTTTGAGGTGTCTTGTTAGGAGAATAAATAAAAATGGACAGCCATGGCAATAATAGGAGTATTTCTAAAAAGTCTCAACACAATAGTGAGAGCAGTTCACCAATCTTATATATGTGATAGTAACCTATTATTCCATGCCAAAAAATATTGTTTCTGTTTCGGTAAAAGTCCATCAAGAATGATAACTATTTTTACCATTTGTGAATGCCAAATTGTGAGACAGCAATAATCCCAACCATCTCACATCCCACTATTTCCCTGATAATTTAAATAAGACTTTTAGGAGGACTTTTTCTAAACAGCAGATTGAAAGAGATCTTTGATCTATTTGGAGATGTGTTGACAGCTTCTATATTGCTCGATTTATCTGTCAGATCATTCAGAACCCACTCAGAATCATGTTGCAAACATGAACAAAATATTTTTAGCCAACCATTGAAATGCTTAAAATAGTTTTAGTTCACTTATTGTTGTGCTTTGTTTATCGGGCAGTGTTTGGTTTGTTTGCACGGTGAACATCTTTTGTGGGAGGATGCGATGCAAAGCTCAGTCCAACAGTCGGGTAAACACGCTCATTGAGGCCTACGTGACCCAAAATAGAGTCTGTCCTGCAAACTCCATTCCCAGAGTGTACTGAAACATGCTGAGAGGCAGTACCAATTCCTCTCTAAGTGGAGTTTGTGTGTTGATGGTCTAGACACTGAGAGGCTTCTTGCGTAGTTAGGAGTGAACTGCTCCTCCATAATAAACCCCTTTTTACTGTAGTCTGCAAAATGTCTGGACAATGCAACTATCTAATACGACATCAGAGAGCAGATCTGGGTTCAGCTCTAGAAGAGGAAGTTCCCTTCATTGCTTGCTGGGTTGTGTAAAGCCTCAGCTCATGTCACGAGTGACACGGACCAGGACCACCTGAGACAAACACGGTGTGAATCAGCCACATGTGTCCCTGCATGAGCTGACAGACAGATCTCCCCTGTCCCACCTGTCAAGTGCCTGAAGCTTAGAGAACAGTGGTGTTATCTGTTTAAAGTAATGAGAGCTCCTGGTGAGGCCTCCCCAGATCACTGCCATCTTGTCTGGCCTGTGCTTGCTGCAGCCACTGGAAGCCTTTCCCACTGATTGCCCTGATCTCATTAAAAGATGCAGGGTGTTAATGTGAAGAAAACCCTCTGATTATGTGTATTATGTGCACAGAATGCCAAAGGTGCTTACAAAGCAGGGGAATGGATTTTGAAAGGGGGGCATGTTTGTATTACTAGGGTAACAGCAGGTGGTCTACTCCCAAATCCTCTTAAAGTTTGACCTTTTCTTTATCTGAAGGTCCAAACAAAAAATAAAAAGAAGATGCTTCATCACTCACATGAGTACTGGTGTTAGGACATGCGTTGCACATTATACAGAATTTGCTCAATGCCTTCTCTTTAGCTAATAGAACTTAATAACACATTTGCATCATCAACTAGTCCAGTACCATTTTCCATTTGTATTTTCTTGATAAAACAGAATCGTGATTGATTTAATTGAAGCCTTTCTCGGTCTTAAAAAAAAGAAAAAAGAAAAAAAAGAAGCTTTTTTTAATACAACGTGGGCGGTGCTGCTCTTTTTCCATTTGCTGCTGTGGGGGAGATTATTGCCCCCTCCTGTTTCTCAGCCTGGTTAAATAGGAAAGCACGCTGCTTCACCAGGTAGACAATCTCGTTTTCACAAAGAAGACGTTATTAAGCTAAAAGAACTGTGTGAGAATTAGATTTTTTTTTATTTTTTTTTTAATAGCAAATACAGACTGGTGCACTTTAACATGTACTCAAACAAAATTGAAGGACCGCGTAGAGGAAGATCCTTTGACTCCATTAACATCGGCATTGAGGAAAAACTGCTGAACAATGAGGTAAGACAGAAAAATGTCAATAAAAATAAACCAAAAATGTAGGTTTCAACCTCATTCAGAGGTTCTGTCGTTGCAGATGTTAGGAGATCATAGCTTCTGCATCACATTTTAGAGATTGTAACTTTGCTGTAAAAAAGTAAAGAAAGAGAAAAAGAAGAATAATGAAGATAACTTTTTCCAGTTTGGGTGGATCGATCAGTTCGGCTCATCTTGAGCTTTCCCTTCGTCATCAGCGCAGATTAATTTAAACAGTTGAGCTATAGTCTTATAGCCTTTACGTCAAAGATTTACAAGGGTTCAATGAAAATACCTCCGTATTTAATTTAACAAAAAACTCATTATACAGTCGTTTTGGTCCCTGGGGTTTCTACAAGGAGTGACAGATGAGATAATTGATAAACCGATAAACCTGCAACGGCTGATGTCTCCATTTGGCACGTGCTGAGGCCGGCAGCTTAACCGGGGATGATAAAATGATTCATGAAGCCCAAACACAGGAAATATTGATTTTCAAATGTATGGAAGTTATTTAATAACCGCCATGATGTGGCTGCATACAAACAAGGGGAGTTATTTGAATGTCAACCTTATAAAATTATCAATATTGGAAAACAAAACAAGCCTGTATTTGTCTTCTTTCTTTGTTATTTTGGTTGGCATTAAGTTATAAATTAGACTCATATGTAAAGTAATAATACTATGAATAATAATAATACAAAGAATAATAATAATGATAATAATAATGCGTAAGAATTATGCATGATTCTAAAAGGAAAAAGATGAACGATTATGAAACAAAAAACGGCTGTCCGATTTTTGTTACTTTTACGAAATCCATGAGCAGTTTAAAATCTATTTCATCACTCTGCAGGCTCCATAACATGTTTGCTTCGGTGATTAAACGCTGGCTAATGTCTGATAAGATTTCAACATGCAGGGGGCTAATAATAGGCTTCCACGGTCTCTAAATGAGATTGCTGTAAGGCGATTCTTGTAGACAGAGGCAAGTTCATCTTCATTAAACCGAGTCGCAAAGAGTTGACCCCGGGACGCGTCCTGATCCAGACCCCATGCACTAATGCTTGCAGGGATATTGCCAACAAGGGTTCACCGAAAACTGTTCTGCCACGCTGTCTACACAATGTTTGAAGGACGAAATATGGTATGAAGCAATACAGATGACTTTAGCTGATCTTTGTTGATGCCCTGCTACTGTATCATATCGATGAAACGGTATTTTATGGATCTGAGATTTTTTTGTTGTTGTTGTTGCTTCTTTCTACTTTGCGCCTTGTTTATTAATTGTATACCAGAAATGTCAGCCAAAAGAGATGCGTTTTTTCCTGCTATTTGCAGTCCCACTTCTACAGTCTGAGGCAGGATTATATGAATTTTCCCCTGGCGTGCGCAGTCGTGCGTCATCGTCAGAGCGCTGTCCGAGGTGCTGAAATGAACGAGCATTGTTGAGCTTTTCCGCAGTCACTTAATCTCTTTCTACCACTTTTTCTTTTCCTTTGTTGCTTTTCTGGAAGTCGCTCTGTTTGCTTGTGTTCTCTTTGTGAACAACCGGTTTTCATTTGAATTGCTCTCAGGTCTAACTGACGTTGACTCTTACCCTCAGCATTCACTGCTTAATACGAGTGATGCACGCACATAAGACAAGATGTTCAAAGGATTTTTGGATCTGAAGATGATCTTATGTGATTAGATGGTGTGCATTCACGTCATTACATGCATTAAGCTTTGTCACTATTGGAACAAATGCGTTATGTGAAGTTGACACAAGCTTAAACCAAACCAATGGCTCAAAGTATATGGGGTCCATTCAGCTAAATTGATCATGACGTCTCACCACTGGACAGATTCAGGTTTAACATGCTTTGAACTTCATTTTCAGATAAACAAATCAACATTCACAAAAATTGAAGAAAACTCTGAAAAGAAGAATACATCAGAGAAAGAGAGAGCGACAATTATCTTCACCCTCAAGAACGAAGTGGGTGGACTTGTAAAAGCTCTCAAACTCTTTCAGGTATGATTAAGCTCTTAAACAAAAACGGTAGTTATTTGTTGAAATACTGTACTTAATACTGTACTTAATAAGTACTTAATAAGATTGTGTGTCACTTTGATTTCTGTCTTATTATTCTATTTAATTTTCTTAAAATGATTATATGGACAATTAAACACCATTTGGTCATTTAGAAATGCTTTCCATTGTTTCTTGCAGGAAAACCATGTAAATCTTGTACACATTGAATCAAGAAAATCCAAAAGACGCAACTCTGAGTTTGAAATTTTTGTGGACTGCGACAGCAACCATGAACAACTGAATGAAATCATCCACCTGCTTCGGAAGCATGTCAATGTAGTAGACATGGACCCGCCAGATAACTCCTGCTTGCAAGAGGAAGGTGAGAAATTGGTGACTGAATATCTCCAAATGATGTCACATTGTATCTGGTTAGTTGTACAGATTAACCAATGATTTTCTTCTCTTTTCAGATATGTATGATGTACCTTGGTTCCCCAAGAAAATTTCAGACTTGGACAAATGCGCAAACCGAGTTCTCATGTATGGATCTGACCTGGATGCTGACCATCCGGTATGAAAAAAGACACTTTTTTTCTTAAATAAAAACACCGAACCCCAAAATAATATTCTCACATTTGCATGTGTTTCTCTGTCAGGGTTTCAAGGACAATGTCTACCGAAAAAGGAGAAAGTACTTTGCTGACCTTGCCATGACCTACAAACAGTAAGTTTTTATTTTCAGCAGAATCAAAGATTTTTTTCATTTCAATTTTTCTTTTTCTTTTAAACTTAAGCAATATTTTATGTCTTTTTATGTCCAGTGGGGATCCCATTCCTCGTATTGAGTTTACAGCGGAGGAAGTGAAAACCTGGGGTGTTGTATACAGGGAGCTCAATAAGTTGTACCCCACCCACGCCTGCCGGGAATACTTAAAGAACCTGCCCCTGCTGTCCAAATATTGTGAATGTGGGGAGGACAGCATCCCTCAGCTGGAAGACGTCTCACGCTTCCTCCGAGGTGTGTTTTCACTCCGGCAATATTGGATTCCTCTTTTGTCTAAATCCTTTTTCTTTTAAATTTGTAAATGGAATTATTTACCCATGCTTTCATAATCTTTTCAGAACGTACTGGATTCACCATCAGACCTGTGGCAGGGTACCTGTCTCCACGGGACTTCCTTGCTGGTTTGGCCTTCCGTGTTTTCCACTGTACCCAGTATGTGCGGCACAGCTCCGACCCCCTGTACACCCCAGAGCCGTGAGTATCATTCACTAAGAATTTAATATGTGGAACTAATTTTAATTGTAAGCGGCTGATCAAAATGTTTTTTTTCCATTTCATTACCAAGGGACACGTGCCATGAGCTGTTGGGTCATGTCCCGCTACTGGCAGAACCCAGCTTTGCTCAGTTTTCTCAGGAGATTGGTTTGGCTTCACTTGGGGCCTCAGATGACTCTGTTCAGAAACTGGCCACGGTGAGGGCCTCAGTTACAGGCAGATATCTCATGTTAGAAATACAACATGGTCATAATAACTCAACTTTTGCTGTAATCCTATGTTGCAGTGCTATTTCTTCACGGTGGAGTTTGGCCTATGCAAACAAGAGGGGCAGCTGCGAGCATATGGAGCTGGACTGCTGTCATCTATCAGTGAGCTTAAGGTAAAGAGATCAAAACAACCTCCCACAGAAGGAAACTCTAGTTTTGGCATTTCTTATAATGAGCCGTGTAATACATAAAAAAAAAAAAACTCAATTAAGACTTAATTGGGCAAATATCATCGTTCCTTGTAGATCTAACTGAGTTTGGGATTTGTAAATTTTTTTAAAAGAAGATAGGGATGATAAAGTGCAATATTTGTAAAACTTGCATCATATTTCTCTCTCGCAGCATGCGCTCTCTGGAAATGCAAGGATAATGCCTTTTGACCCAAAAGTTACATCGAAGCAGGAATGCATCATCACAACATTTCAGGATGTCTACTTTGTGTCTGACAGCTTTGAAGAGGCCAAAGTCAAGATGAGGTAGAATTCATCAACTTTATCACATAACTTGCAACATACAATGTTTGTGTTCCGTTTAGTTTTTTTTTGTATTTTTTTTACAAATGCTTACATATTTGTGATTCGTATTTTTTTAGGGAGTTTGCCAAGACCATCAAGCGTCCCTTCACAGTTCGATACAACCCCTACACCCAGAGTGTGGACGTGCTGAAGGACACTCCCAGCATCAACAGTGTGGTAGAGGAGCTCCGTCATGAGCTCGACATTGTGGGTGACGCACTCAGTCGGCTGAACAAGCAGCTGGGTGTCTGAAAACCCGGAATCAGGCTCCTATAGCCCATCCATGCTTTGTGTGTCACCACCCCCCTGCACTGCTGTAGAGATATTGTTTATGCGTCGCCCTTCGTCAGTATAATGAATGTGCATCGCTTTTCGTCCCCAGGGTGTGGTATATTGCCGACAATATCTTCAGGTGCAATAGGTTTGTGTTGCCTTTGATGTTCATCTGTTTCATAAACCTAAAGAGCTGCTTAACCTGAGGCACCATCTTGCTTCCATTGTTTCTGGGTTGTACTGGATTATGTATTGCAAACAATCAACATGCTTTCATTAAACCTAAGTACACTTTTATAAATTTCCCCAGCTGTTACAAAAACGTATGTGTTTTTTTTCTTCTAGTGTCAACTCTGCTGCTGTGTACGATCATGTGACTCTTTTTCAAATTAATTTAATTCTACTTTACATTTATTATTTTACCCTTTCAGTGATATTTATAAAATGTTCCTTGTTTGTATTCCTTTGGTTTGTGTATCATGTTCTTGTTTGTGTGTCGTTGAAGGAAATTGTGAAAGTGAAAACTCTGACTAACTTGTGTTATAAGAATGCTTTCGTGATTGATTATGACAGATTTGGCCCATGTACACAATTTATTTTACATTGATGATATTAAATACCTCCTACTGTAGTGAATATAATTGTAGTACTCTGGAAACCAAAATATTATTTTTCTACTGTAAAAAAAGAAGAAATTATTAGCAGGCTATGTACCAAATTGAAAAACATCATATACAATAAATATATTCATTGTGTCTTGAAAAGATTGTTGTTGCTTTTTATTATTTGTGTTCAGTTCCTAATGAAAGGTGATCTCCTCAAGCCAAATAATCTTCTTCCTCTCTTAAACATTTAATCTGTGAATGTTGATATCTGCTACACCTGTCCCCAAAAATGGATTTTCAAGATTTTTATTAATGGTCTTATTGTGAGACACTGGAAATCAGTTTAAATAGAAACGGGCTATGTAAGTGTCCGAATGTATGTACCGTATGTGTTTTTAAGTCCTCAATAACACGCTTGTTCAACTACAGTTTAGCCTAATATTGGACGGTGCTGTTGAGATGGGCCTCTTTTAAATATGTAAATACATTTGACATATTTTCCCTTCTCGTTTAAGTAAATGAGCGCTTGCGTTGTATCTCTGAAACGTTTTGTTTACACTATTTTAGATAATCATGCGCAACAGTCAAACAGTCTCATTGTTTTTCGAAGTGGGGAAACGTTTACGACAGTGTCGCAAAATCGGAGCGGCATATTTCTAACTGGGTACTCCATGGAAACACGCTCTCAACAGCAGTTTTGTTTACTCTCTTGGGTGAGTTTGCTAATCTGAAAGTGACATGATCTAACATATTTCTGTCAGGTCGTGCAGGTAAATGATCTCAGATATCCAGGACCTGTCAAGCTTAGCCTCAACGTTAGCGTGGAACTTTTGCTAATGTTAGCTTGGGAAGCGAACCAACTAACGCGCTCCCACAAACAGGAACAGCAGCTACCCCAAACAGCCGCTAAAATGTGTTTGGCAGTCAGAGTCAAAGTTGTTTGGGTGTTAGTGCTGTTGGTTGAGAGGTTGGTGTTGTTGTGGTCAGGGGGCTAACAGCTACGGGCAGCTGGGACAGGGGCATGCGGAGGACCAGTGTGTGCCCCGGCTCTGTGACAGCGCTGAGCTCCAAAACACAGCGGTCCGCTCCCTCAGCGGCGGCGGGGGACACTCCGTGGCTATCGCTGGTACTTCTTCTTCCACTAATTCACCAAGCAACTGGATCTTTTTGGCTAATAAAAAAAAAAAAAAAAAAAGTCGTGTGGCACAACCTCCTGGCCGAATAAGCTATTTCTTTGTTTCTTTTTACCCTACTGTCTTGATATGCCAAATAGGCCACAAAGGATTGGTAAAATGATCACAAAATTATGTGAATTTGGACAGTTTTATGCAAGTGTACAGTCTAATCGAGCAGATTATAGAAGATAAACAAGACTCCTATTATTTTAACTCTGATAGAAAATAAACAACATGTTTTGTCTGATCAAATACTTTCCTGGCAAGAGGTCAGAATACAGTTTACTCTTTTTGTTTATGACCAAATGATATTGGTGAAAATAATTGGTGACTGGCTAAAACACATTTTTTCCATAGGTAGATAGTTGCTTGATGTTCTGTATGGTCAAAATGTCTGTGGTGTGCTTTTTGTGGGTCAGAGAGTGGGGAGGTGTTTGTGTGTGGACAGAATCACAGAGGCCAGCTGGGACTTGGTCACACTGCAGATGTCCTAACTCTTCAGCTTTGCTCCATCTTGAATCAGAGAGTCACAAACGTAGCGTGCGGTTGGGATTTTACACTCCTTCTCACGGGTGAGCATTTACCGCAGTTCCACACCAATGGCCTCGTTTATGAAAATGACATCTATGACATTTTTAAGATATGATCAGTGTTAAGGGCAGTCCAATAACAATGGATTAAAATAATGTAGGATGTATTTTCCACTGTTGTGCACATTGAAGCCATTGCTTTAGCACCACATTTCTAAGTTGTGTGGGAGTAAGGTGACAAGTTCAGGGAGCTTCCCTGTCCTATACTTACAAAGGACAATAACAATATAATGGAGCTGAGTCTTTGAATTTGGTCATAACATTCTCTCATGACCAAATTACTATGCATTTGTCCCTCATCGACAGCACAATCAGCAAGTCTTTATGAATAGATATTGTCTTTTTACCATTATGTCTGATGAGAGATTAAATCTATTTTACCATTGAAATCCCAGAAAGTACTGCGGTTTTACTTGTGAGTTTAGTTGTGTCAGTTGGAGCAAGGGCAGAGGTGACTCCAGAGGACAGGATGACACTTGATTTATTTCACAGGAAATTACTCCTGTCACAAGAAAAATCTTTCTCAACAGACTCACATTCCAAGAGATTGAGGCTGTTTTAAAACTATTTGAACGTTTTGTTTTTTTACAGATTATTTATGCTTTGTTTTTCCACATTCGCTGGATTCTCGAACCCAAAAGAGAACATAGCACAGATTTGTTTTTGTTTTTTTTACAAAAAGCATTCAGAGGTTAAATATTCCAGTGTCTTTTATTTATTTTGTCACAATGACAGATTCTGGCAAACTGCTGGCATGTGGGTCCAATGCATTTGGTCAGTTGGGCGTTGGACCAGCAGTCACACACTCTGCAGCTCTACTAGGAGTTGAGGTGAGCACATGCTCTGAATGAATCTTGATATCATAGTTTAGCGTTTTCATGTGTTATGTGCTTAACATTTGTACAAGCTATTCTTTTCCTACTGACAAGCTTCTATTGTGCTATTTTTTCAGAGTCTGAAGGAACCAATAGTGAGTGTGGCAGCAGGACTCAGGCATTCACTCGCAGTTGGTGGTAAGTTGTCACCATAAACTGCTTTCAGTTATATCGGGTTTTGTTTTTTCAGTGTCCCATGTAGCTGCCAATCCATAAACTTAGTTTTGTTTGATTCTCAGACTCGGGTTGTGTCTATCAGTGGGGAACTGGTCTGTTTAGTCATGCCAAGCGAGCTCTCAGTCCACACCCAGTTCCACCACACCTCTGCTCTAAGCTTCCCTGCCTGGTTCCTGGTAAGACGCATTTAGACAGTTAACGTATTTAACGTATGTGAGGTGTTTACTTGTGTGTCACCAGTGATTTGAAGATGTGACTGATGGATGAGTCCATGTTTCAGGTCTGGACCAGCAGAAATCACATCTGGTAACAGCAGGTTCAGCACACTGTGTGTGCCTGACAGGTATGTCACATAGGAGCGGCTTCCAAAGCATTCAGGAAAACTTAAATCTGCTCAAAATGATAACGTTAAATCTTAGAAACCGACTGAAATATGTGTAGGAGCAAACGGCCCTGTTTGTTAAAGAGGCTTTTATCATCAAGCATTGCAAGTATTGTATGATGACTTTGTGCATTGCTTGTTTCTTGCTTATAGGCCATGCCCAGACTCCCCTCTTTCCTCTTTATTGTTTCTCAATTACTGTGCTGCCACTGTGCTGCTGCGCCTGCTGGATGAGGAGTATTGTTTCTTATGTCATTCATGCATGCAGGACAAGGTGAATTATTTCTGTGGGGAAGCAACAAGCATGGCCAGCTCACAGTCTCCGAGCCCTTCCTGTCCTCTCCAACTATCCTGAGGCCATCGCTGCTGAGTGGAGAGAAAGTTGTGAGTGTCTGGAGCGGCTGGACTCACATTGTTGCTCAAACAGGTACAGAAACGCAAAACCTGACATAGTGTCTGAGAGGCTCCGGAGTGACTGAACAGATGTTGCATCAGATGAGTCTGTTGTGAAAACGTTTCAGAGAGTGGCAGAGTATTCACATGGGGCAGAGGAGATTATGGACAGCTGGGCCTACAAGCCTCAGCCAGTCAGCTAAGGGAGCAGCACTCAGCTGGAGCGCTGCTGGACTGTCCTCTGGACGGGAAGATGACAGCCCAAACCAGAGAGGTGTGCCTCCCTTTCGAGGTTAAAGTTCTCCATGGAGCAACACAGGTAAGACATCCCCGATTCTGACTCATTTTTATGTGATGTCCCCAGAAGCATTTTGATGGCAAGAATTACTCTGCACCTCTTAAATCTTGCGTCTACTTAACATGGTTGTCAGCTTTGCCTTGACTTTGAATTGTGTATGTAGCGGTCCAGCAGGGGGCAGCAGATAACCACAGATTAAAACAGAGTGAAGCTTATTCAATTTGTGTGGAAACCTGATGCCTGTTGAAATGAAGCTTCTTAATGACCCGTCTCACCATAAGCCGCATGAGGAGTGCACATTAATGGTCGTCCAGCAGGGAGAGTGCCACATCCATTTGGTGAAGGCAGAGGTTTTCTCTCTTGTAAAGACAGTTATTTGCGGGAATGGGCATCAGCTGTTAAACTGTGATCTAAATGCATCAGAGGAATTGGTTGTCAATAAAGTGGATGCCAGAGTTATGCAAGTGCTGTACGGCACTGTTGCCACTTTAAGTATTTGTGTAAAGACAAAAAGAGAGATGGATTAGCTGGGAGGAATGAACATCTTTTCCTAGTTTAAGCTATCACAGTTTTATGAGATGCACACACTGACGCACAAACTGTCAGCAGGCAGGTGTTTCTCTGGATTGCCTCAGTAAGAAGCTTTATTTCAAAACTTGGCCTATCAAAGTTGTTAAAAAGAACCCTCTTTGCATGAGACAGAATTATTTATTCAATTAGATTTAAATCTAATGAGCAGGTTCAGTGTCTGCTTTGCGTTGTGGACCGATTTTGTGTTGTAATGAGTCTGACATATTTAAAGGCGACACAATCCCTCATTTGAACAGTACTTTCAGTTCTGAATGAAATTTGAGTCATGTTATCTGAACATAGTTAGTTTTATTGAATCTCGAGAGGAAATTTCACAGAGATATTCATCTGTCAGCATAACAATCCCTGGATATTGCAATCCTGAAAAAGTCTGCTTTCAATGTCTGCATTTTTGATAGATTTGTCACATCTTTTTCTCTGTAGATCGCTTGTGGATCAGAACATAACCTCGCCGTTGTAGGTAAGGGCACAACAAAATGCAAAAATGCTCTTTGCGTCTGTACTTTCTTGTTTTTTTGTTACATTATACACTATTAACAACTGCACTAGAAGAAAAATCAAGGAGGAGATGACAAATTAAGAATCAATTGTTCCATTTAAGCCCAGTTCAGAAATGTACAGTTTTCCAATAATATGACATCAACCCAACGTGACTGTTGCTTTTTCCTAGCTTTTTTTTCTATGGAAATGATCCTGGGATGGACCTTGTGACACATGCATATTAATTAACACTGCATCACTCGTGAGTTGCTGTAGTTGTCTAAAAGGGTGTCACAGTGAGTTCATTTGGGTAGTTTTATATTTAGCACATTCAGAATGTGGCCAGTTGAGTTATTAAACAAAAGATCGGTAACACTATCCAAACACCCACAGTGTTTTTTTTTTTTTATTTACAGTGAGAAGCCGCAACACTGGAACCGTATTTTACTTTTGCTGAGCCAAATGAAGCAAATCGTTATGCGAGGGTTAATTTAAACTCTTATAAGTAAGAATACAGAGTGATGGTTCAGTATATAGAGACATACAAAGAACTGATATATGCTGCTGCTTGCATCCACCACTAACATGCCCTAACATGAACACCACAGGGTGATTAGAAACTAAAAAAGAGTTGTTGAACAGCATTAAATGCTTTGGCCAAAATTTTGACTATCTTTGAACTTTCATGCTATCATTTACCTCACGTGCTAGCCAGTAGGCTGGAATAGCAACTATTGCGTGAGCAGTTCCTGTCTGAATGAAGATGGGAGGGACATTAATGCTAAATTACTAATGTCTGACAGAGGCAGCCTTTAATGGTTTATGTGTCTTCTGTCTAAAAAGGGTTTTATTGGTTTCTATAAGAGCTAGAGATGGAAACATGAGACGTTCCTGGTCGTCCCTTCTGACCACATGAAAAGGAATATACCTGAGTAAGACCAACGTGTCTCCAGCCATTCTTCTCATGGTACAGAATCATTTGTAAAGGAGCTGTCTAGTATATTTCAATCAAATCACAGCGTGAAAAATTAATCCTAGTAAAGCTTCAGATGGATTTCTAAGGTCAGCTCATTGCCTTTGCTTCAGGAACTAATTACAGCATGGATAGATGGCTATCAATGACAGAGGAGATTACTCGAACAGGCTTGTAAAAGAGACGACTTAACCACACCCACAATTACAGGCACGCTCGTGCTGTAACAAAAGGAGTCAAAATGAAAAGCAATGTTGTCATATGCATCCCATCAATGCTAAAAAAAGTCCAAATACGACTGTGTTTGCACTCTCTTATTTGAATTCCAAAATATGATTTGACCCTTTTCCAGGCCTCGTCCATCTTTGCCAGCATGTCTGTAATTTCACCTAACAATAAGAAACATTTTTGATGTAAAATCTTTCGCATTAAAGTTTTAGCACTGACCCAGTTTTTTTAAATCAGTATGAATAAAGACACCATAGATCAACACAGAAATGCAAGCAGAAGCTTCCATTAGAGAAAAAACACTGAACATTTCTGGTGCTGCTACATTACAAGCATCCATACCACCCACTTTCAATGTCCCGACCAGCTGTCAAAATAAGGGCCGTGCATATGGCATCATACACGGGGATCTGCAATGACTGTCCATCATAATTACTGATCTTGAGAGCGCTGCTCGGTTCTTTGTGGAGTTCAGTTTGGAGATTTGAAAGTAGGACCATTAGAGATGGGACTCTTGGAACCTCTGGCACCTCCTGCCCCCTCACTCCTCTGCCATGCTCTCGTCTCCTCCTCCTGACTGGAGCGTGGTGGCAGGAGCAGTGAAATAGCAAAACAGGATTGGAGGCAGAGACCTGAGTGCTGCTATTTCTGGTGCTGAAGTAGGTCAGGCGGAAAGGAGCGGGGAGCATTGCATGCTTCTTATGATATCTGTTGCCTGCTCAACCCATGCCCATTTGTACCTGAGCAAGTGCTCCTCGCGAATGAAATTCATCATCAGTGGTCAGAGGTGGTAAGTGTCCAAACACTCTGTGGGATGAGCTCATCCAATCTGAGGAAAAATTTTCATGTGAATACTTCAATTTATTGGGACTAAAAAGATCTATCACCTTAGATTAAGCTCTTATTTTTACTTGTACCTCATGACTCATGCAAGTAAAGCTATAAAAAAACAACTCCAGCAGATTATCCCACTGTGGTGCTGAATTCAATGAATGCTGTTGAATGTAGACACCAATGCCTCCATTTTAGGGCCAGGAATTGGCTTTTGGTCTGTGTTCTTTTTGGCTTTTTTTTTTTTAATCCTTGTTTTTTATTTTAGCTGAATTTTATGCAGGCACTTTGTTGCCATGGAAACACCGATTTGCTTTATTCCAGTCAGTGACTCTGTGAATTTAGCACAGCACCAAAATGAGTGCTTTTTCCCCAATGAACAGAAAGCTTTGACACGTCAAGTACACCAAAAAAGAGTGTTTGCTAAACACATTGTACATAAAATCGTGCCAAAGGCGTCCCACTTAGGGAAGCACGCAGCGCCTTAAAAGCGCGGCTTTGTGTATGTGTTTGTTATGCGTTAGCTGTATCTGGCAGAATGTCACACTGACATAAGCTGCTGGCATGATATCTCGGTCTGTTAACTCGTGAAAACATATGCGTCTATTGGCGACTCCGAATCTTTGGTGCTGCTGATTTGCAGAGACAGGCTGAGAGCACAGAAAGACAAAGAAACCACTGGATGAAAGAAATGAAAACATTACACAAAAGACAGACGACCACTGAATGGCAAAGCTTGAAGATGTGTTACCCTTGAGAAAGCAAGCTCTCTTCTGTTGCCATGGCAATGGAGCCTATTAGGTAACTGTGTTGCCATGGCACGTGTCTCCTCGGTGATGCAGACCTGACCACACCCACCAACAAGCTCACCAGCTGTGAAGAGCAGGGAGCCTTTAGTACTGGCCTTAGTGTCAGTGTTTTGATCAGGGAGACTCTGCAGGATTTTTGGTTCCATTGGTTTGTTCTGGTTTTGTTTTTGTTTTTGTTTTTTTTGTTGCTTGTTTTTGTTCTCCAGGGCGCTAATTTTAGCCTACGTTGTACAACTCTCCTGCTGTCTCCTCTGTCCCTGTATGCCTCACTGACCCCTGAACTCTTTTTTCCAGGGGGATGTCTTTTCTCTTGGGGCTGGAATGAACATGGGATGTGTGGAGACGGTTCGCACTCTGATGTCTCTCATCCTCAGGTTGTTTCTGACCTGAGACCTGTTGTCATTGGCTGTGGAGCCGGACACTCGATGGCAGTGTGTGCAGCGACAACTGAGCCAATACAAAAATCTGACTCCACTTGAGGATCACTGGTGCAGGGACGTTGATAATCAAAGACTATAAAAACAGAGTGACCCTGGCTATCATCACATCTTAGTTTCAGGAGCCGGTCTGTGCTGTGCAAAGGCCATATACTGTTATTTTAAGTGCCCTTTTCTGTGCAGTAACTTTCACCTTTTATCAGCCCAGCTCTGTGAACAGGTCACAGTTGGAGCTGCTGTTGTCATAAATATTCTTCTATGGTTGGGCTCAGCTTGAGTTACGCCTCCAGTGGCAGAGGCCATCATTTCTCAGACTAGCCTGTCACTTTGATGGTCATGACAGGGAGCCGGCCGTGCCTTTGGCGGCCGGTCCACCTGCCACACTGAAATCGCTGCGGATCAAGTGAGGGATGGAGTAGATAGTAAAGCTCCATCTTCTCCCGTCAGTGTTTTTAGTGCTTTGATCTGAAATGTCAGGCGGCTATGATTCCTCGTACTTAATGCTCCAAATGTGCTCATCCTGTAAGTTACAGCTTATATAACATAATAGAGACACTTGTCTATTTTTTTTACCCAAAGATACATAATTTAATATATTTGTCAACCTGTGTCATATTATTTCATCTGCTGTTAAACTCATTTCAAGCTCTTTCATACTCGCCTAACCTATTGAAGAAACATGGACTGCCTTTGACCCAGCCTACATATTTATAAGCAGGAGACAGCCGCAGTGCACCAGCTGCATCTGTTAAGCCGACCACCACCTTGGTAAAGGCAATGACGGGACAGAAAGATGCTCACATCTGTCATCATTTACTTTTTTTTCAAGTTTTCGGGGTTTTGATTTTGATTTATGTAAACCAACATGTGGAAAACACTGACATCAGGAAAAGAGAGAAATTAAAGTGCTTTTAACTGGATTAAGCTGGAAAAATAGAATAAAATCAACACTCGCTGAAAACTGATTATTTCTGTCTTTTTTTTTATTTATTACTATTTATTGTACAAGTCTGAACTGTGTTGTTCAAAAAAGAAACACAAAAAATCCCTAAACAGCAAACCAGTCAAAACGATCACTGAACACCTCATGGAGATAACTAACCACAAAATGCACGGTGTTCGAAAACACACACCCTGAACGGCACACTTTAGTTGCCTCGTTGTTGCTTTGTTGGTTCAGTTCATAATAACCACGTCCCTGTTGTATGTTTGTTTTTTTTTACTGTTGTGTAGAACAATGACCAGCGCACTGTCCACCTCCCCCGTTTTGGCTCAGCTCTGTTGGCAGAATCAAATCTGCTGTGCCTGACTGCTCACAGAACTTAACAAGTTGTTGGCAGTGTATTTGCAGTTGTTTGGTAAAAAGTTGGTCCCTTCTCACTAACTTTTCCACACAAACAATCAGTCTGTACTTTTTAGCCAATGGTTGTTCTTTCCATTTTTAATTAGGCATGCTCTTAGCTTGACTTCAGAGGCTGATCCAATTGGGGGCACTGAACTGATGTTTTTTTTATAGCTGATGGCTTAAATAAAATTGCGCATTAGTTAACCATCTACTGTAAACTGTTAAATGGTTAGAAAAAAATTGCATAACATAGGCACTTGTCTAGTGTGATGATGATTTGGCATTAGTTACTGTTAATTACTAATATACCAAATTGCATATGTTAATGAAAGAAGATATTAAATGAAAAATGATTGTCGATTAAAATATTATTTTACTAAATAATAATTCTAGATGTTTGATAATGCATATTCGGTGTATAGGCTGTTTTTAGAGGACAGCTGTAATATTTACCAACTGAATTATTTAGGTTTCCTGACGCCACATCTTGCAATTTTAATGCTTCTGTGTAACAAGGTTAGAGTGGTGAGTTTTTTTTTTGTTTGTTATTTTTAAGATTCTTTTTTTGTCTGTGTTATCGCTTTGATGACTGAAAATATATAAAAAAGGAATGTTAAGTTTACGGGTGCAAAACAGTGCAAAAAGTCTACAAAGATGTGACCATGACAGTGCAAAGGTAACGGTTTGTTTTCAGCTGTTAAGTCTGGCTGACATGAGGACGGACAGGTTTTTGCTGAGGGATGTGCAACTAAGTAAGGAGCAACATTTTTTCTTTTCTTTGTGTCCCTGTTTCAACAGAAGAAGCACACAAATATTTGATGATCACTCAAAACATTGGTACACACAACTTCAGCACATAAAAAGCGTATTTACAGCACTGGCACACACCAAAATAGGCACATAAATTACAACACAGTAACTAGTCACAGATACTGAGCTACATAAGGCTTGACAACAAAACGTCCTCTGTGCTACATCTATGCTGAGTTTGTGATGGACAGCTTGTCACTGTCACACCCATTTGAAAATACTACGTAATACACATAACAATGCTACAGCACTATCAGGTGGGTGATGGGCCATTATGGGTCATACACATAGTGGTTGGCACACCATGGTTCATAACACAAACTGACTCTGTTGGTTGTCTGCTCCGGTGCTGTCGTTGGGTCTCTATAAACATATAAAAAACAAAAACAGTAACAAAAATAAATTATTACACAAATTATGTATAATGGTGGAAATGATGGCGATGATGTAGGGTAAGAGAATGTGCTCCGTTAATTCCTCATGGTAAACGGTGGGTTTACCATGTCGTTCCCATGCTCAGCCAAGGCGTCAGACACCAAAGAACTGTCTGAGTGCAGAGCTTGGACTCTGGGTTGGTTAATAAACATGCCCAATCATGCTGCATTGTACAAGTTGATGTAAGACTAGTTCAGTCATTGTCATGCACTTGTATACTTTGCATCATGCTCTCACAGTCACCTCTTTCTTAAAGCTCCTTCAGAGCTGGCATAGAATCAAACAGCAGTTGAACACACCAGCAGTAAGCCAGTGGGAAAGTAAAGATGTATGTATGGGTGCTCTGCTGAAGAAAAACGGAGTCTAAACACTTGTTGTGTATAAAATTTATTTCATGCAAGGACTTGTATTTACAAGTTTTTCTTTGAATACTTTTCTTTTGCATAAATGTAAAATACATGCATTTACCTTTCCCCAAGTAGACCCACATCAGATGCTTAGTCGTATTATTTTTTTTAAAAACCCCACTGAAATTGCATGACCAAATAATTCACCTGCATCTCTTCACATGAAATCTTCACAAAGTTTTTTTTAAAACATGTACGTCCATTAATTACCACAACAGACATGACTCAAAATGTGAAACTCTGCTCGTTCAGAATATAAACAAAACTTAGATGAGCTGTTATAATCGCTATATTTTTTGTCGAGAAATGACCATGTCTGATTTGTCTACATAAAAATTTGATAAAGTGCCCTGAAAAACATGTGCATAATTCTCGGGATACTATCAATACATGTAACAGTATTGAAGTGTTTGAATCAACAGACATTCACACAGCAAAAGCCACTATAACATCTGGTTGATAACTTGATATATCTTTGCTCTGTAGAGATGCCTGGTCCCCTTTTAGAATATATTGTGCTTTATTTTACAAAAAGAGATGGGGACTATTTCATCAGAGCTCTTATGTTTATGTTGTTTATTTCCCACTTTTTTTTCTGTTTTACTTAGTGCTATGTATCGCTCTAAACTTAAATCCAAGTACGTGTTTACTGGTGTGATGACAGTATCTAAGAGGTTGTTTTTTTTCATCCTCTGATGCTAAAGGTCCAAGGTGTTTGCAAAGCAAAGGCTTTGTAAAACTGATATGGGTGTTGTATAAGGTGTTACTATGCTACACAGGGAGGGCTGATTTCAATCCTGTTTAATCCTGACTTTTTGCTGTGCCTCATCAGGTATGAAGGCACCATAAAGTAACATCAATTTAGCAGCACAGCAGCTGTAGGATTTGCTGCAGATTGTTAATACTAGTGAAAAACAAATAACCACCTTTATATCGTTGTACAATGCCCATAAGAGCAGGTATTGGCTTTGTGACAAATTGTTCAAGTTAAATTACACTGTTTTAGGTGGATGCCCCAATCAAATAATTGCAAAAAAAATACATGAATTTGGGGAAAGGCAAAGAATGGCAGCTACATGGAAATCTCTGCTATGACTGAGTCTCTTGTAAAGCTGTCTCAGAATGCATAAAATGATAAAGCTTTTCAAGCTTTTCAAAGAAAATGTTACTTTTTTTTTCAAAACAGGTACTGCATTACACTAAGCTTCTTGCTGAACAGAATTTCTCATGCAATTCATGCAAATGAACAGATTTAGATCTTTTGACATTAGATGTATTCATCAATGGAATCATAGGAATTTCCATCATCTCCATATTGCATCATAAACATCCTGTTCAAAAGTTTTTTAATAGCCACTAAGCGAACATCCTATCTGGATTGCACTTTCGGAATGCAAACGTCTCTACTTTGCAACGAACAAAGCACTTAAGAGTTGCCTTAACAGCCTTCAGATATGTGTAAAAGCCATGTACTAATAATGTCCAGCATACAGGGGGTTACATCTCATGAAAATATCTTTCACATGATTTTAAAAAGCAAATGAGATAAAAGTTCTTAGTAGTAGAGAATGAGAGATCAAAAGCAACAGAGCAACAGGCCATGATGTAAACACAGGAAAGAGTGGAGTTAGCCTGCAGTTTGTCTGCAACTGAGGTGACCCATGCAGAGGGGCATGTGCCAGTGTTGTCTACACTAGGACATGGTGGCGCACCCAAGGAGATCACTTGGGAGGCTGAAGTATAAGCACAGTTAAGATACAACTTTCAATGAAAATAAAGAAAAAAATGGAGAAAAAAAAGCAGAACGAAGGCAGTTGTCAAAGTAGAATTTGACAAGAAAGATAAGAAGTAGGGATGTGGACAGGCCTTCCAATGGTATTGTGTCTGCTACTCAACCATGCTACATAATGGATGGGATGGGAGAATGTGAGTGTTGCATTAGACATGGTGGGCTGCAGGGCAGGGCGGACACTGAGGACACTCCAGAGGCATCCCCACTCATGCCAGACATGCTGTTAAGGCTCCAAGGCTTTTCATAACCTTCAGTTGAAAAACAGAGAACGTTCTGAGTACACCGCACCACTGAATCCATGACAAATCCATGTTTTGATAGTCCTCACTGCTAACACTACACCTGTTGCTTTCTTGTTTTTGTCTCCAAATAAACAGGTCAACACAAACACAAGACAGAATATTATTCTCCATGCATTGAGTGCATCAGGAGTACAACAGCATGCACCGGGTGGTACTGGAATGGTTTGGAGTAGGACACTGTCTAAAGCAAAAAGAAGAAAGGTAGGCACCTCAGGTCGAGAATGTATCTTCAGCTACAGGTGGAATTTTATACTGTATGCTGTATGCTGCATACAGATGTTTCTACAGGAATGTTTGAAAGTTCAATAGTATTAAAATAGAATCTATGATTACCTTTTATTCATTTAGAAAAAGGATAACACATTTTTAGTTGTAATTGGTGGTATCTAACATTAACGGCTCTCCTTTTGTGTTGTGCTCCTTCACCATACTTATAGCACCCATCAGCAAGACATTTCATGCACTGTTACGGTCAAGAGGAATGTACTCGTGAGTCGGGATCCCAAATGTCGATTATCATTTAAAGACATATACATACAAGATACACATGTAGCACATCAATACTTTCTAGGCCAATAAGACATAACACATTCTACTTCATATAAATATTGAAAATAGCTTTCTTACTGATAAATAAATAGGGATATTACATTATGCATGGTATCAAAAAATATATTATGTCAATGTGGACAATAAACTTTAACATTTGTGGTGATTGTGCTTGGCCTTAACACATGTTTTTTGTGGTGGAATACATACAATCAAAGCAGGATGATTTAAGAAAAGCAGCTGCTGTGAAAGTGTGTGATGTTTGTAGTAAGAGGTTTGTGGTTGTGCGTTTGTGTGTGGAAAGAAAACCTGAGGTGTAAGACTAAGTGAGTCAGTGCCTCGGGGGGGGCTGTGATTGGCTGTTACTGTACGTACCCCTCCTCACTCTGCCCCCAGTGTGGTTTGGGCGTTCTGCAGTGGTGACCAGGAAGCAGGGCCGCTCTTTCTCACTGGGGCTGAAGATTTCCTCTGGAGATATGGCCTGGTCTATATGTGGGCAATCTTCATTGGCCAGAGCTGCATTTGCTGCCTCACCATTCAGCTTGGAGTCTTGAAATGATAATTACAAAAAAATATTTACTTTCATCTTTTGAAACACTATTGTTTTCACCCTAATGCACACAGGGATTAACATCTATTTGAGTGCTGGTTTTATAGCCACTCATCAAGGAACTTCTGTTTAAAGCCCTTTTTTTGTTTCCTTTTGCATAAACTGTACTGGAGGTCAATATATTTTTACATTAACATCACCAGAGGGCATCGAGTAATGTTGTTCTTAACATAACAAAATGCATCTCCTCCATAAGTCTTAAGAGAGAGGAGGAGTGAATCACAGCATTAACTACAAAATCAATATCAAGATTACTCAGGGTCTGCCACACTCTTTATTGTCGTATTCAGGTTCAAACCTGCTTTTTTCCTCATATTTCATTGAGTCCTGTCTGAAGGAAATTCGTTTGCTCAATCTCGTGCGTGAGTCACCGGCTGATTGAAGTAGGGAAACACAGTGATTCTGCTGAATAAAGCTGTGGCTGCTTGAGGATATCAGAGAAGCATTGAGACAACAGTAAAGGAATGTGGGTCATATTCAGTTCTTACCTTGAAATTTTATCTCGAAAACATCGTCATGGGCAATGGGGCTCGGGTGCTGGGAGCTGATGCTTGACTTACAGTAGTTGGGAGACCCTGGTTGGGGTGCCCGAGGGATATGCCTGTTCTTTTTCTTTGGTAGTTTCTGTTTTGCCATGGCCAGAGAGTAGTACATTCCAAAGTTGTTGACAATCACAGGGACAGGCATAGCGATGGTCAGCACTCCTGCCAGGGCGCACAGGGCTCCAACCAGCATGCCAAAGGTCGTCTGAGGATACATGTCTCCATAGCCGAGGGTAGTCATGGTCACCACAGCCCACCAGAATCCAATAGGGATGTTCTTGAATTGTGTGTGATCGCTGGCTCGTGGGTCGTTAGGGTTGGCTCCAATCCGTTCAGCGTAGTAGATCATGGTGGCGAAAATGAGGACTCCGAGAGCAAGGAAGATGATTAGGAGAAGGAATTCGTTGGTGCTGGCTCTAAGTGTATGGCCAAGAACGCGCAGCCCCACAAAGTGACGGGTCAGCTTGAAGATACGAAGGATTCGAACAAAGCGGACAACTCTCAGGAAACCCAGGACGTCCTTGGCTGCCTTGGAGGAGAGCCCACTCAGGCCCACCTCCAGGTAGAAGGGTAGGATGGCCACAAAATCGATGATGTTTAGCGCGTTCCGAATGAAATCAAACTTGTTTGGACAGAAAGTTATTCGCATTAGAAATTCAAAGGTGAACCACACCACACATACGCCTTCGATGTAGGTGAGGTAGGCCGCGGTCTCAGTCTCCTGGTAGGTGTACACCACTGTATAGTTGCCCACCTGCTCCTCCTCAGTGCGGTTCATGATTGGATTGAAGGCCTCATGGGTCTCCAGACAGAAGGTGGTGATGGACACCAGAATGAAGAAAAGTGAAGCCAGAGCTATCCACTGAGCATGGAAGAGGGGGCAGATGGAAAAAAGGGGGGGAGAATAAGCAGAGTAGCACATGCAATGCAATGAATACATAATGCAGTTCAATTCATTATCTCAGACAATGGCATCTACTGCAGTTTAACTGTGACATTGACACCCTCGTTCAAACGGGTATCATTATGCTGAAGTATCATTATTAAAGGAACGATTAGCTTTAGCGTGCTTTTTGTGCTCTTGACATTTTTCTCAACAGCTCAAGGTCACAGCATTTCCTTGGGGTGTACCACATGCAGAAGTGTAACGAGCCAACAGCAGCAGCAGCAGCAGCAGCAGAAAACAGGACATTAGTGTCAACCCTCTTGACTAAATTTAGCAAGGGTTCTTTCCTTCAGCACCCTCACTATAGTAGGTCTTCCCTCTACAAGGTCATACTAAACCACCGGGAATTACTGCGAGTTCAGAGAAACCCATATTTCCCTTAATGGCAACAGAGCACCGGAGCCTTCATTACGTATTGATCAGATGATCAGATTTCATCACATTTAAGGTCTCTCTGATTTCTGATGCACAAAACATGAGAGTAACAGATACAGGGTCTCTCCGGGGTATAGACAGCAGCCCTTCCTCGCCAAATCCTCCCCTCACGATGCTGTGCAGGTTTACATATGTCTTCCTGCATAAGAGTTTTTGCTGTCATTTGAAGGCCAAAAATACAGCTGTGAATAAGGATGTGCATGGATTTTCGATTTTGAGGTTTTGTGTCAGGACTTTTTTTTTTTTTAAATCAAAAGTAATTACATCCTTCCTCAGACACATTATATATTGCTGTGTTTTTCATTTTTTAAACAAAAAAGTTAACAAAATCTTCAATAACAGTGTAAAAAACAAGTCCCTTACATTTCGGAGGAATTCTAATTTTCCGGTCATGCTGTGGTAGTTGATCTGTTGCTGTGTTTTTCCTGTTTTCTGACCTAATTTCAGCGAGGCCATAGGTGCATTTACCTCTAAAATACTGAAGTATGTAGAGAACTGACTCAATAACTGACAGGTGCCCAAGTGCTGTGGCTGTGGAACAAGCACAACTTGAACAAAGCACGTCGGACATCCAACAGCTGACAGTTGAAATTAGCTTTTTTTTTCTTTTTTTTTGCTCTGATTGATTTTCTTCAAAGATGCTGAAACTGATCCTCTTTGGTTTCTTTTGATGAAGTCGCCTTTTTCAGAGATTTCCTTAGATGCAGCTTTGTAAATCTTTTTGATGAAAGTCTTTCTTCTGCAACTGTTTGAAATAATCCATAGCTGTAGTGTAATAAATTTTGACTTTTACCATGTAGTCTGACACCTGTAGGGTTTGAGATATAGCCTTTGAGTTGTTTTTGTTTTCAGTTTTGATGAACATTGTACAGTCTGACTTGGGGTGAGCTAGCACTGAGGTTTGTACAACTGAGTATTTAAGTAACTTAAAACATTGTTGATATTCTATTATATCCTATCATGTAGAACCTTAAACTGAGAGGGGGAGTTCTTTCTTTTTCATATGACTGTATCTTCAAAGGGAATTTGCAGTGAGTAGATCAGAGATCAGAAGAAAGACTGGAAAACCATCACATGAATTGCAAAGGTCAGATCAATAGCATTCTGTTCTTTTGTGAAAACAGGTCTGTACCACTTAAACACATGCACAGTAGTGCTAAGAAGGAGAAATAATGAAAGACTACAGGGAAGATGTGACTTGGAAATGGGCAGGTCTGGGCATGAAGTCTTAGGCATTTCCTCTACTGTGTGGAGGTCACGTCCATTCACAGAGAGGCAGACATGCAGCACAAGATGGAAAACAGGCTCTCATTATAACATCTCATCGCTTGTGATTCAGAGGATGGTGCTGAGGAAATTACTGCTGCTTATGAATGTCTGCTTCCCTTGCATCTTGTTGTAATCGTCGAGGAGGAACACTGTAAATTCACTGCCAAACACTGTCAGCAGGGTTTTTAAAGAATACTACAGAAACTACATTCAACTTAAGGAAACAATCAGACCCAAACATGCTTTAAAAACATGACAACCTAGTTAATTATTCCAGACTTTTGTGGATGTTGTTTGAGTTTTGTGGATGAGTATTTTGTGGCAGTTTTTCAAGCAACAATTGGCGCTTATCAGATTGCATAATAGCCTTGTTTTGTCCTCCCCCTCTGCTGTATTTTCTGCACAAATTAAAAAGCATTCACTCTTCAATGCAATCTGCTTTAACAGCACCGTGCACAGTGACTGAGACAGACAAATAATAAAGGCTGAAGCAATAACCATAACGTGTTGGGTTCCCTTTTCCCCTCAACCGCAAGTCAGACCAAACAATAAAAAAATGTCTATGGCACAATGAGACAATGAAAGTGATGTTGATTTACAGCCTAAGCTGTCAGGGGGGCCAAAGAGATTAAAATCAATGGCCATACAAAATCCATTGTGATAAAGCCTCTCTTTGATAAGATATTTAATTTCAAGTGCTGATGCCTCTAAGCAAACTGACTCGACAGCCTGCTGAACATCCCACCCTTCAAGCTGTTAAGCGGGCGCTGCATCTTGTCAGCCTGCCTGCTAAATTATGCATCTTTGTGAAAATTAGAAACAGTGTGCTTTGGACAGAGGGCGGGGAACAAAAAGTTGTCCCTTATTGGGTCGTTCTCACTGTCGCTGACAAACAACAGGGCTATAGCTGTGTGCACTGACAAGGCCTTTCCTCTGATGTATCTACTGTGAATAGAGTCTGTAATTACCTCTGAAGCTCACATCTAATTAATCTTCTTGCCAGTCTTGGTGGAGCTCTGTCAATCCTCAGTCTGCTTTTGTCATGCATATTGTTGAATGTGGGGCACGTCAGAGTTTTGGGCTAAGGGGATTTTTCCGGCATGAAGTGGGTGATGCCTGTTTGTCAATAAGTGTGTGCGTGGTTGGATCCCAGCGCTTCCGTGTGCGCTGCAAGACTGTGTTAATAAACGGTAAAGTTGCTGGAAAGTCCCTGATAACTAATTACAGCAATCAGACTGCAACAGCGTTCAAAGCAGCATGTAGCAGAACGGCCTCTGTAAGGTGTAATAGTAACAGAGTAGACAATAAAAAGATAGATCACAAGGTGTAAAGTCATTTCACTGTCACTGATGAGAGGCAGGATGCCCAGATGGATCAATGCCCATAACAAAGACCAAGAATGCTCTCTTTTACAGCAACCTCATTTTTTTGTCTGGAGGTCTGCCATCAACGTTCTGCTGGTGCCAAAGAACTGGTCTGATGTCTAACTGACCTATTTAACCACCGAGCCAGTCTGCACAGGGGTCCATCTGCCCTGGAAATAACATTTTAAAATCCTGTGAGTCACAAAGACTTCCCCTGCCTACTGCACGACAGAAGACAGGGGTAGTCATGATTTGCATCTGAATGGTTTTTACTCAGGAGATTGGTTTTCTTTCTCTCCACCTCCATCCTTGTACTCTCACATCGACCTTAGAGAGACCCCAGGGGAGTACAATGCAAGGTCATAAAATGCCTCCCGGACCCATCACAGTCTTTGTTTCACCATCAACGAGCAGAGGAAAACAAATTCACAAGTGTATTCCTGTTTATGCAGCTTTGCTTCAAATCGATATAAACAAATCTCAGAACACTGCTGACTTAGTTTGTATTAGATATAATTCATTGTTAGGTCCCTAACTGATCAAATTCCAAGACATACTACAGTCTCTGGTAAAGAAGTATCTTTGAAAAACTCACCCTTGCATATTTAGAAGAATAAGGGTCTTCAAACAGAGCCCACACACGTTTCTGCCACCGGCTCCACAGGCTGCCACTCCTGACATCGGGTGAGTCCCCCTGTGCCAGCCTCCTGGTCATTTCATCCACATCATCCTCGGTATGCTCCTGATCCGGCTCCGGATCCTCGCTCCCCAGGTCTAACAGACCTCCCCCGCCGAAACTATCAAGGGCCTCCTCAGCCTCCCGGTGCTGGCGATAGGTCATCCAGCAGCAGGGCTCCACATCTGTCTCATCGATGCCCCAGAAGGCCAGCTCCTCCTCGTAGAGCGGCCCGCAGACATCGGCCGGGCAGTGGAGCTTACCTGTCCTGTAGTAATTGAGGATATGTGCAAATACGCCGGGGTGGCGGTCGAAGAAAAATTCCTCGATCTTGGCGTCATAGTCAAAGTGGTTGGGCGCATCAGGTTCCGCCAGCCAGGACAAGCGGGTGCCAGGCAGGGTGCGCAGGGTGCTGCGGTATGTCTGATGTCTTATCCCTCCCACGTTTATCACAATGCGATCCTTGTCGTCGCTTAGGCCCATTGCGTCCCTTAGGCATTTCTCCAATAGGTTCCCCTCATCGCAAAGGTGAGACTAAGCACCCCTTTGAACCATGAACTGGAGTGGGCAGACTGACGGGCTCAGACACGAGCGGAAACAATTACGCACACAGCAACCTGTCGTCTCTCACCAAATGGGAAATAAATTCTTGCTGGCTGACACGCGTCAGGCTACATTCCTTTTATACCCCGCATTTCCGACACACACCTGCCATGCCCTGGGTGATCTTAACAGTCACACTCTGCCACGCTCTGAATGATATAGAATCGAAATCCAAAATGCTTGCAGCCAATGGGATCACATTAAGAATGGACGTCACATCGCTCGTTAATCCAAGATGTCTAGATAAAAGCACAAGCGTAGGCAAACTTCCCCCCCCCACCCCTGCCAGCAGATTAAATCCGCCTCATTGGATTCATCAGGTCGCTGGGATTGATCAGAGGAGCGGGTTTGTGACTTTGGCAGCAAGGTGACTGCGGTGGTGCTGAGTGGACAGCGGCCGGCTGTCCAGCAGAAGGAGGCTCGGTGCTGCTCAGCTCCTGCGCTGCTGCTGCTGCCTCCAGACTCAGCTCCCTCACACCCCGCTCTGCGCGCTCCCTCCCTGCTTTTGACGACGCGCAGCAGGTCTTTGTCTCAGCAGATGGAAGCCACCCCGCTCACAGACCCTTCGCTGCCATTCATGCTTTCCTAAGAAGCAGATCCAGCCCTGTGCGTGAGGAGACCCCGGCCCCCAAAGCTGTCCAAGCGATTAGAGGAAAGAAGGGAAAAGATGAGAGGCGACAGAGATCCTCCAAAACGCCCAAACTGCCTGTTATTTCCCACCGAGCCCTGCTCTCACATCACAGTGAGCATGCCCAGTAGAGGACCTTCACTTTCAGCCTATGAAAACGTGCACTCAACTTTCCCAATTAAGAAAAAAAAGAGAAATAGTGTCTATCCTTTTGAATGAAATCTCACTGAGAGAGCTTGGAGAGTTGTGGTCTCCTGTAAAGGCCAGGAGAGACTCACCCTCCTCACGCGCAGCTGTTTGCAGAAGGTGTGACAATGGAGCCATGAACGCGCAGATGCGCTCACACAAAAACAGAAACAACCCATTTATTGACGCATGTCGCGTTTATTTACGAACACATGAGTTAGGTTGGGTTGTTTCTGTTGGTACACAGGCAATGTCTCCATTGAGACGGTAATAATCAACTAGATATTTTTGCTCATACTCACGTGCTGCGCTTGATTTATAATCAAATTAAAAACTGAGCTCCCCGCGAGGGCACGACACGCCAGCAGAGGGCGCAAACAGTCGCTCCAAATAAGACGGTGTAGCTCAATTTATGTGTCTCAATTTACGCTCCACAATAATTAGTTATGTTGAGGTTGTATTTGCACGCTTAAGAAAAGACAAGGGTTGTGTGTTTTTGCGTGAATACAGAAGCATTTGACAGTTTCTTTATTGTCATTGTTTCTTTCATTCTCCCTTCTTTCTTTTTTTTCTCTCTTTCCTCCAGCGGACACATAACTTTCAGAGGGAAATGGGGCCTCCTCTCCCCCAAACTAAGGGCTGCAGCTGGTGGGCAGTTCCTCATCTCGGTTTTCACTCTTCATCATGGAGGAGGAGTTTACCATAGAGATGCTTATACTAACTGGTCAACTTACTCCGAGTCCTCCGGCAGAGAGTGTGTGATCTCTGGTCCCACAAAGTCTTTGATTTGATCGAAACGACGCGCAGATAAGCAGAGGCATCATGGCTGTGGCGGGCTGCACCAAATGTATCAAATACATGTTATTCTTCTTTAATTTTATCTTCTGGGTGAGTCAAACGTAACTTACTAAAAAAAATCTGTTTTTATCTTTGAAATGATTAAGTAACTAAGTAAAAGCCTAACTAATTGTGCTACCTATCTGAACATTGGCAATATAAATCTTGAAAACTGAAAGAATAACCCCCCCCCAAAGAGGCGCAGCTGTGGAAAATATTTGTCAAAGGAACAAAAAATGCCCGGTTTCTACATGGTCAGACATCCTTTCACGGTGGTTAAAATAGTCAATTATTATTTGGTTTCCTTTGGTGTTTATCAGATTCTTTATCTCCTTATCTCATCAGCGCTGTTTGAGAGCCACCATTTCTATGAGTCAGTTCAGATGAGAATTAACGAAAGAAAATACAGGATGTTTGCTGCTGCTCTGGGGATTGTGGTAATGGAAAAAACACATCATAGATGGAAACTACATAACATTGTATTGCAGGGGGCCGTTTTCCTCATCCCTTTGCCCTCTAAACAGGAGTTTTCTTTTGTTTTTGTTGTTTAAGTAATGCATGTCTGATAGAGTGTTTGATCAGGTTTACTTTATTCAACATTCACCATGTAATGTAAATTCTCTTTAAGTCTTGTTCTCATAAACAAAGGACACAGAAATATGTACACTAATGCAGATGTATTTATTATTTCATATAAGTGAACAAGTGTTACCTTGTGATATTGAGCTTTTTTATTCTTATTTTATTTCAATTTTGATAAATGTTGCTTCATTTGTCATTATCTTTCTTTGGTGCAGACCAGTCGTCCTGTTTTAAGATTGGCACAGGTCATCGTATCCTGGACATGCCACACTTGATTGACTGTTTCCTCTGTTACATTTGCTGATGCGTCTGTAAAAACTTGTGATCCTCTTCCTCATTCTGCCATTTTTCACATCTAGAATTCATTTTCCTGTTCCTCTGAAAACAGTTGAATATCTTCATGCAAACATCGACAAATAGGCATTCTGCTTTATAGTATTTGATTCATATACGCTACGATGATTTTGTGTGCTAATACTTATTAGGAATTGTACGCTTTAGAAACTCAGAATAGGCTGTAGAGGAAGTTGAACAATGTACTTGCTGATTTAGTTTTAAACAATGTTGTGAGGGCACTATTTGTGCCACAGGTCACTGAAGTGTCAGGATGTCCTTTCTTTTCCTAAGGGACAATACACCGGCCCATTCCTCTCCATGGAGTTGGACACAGACTAGCAAAAAGATTTAGATGTTGATTTGATCTCGGAAATCCCCCCTTTAACCTGTCCTGGACATGTAATAATATAAACAACATATAAACAACCCCTTAACTGGACTTTTTACAGCATCTTCTTAATTAATGCCTCAGTCCACATTTTAGGATTTCGCTTGCAGCTCTCATCCTCCTACAAGTTTTTATAAAGTGGGGGGAAAAATATGAGAACAAATAACTAAAGCTATATTTCTCTTTGGACAGCTGGCTGGAGGAGTGATCTTGGGACTGGCTCTGTGGTTACGCCACGACAGCCAAACCAGCAACCTTCTCATACTACAGTTTGAAGACCAGCAGGCACCGAGCACATTTTACGTCAGTGAGTATGAGTGGCCGGACACCTACAGGTCGAACACTATGACACAGACTCATCACCAGAAGATGTTCCTGCGGTTTCTGCCTCAGCTGGACGCCATTCTGAACTTTCTGACTGTGGACTTAAACTGAGGATTATTTTCTGAGGGGATTTGTGATTGTGCTAAAGTGTTTGTTCCTTCCTACATTCAATATTAGTAAAGACAGAAGGAAATCACAGATAGAATAAAAACCAAAAAATGTTTATCGGTGGGAAAAAAGCCTTACAATAAGCAAATTAGTTATGAACTGTATAAATACAGGTTTCTTAATAACTTCTTCTTTACTTGCAGAATTCTTGAGAGATGTGGCTTACGGAATAGCACAAAGCTGTCTATTTCCAATGCAACATTTTAATGTGTCATGCAATATGCTTAATGCTTCAGTGAGTTCTGGGAACAATGCACCACTTCCTGTGATTTTCCCCATGATCATCATTGTTTTTAGTTTTCCTTAAATGTGCTCTAAAGACATAATTTTTTACCGACAAAAAACAAAAAAACAATGAAAGTTACTTAATTCTCGGGAATAACAGCCTAACACCCAGCTGACGGCGACGTGTAGAGATAATAGGGTCATGTAAGAAAAGGCCAGGAAACAGGACCTGCGTATGTCCGCAGCTTGACTTAAGAGGGGCCCAGCCAGCCTCTACACGGCCGCCCAGTAGAGGGTGATCTCTGGATCAGGTAAATATTTATGACTAAACCTCCCAGACTTTAGTCTCCTTTAGGTGCTTTCAAGAAATCAGCCGAATGCCACAGACAGATGTTTAAACAGATGTGGTCTCTGAAGAGATGGCCTTTAAGGATGGACTAAGCATAAAAACACCAAATTGTGCTTCTTATTTCTAGGATTTTTTTAGGATTTAAACTGTGCAGCATAGTCCACAAAAAAAACTTCAGACTCAGTCCCCATCGTTCTCTGCCTTCAGCAGTGCGCAGAGCAGCCCTGAAGACTGCAGGACATGGCACGATGTAAACATTTCAAAGGTCCATCATCTTGGTTTGCTTTGGTGGTGAACTCCAGAAAGCCCATTAATTTACATTTGGGCTCCTGCTGCTCTGCCATACTTACCCCTCATAAGTATACAGGACGAGGACAAACCCATGCTTTTTATAGAAGAGGAGCACACTCAAGATTTTAAAGGCAGGGCGGCAGGAGGGGCCCACCCAAGTCAGATCAAGGGAATGCTTCTTTTTTTTAACCCTCCGCTGAACACACACCCTTGCATAATTCAAGTAACCTTGTACATCTGCACATTATTCCACAATTTAGAGTTTGAAGTGGGTTTTTTTAGCATTCTGGCTCACATAAGTGGTAATTATGTTAGACTGAAAATACACATGCTCCTGCCTTTGCACCACTGCTTGAAGTCATTACTGGTGGCAGTTTTCCGGTCTGGTTCATGCTTAAGTCATTCAAACTGTGATTTAGCTTTTCAACACAACTTACTAAGAGAGATGATACAAAAACTAAACCACCCTAATGTATGTATGGTAAATATGCAATCTGAGCCAAGAGATGGTTCGCTTAGTATAAATACTGAGAACAGCTGGCTTGGATCTGCCCAGTGTTAACAAAAACTGCCCATGCCCACCCACTTTAAAGTGCTCAAGTTTCCTGTGCATAACACCTAGCTAGCTAACAGGAAGCCCCCTCCAGTTTAATATCTGTAGTACAGATATGAGCTCAGTAGGGGAGTATGGGAACTCAGTAGAGGACTAAAGCCACCAGAAAGTTAATATACTCAAGCTCTAATTAATATTTTTATGAGGAATTACTCTATTTTCGGCCCATGGAATTGCCCAAACTACCATTACATGACTATTATAATTTAAATTAAAATGCAGCAGGAAAAGGTTATTTGCCTATCATATAGTAATTATTGTAATCTGATAACTCATCACTGCCTCTTCATTTGCTAATAGATATTTCCATCATTTGACACGGTGAGTTCAAAAAGTGCAGCAAAATATCAAATACAAAACATGAATATGTTTGTTTTTTTCAATTACACTATTTTGGAAGTATCCATTCTCTGGTTTTCTTTTCCTACTCACACTTAACTCACAGAGAAACTAACATAGGCTGGCAGAGCTCTCTGAACAGAGCAGGTCTCCAACTCACACTGTACCTCATTGATCACCCACAACCAGTCAGATTAAGAATGTTTAAAAAAAGTGTCAAAAACTCCATATGCATCCAATTAAATTGACAGATGTTCGAGCCTTAGGGCTTTCCTCAGGACAAACACTGGAATTGTCTGAAATGTTGGCAGAAACATTTGGATGCATAAGAAACTAGAGTTTGTGAGTCTTTATGGGAACTTTTTTAATCACTTCATGAACTGTCATGTAAGAGAAGCACGAGTCCTTATGTTGTCCAACAACTTTTTTATTTTCAGCTGCAGTCTGTCACTGTGGATTACATAAAAATATAGGGTGAACAATTTTCAAAAAAATAAAACATTAATAATTTGGGATTCACAATTTGGGCTGAATATCTCATTTTTGTCAGATAAACATATTTTTATATAGTAAAAAGACTGCCTTTGAAATGTGGGATCATTTACCCTTAAAAAGGGTTCTTGTCAGTCTGTTTCCAGTTTTTCAGATTGTCTTGAATATCCCCTTACTGAAGGACTTTGTCAGAAAAAACTATACAAACTGTAGTGTAGCGAGCAGAAATGTTGGTCTGTCCCTTTAGTCTGGTGGCACATCTTCCAAAGAGTGACTCATTTTTAGGCTACAGTAATCTGGGTCAGACACATGCTGTGTAACTTTGATTTTCACCGCAGAGGGAGTCAAAGTGCCCGTGCATGTTTCCTCCGCCCCATTTTGTTTCAAAGTTTGTGAGACAGATGAGACAAAGAATAGGTTAATGTGCACCTTTCAAATCATTCAGCCTCTTCTCGTGGTTGATCACTCCATTTTACTTCTTTAACACTGGATGAGATAGAAGAATTCAGGATTTAAATTGAAATTCACTCTCACCCCCATCCCAGCCCCATTCCCACCCCCACCCCTCCCTTTGAGAGATTACACTTGGAGACAAGAAGTAAATGAACTTGTCTGGGGTCTAAAATCGCATGTCTCCTTTAAAGACTCAATGGCCTTCCATCCTCAAAAGGTGTTGTCATAGTAATGGAAGGCAGTGGAAATAATGCCTCCTTTGCTGCATTGCAGAGTTGCTGGCCCTGGTAGCCGTTTCCCAGTACAACAAAAGTCCTGAAAGAGAAGGGGGGTGGTGGCTTGAGACAGAGAGAGTGTAGATGTAAGGATTGGGAAAAGTGGTGGGTGGTTATGAGGTACAGTGTGAGGTGTTGGAGGCCTGCAGACAAGTCAGAGTCTCTTACTGCTCCTTCAGCCTGTTTGTGTGTTTGTGTTTGACATTTTGCTGCATTTTATTAGCTCATTGTGTGTTTTACTATGGCTATACTGGCTATAAAACAAACATGGATTTTATTCCATGAATTACTGGAGTGAAAAGTGGCGATGAGTCATCAGATTATCAAATGCGCAGCATCTCACAGGAACATTTCCCTTCTTAAGCATTCTATTCACAATTTTCCACATAAGCAGTCACCTACAATCCTAAACTGTGATTCCTGTAGTCCTCCTGATGAAGAAAAAAAGAAACACCCCTTCTCTGAAAGGAAAAACATCTGGCCGACATATGCCTCGCACAAGGTTTTCCTGCAGAGTATTAAAATACTTTTTTTTTTTTTTGCCGGAATCCAGTGAATTGTCAAGAAAGCTTTTGGTTCCAACTTTTTGATGGACTAACTTGATGTGATAGAAAACATAAGCCTTGCCATCATATGTAGATGTTTTTCCTTTTTTTAAAGTCTTATAGTCTTATTTAAGTCTCATAGTCCAAACATATGTTGAAGTGGGGGCTGTGTATTCACATGGTCTGTCCTGTTTCCTGGGGAGTGCTCGGGGTCAGGGGTCAGAGGGGGTTTATTGAGGATGTCTGGAACGCTGGAAAGGCTTTTCCACAAGCTGGCTCGTAGCTCTGTGAAATCTTTCTGTCAAGATCATTGATCTGTTTCCCTTTAGAATACCAATAATCCCGTGTTACCCTGCAGAGGAGGCAGGAAAAACACTCAGGAAGCCCATAAACTAGCAGCTTGTTGATGGCAGAGTATGAATCCAGGACTGCTGCTGCCCCCCAGTGGAGCTGAAGACACAGCCTGGTCATGATGAACTGCTCTGTGTTTGATGGATGGTTTCTGCCTTCCGCAGGTGTGTACATACTGATAGCTGTCGGAGCTGTGATGATGCTTGTGGGCTTTCTTGGATGTTATGGTGCCATTCAGGAATCTCAGTGCCTGTTGGGAACAGTGAGTATTTCACTATTTGACTTTCCAGATCAGGCTCAACGAGGGCAGCAAAAACCCCTCTTCCACTTTTTACGATCAGTTCATTGCATCTTCATAAACATTTCAATAAGCACCTGCATTCTTTTTTTCCAGTTCTTCTTCTTTTTGGTGATCCTCTTTGCCTGCGAAGTGGCTGCTGCAATCTGGGGATTCATGAACAGAGACACTGTACGTACAGTGAGGCCCACTGAGGCAACAGTGTGTTTGATGCTCCCACCTCTGACCTCCTGATCACTGATCGTCCACAGATCTCCAAAGAACTCATCAATTTCTACGACTCGGCGTACATCAAGGCTGTGGATGTCTCGGGGTCTCCCAGCAAAGACGCAGCCATCAAGGTGCTGGCGGTTTACCACAATACGGTATGTAATGACGCAAACTTTTCAGTTTTACCAGGTTTTGGGGAAGATGAGCGATAGAAGTGCATTGGGATTGTGCGTGTTGTTTGATGTGGGATTCTCCTCCGGTTTACTCCACAGCTCGACTGCTGTGGCAAAGGAGCTGACACCGCTCTCTTCTTACAAGTCGCCACCACCTTGTGCCCTGGAAAAGTTTTAGAAAGCTTTCAGAAATCACAGGTAAATGGAAATGCCCATTTAACCAAACAGTTCATGCACATTTTGGCCACAAACCCGGCCAAAAGCAATGGGAAGGCCTCGCAACCTCCACTCACACTAAACTTATCCTTTGTTTCAGTCGCTGCAGTTTGACGGGAAGTAGACTGCTGATTTGCATCTTTGGCAAATATTAGAGATGTAAATATCTGGTCTGAGGACATTGTAGCCCGAGTATTGAAATAGTTTTTAAATGTTGTTGTTTAAAATACAGTCCGACTGGATCTTTTTAAACATCAAAACACACCAAAAAATGATGCCAAAAAAGGTAGAATTAATTGTGTTTTGGTAGATTCTGTCAACGGTGTGATGCAAACTAGCTGCTTATTTTGACCTAATTTATTCAAAATGACATCTGTGGTATAAATGGCAGAAACGTAAAAAGAGTGTAAAAGCGTCATGTCAGAGGTTGGGTTGTGTGAAGCAAGATGTAATATTGGCCAAAATGACTTCCCATTCATGAACCCTATTAGTCAGTGATCATCCTGTAAGTAACTCCCTTGTAACAAGATTACATTTCACCAGTTCGTTAGAAATGGGCTGTTCCAAACCCGCAAAAAATGACCACCCTGTGTGACAGCAGACCTGCCCTTTATTATGTGCAATCCGTGACTGAGTGTGTGTGTGTGTATGGGCGTGAACCCTTTCACTGATCACGCCTCTGTCGCTTTCCAGAGCTGTCACGATAAGCTGACTTTACTGTTTTCCGAGAAGCTCTACCTCATCGGCCTCGCTGCCTTGGTGGTCGCCGTCATCATGGTGAGCCCCAGATCAAAAATATGCATGGTCCTGTCACGCACTTCCAACCTTTCTCAGACATTCCTTTCTGTTATCAACCAGCCACTGGAGCACACGTATTTTGAGTTAATCTTTTCTTTTTTTTTTTGCATTTAGATATTTGAGATGATCTTCACCATGGTGCTCTGCTGTGGGATCCGGAACAGCCCAGGAGTGTACTAGGTTTCCAGAGAGCAGCAACAGTGCCACATAAGCCAATACTAAAGTGTTTTTGTGCGTCGACTCTTTTCCTTTGAGCATGAGATGGCTTTTTCTCCTTCTATTTGTAGGCTAGACTGTGTTGATAACATTGCTAACAGATCACCCTAATATTTAGACAGTAAAAGACCTTTCAGAGGTGAGAAGATATTTTGTTATCATACAACACAAATCATATTATTCTTTTATCGATACAGTTTTTCTGGAAAATCTGAGCTGAATCTGTTTTTATGGTTGTATAAATTGTACATATACTTACTGTCATATGTTAATGACACTAAGGAAAGTGTGTGTGTTGTCTGGTTGTTTATGTTGCATCTTGCTACAACGTGATGTGATATTCAAGCAGGGACTCTGTAATCAGATTTCTGCTAAAAATGTGTCTCTTTTATGAACTGGTAAACCATCTCATGCTATCTCACATTGTGAGACAGAAAATGTACATCTCCTCTCTAAACCCATGTTAAAAATGCTAATAAATTATGTCACCACTCTTGTACCAGTGGTTTCCATCCTGTTTTATTCATGGTCCAATATATATATGGTCCAATATAAAGCTATTTAACCAGACGTGGTTTAATTTTTCTCTCTCCCTTTTCTTTTCTTTTACTGTAAAACGTTTTTTTTTTCAAGAGACTAGTAAAACCGCCCCAAACTATCATCCCATCCTGTTAGCTTTGCACGGGCCGGTTGTCCTGACTGTGAGCCGCCACCAGGGGGTGCTGTTTCATGGCCTTTTTTTGCTCACTCAGCAGGGCCTCTCCCACTGTAGTACACTCAACCCCAACTACCTTAAAAACTCAACAGACTTGTATTTCTGGTGCTTTCATAGCTGACACACCTAAAACACGTGTTTGTTAATTCAACAGGTTTACTTTCTCACCATTTGAAAGAGAAGTGTTGATCTCAGGTGGGAGGAAGCTGACATTTCTGAAACACACAAGATCACAACATCTTAACAAACACAGCTCAAGAATTAACCTCCCCAATAGGGCTTTAATCTTTAAAAGCATACATTTTTTGTTGTGTTTTTTGTTCCAAACTAGCAGCAAATACTACATGCCCTGGCCAACACGCCCCCTCCCTCTTCTCTGCTGTTGGAATTTGAACTCTGCCCCGCTGGATCCAGATAAGACGTGTCTTAAAGCTGCAGCAGACAATGATATTCAGAACCATGTGTTTTACTCTCAGTATGGTAGCAACAATTTGTGGAAACCACCTTTCCTGTCTCAGGAGAACAATGGCTCTGAGCAAAGATTTTTTTGAAGTGGAAACCCATCAGTAAAGCAGGCCTCATCCGTCTGAGCCCAAACCTGGCAAACGGATGTTGTGCTGAATGGGAACAATTTCCTGTCGCAAGGTTCAACAGTCTTATTGCACAAGACTGTGAGATGTCCAGTGACCTCATGTGGGTGTAACAAATTATTTTGACCAACAAAAAAAAGATCAACTTCACATTACTGCATTGGGTTTACACTTCCCAAAATAAATGGGAATTATTTCCAAGTAAGTTTAACTTTTTATGCTTCAGACGCATAAATCATCATCCAAAAGCTGAAGTCAGCCTCAGATCATTGTTAGCCAGTAGAATATGGATTTAACTGTCTAAACAAATCGACCATTTGGAAAATAGAATGATGGCTCATATGTACAATTGTGGATTAATGAAGATCAAAAGCATTGTAATCCTTTACTTCAATCCAAAAAAATGGTCAAATTGGGATTAAGAGTGTTTTTAGCACCTAGCAGAGCGATTTGAGAGACTCAAACAAAAAACAGATGCAATCCAAGTGATTAAATGCAGGGAGCAAGTTTGTGAAAAAAAAGGGAGTGCTGCCTCTCAACTGATTATGGAAATACATTCTTAGTCGCAATGTTGCTGACAAAGCATGTCACAGTCATGCCTTCTCTTCAAACGCAGAATTCTTGTTCAAACCCAATTGTCTGACTCTAGATTCCCATCCGCTCGGGGAGAATGGTGGACCTAAATATCTAAGTGAGCGAGAACACCAGTGCTACTGTGTAAACTTTACTCCAGTGTTGTCACAAATTCTCAAAGCCCTTAGAACATTTTAAAGAATGCACAGAGCACTACACTTGGCATTTATTTGACAGATTTACTTTAAATCAAACATGATTTTTGCCATTTATGATTTCTGGAGAAATCCAGATTTGTATCTTCCCCGGTGATGTTTTCCAGTAAATACTGCTATCAAACTTCAGCTACTTTTACTATCTGGATTTGAAATCTCAAAGCAAATCTTATGTCAAATCACCATATAGAACAAGGAAAGGCTCCCCGTTCAGTTGCTAAGTATCGAAGAGTTACCCCCCATCAGTTGGGGAATGTCAGTTTTTGTTATGCTTCTGTTTATCATGCGAATGTTTCCTGTGACCTGAGCTTATTCACATGCTTCCGTAGTTCCAGGTGTCACCGACACACGTCACAGCAGACAGCGCAGTTTCGCTCCCTCTCGCTTTCTCACACGCCTGCATGGATACACAAAACATGCACAAACACAGTCAGCCATCTTCTGAGCGAATGATCATTTTTCACTCAACACATCACACGCTCAGCCAAAGGGCCGCTCCGGGTGTCTGCTGCTGCCAGCTGAGTCACCACACACATGTCGCAATCTCCCAAAAGAACCAGCCTGTGGAAAGGTGTGCGACACCCATTTAATAGCAGACGTGTAAAGGTTCTGTTGAAAAAAAGATTAAAAATGACGACAACAACTAAAAAAGTCCTTACACTTCGGTAAGACACAAATAAAAATCAGCAACTCGGCAGCAAAAAACGAATCATCCTTTTAGTTTTAATCTTGACCTCGTTCCCAAAAAGGCAGATTATCTGCCACCCCTTTTTTAAATCCACCCCATTGTGTCATCTTTGTCTATGACTCATCTGATGTGCTTTGTGTTGTATTAATATAGGAAAGTGAAGGATAATTATCAGGGCGGTGACTGTGTTTCAGTTTTTTAATACCTTGTAACCCCTTTGCAGACGCGTTCAGAACAGGTAAAGTCTTCACTGAGGAACGTCCACACAGAGAGCCAGGGGAAATGGTGAGTACAAACTTGGCTATAAAAATCAATAAGAAACTTTTTTCTTTTTTTTTTTTTTTAGTATGGCAAACATTTGCGTTTAATAATGGGGTAGTATACATGAAGTTGTTTATTTTTTTCTGCTTTAAAAATGGCAGTCACTGTGTGGGAGAATTTAAAAGAGTGCGAGGAAAATGTTATTTCTCTGCTGAGAAACTGGGATAGTGGGCTCCGTTCAAACAAATGTCTGTCTACAATGTCATTTGCATAACACTGGGGACTTTGATCAAATTACGAAAAATAATTAATCATTTACTAACTTGAATGAAGATGATCGGCAGAGCAAATAACCTTTGAAATGGTTACTGTGCTTAATTGATATGTAGTTTTTCCAGGATAAGGCTTTTCTTTTATTTAAGAGTCCTGCTAGCAAATGAAGCCAATAGATCAAAGCAGCTCATTAAAAGAAAAAAGTGTATTCCGCTGTATTTTGAATAATTCTCAACCTTTTTAAATGCACACATAAACCCTGCAGACATGTGGGATAAGACTTTTGTGCTAGACACAATCGTTGTTGCTAGGTTCACATCAAACAAAGCAAATAAAACTAAGGTGTGGCTCCAGCTTTATGACAGAACGCATCTTTGCCACACCATTAATTTCTTTTGCAAAGTGAAATCAAAACTATGACAGTTTTTGAAAACCTCGTCATAAGAGGGAACAACAAGCTCTACCAATGACAAATCAAAGTACAAGATGATGGTGTGAAAAACTTTCAGACATTTGACTCTTTTTTCACGCCCCTAAAAGATTTCCCTCAGAGTTTACATCATGAGACTCAAAAACCCCACTGAAACCCTAAAAAGGAAGGGTCAGATGTGAGTGGGTGGCTGCTGGGGGCATCTTCTCAACATTCTGTGGCTCAAAGTAAATCGCTACAAACTTTGCCTTTTTCCCACAGTAAGATGAGAACATTTCAGTTGGGATCCAGGCTAAACTCAAAGATTTGATAAGAGTAAAAAAAACCGTGTTAACTACCTACGCAGTGCTGTTTAAAGATGTTGGAATGCGCTTTCCATCTAATTTAACGCACGCACAGACCTGCAGAATACAAATGCTGACACAAGCTACATAGTTCTCATGTTAGGATTCTTCTTGATAAGTTTGGTATTAGCTTTTGGGACGCTTGTTGTGTTACTGGAAAATGTGACACATTTTACAGTAATGCCTCACACGTAGAGAGTGATGAGCAAACACTTTTTTTTTTACACTTTACATTTGTGGCAGATGCAGTCATGCAAAGTAGAAAAACTTCCATCTCACTTATCAAACAAAGGTCCACAGCAAAGAGTAGGTATAGTCTAATCTCTTAGGGAGGAACTAAAACATAATATAAGCTAAACTGGATGTGTCCTTACTATTGAATTAAGTCAACTAAAGCATATTTGACTTGTCCACACTCATAACTGCATGCTTCAAATAGTATAAAAGTATTTCTCTGCTATTATATACACATATGCATTATTCCCTGTTTATGAGGGGGGTTATTGTTTTTGTTATCGTTGATACAGCTCAGCATAAATATTGTATTATAAGTAGTCTTATTGGTCATTTGTGACTACTAAGTGTATGTTTGTTTTCCCTTGTCTGGAACCCTCTGAGGTTTGGAACAGGCACATTGCACATTTACATGAATTAATTGTAAAGGACAAGCATCCACCATGCGTTTCCATGTCTGTTTTTGGTCACAAACCCTGACACCTAATGGAATCCTGCAGAAGCAAACTTACATCTAAACGCTGTGAATGAGAATAAGAGCAAAGGAAAATGTAATCAATCAGCAGATATCTCATCATAATGTACTTATCAATGTGACCGCCTTTTTTAAATTGCTATTAAGTGTTGGCTCACTGTTACCATCTAAAATATACAACTTCCAACCATGTCTTCTCCTAAATGAACGCGTTAACCGCCTGAAGTGATTCTGGGTTTAAAATTAGACTGTTTGGGATACTTTTTCCTTCCATGAATGCTTTATCTTCTATATCCCCACGCTTCTTTTGTAAAGTAAGCTGAAATTGCGCACAAATTGGAATCAGAAAGGCTTTTGCCAAAAGCCCTGAGCAGGTCCTTATCGGGAACAAACCGGAACAGCTCACCTGTGCGTCAGGTGCCCGGAGCCGGGCCGGTTCCGGAGAGGCTCCACCTCCCGCGGGGCGCAGCTCCTCTCTGCGCCCCCCCACCCCCCTCTCTCTCTCCACACTCAGAGCTGTTGTTGCCACGGCACAGGAGGGCGGATAGGTCGCCCAAAGACCGACTCACGAAACGCGCGGATCTCCCACAACTCGTCGCCATGAGCGCGATTTCCACAGAAAACGTGTTTTTTACCGCCTTACAGCCCAACAGCTCGGTAACCACCTACGGTCTCCCCTCTGAAATGCAGCTCGGGAACGGGGGCTCCGCTTCGGACATGGAGGCGAAAGCTCGGCGTGTCCAGCAACAGGTCCAGATGAGGCTGGCGGAGAAGTCCACACTTCCGCGTCAGAATGGAACGGCCTCACAGTTCGCCATGTCAGGTGAGACCGGGCTCCGCTTTGTGGTAATGGAGGAGACAAAGTTGTGCGCGCTGAGCAGAGATCAGGGGCAGGAAAAAGTGGTGGAATGAAGGCGCCACAGATACTGACAGAGGTGCTGATAGCATTATCTGACCGCAGGGCCGAGTGGCCGGTCAGTGTCCGGTCAGTGTCCGGTCAGTGGCTGGTTGCGTGTCAGTGTGAGGACGGGACTCAGGGAGTCTGCCACACCAAAGAAATGGATTAAAACTGAAATGATATGGGAGATTTAATCCAAGGAATGTTGTTTATGCTCAGCATAGAAAAACAATTCAGTGATCCATGTCAAATTACCAAAATAGTTAAACCCCTCCTGCGTTTGTTTTTGGGTCACACCTCACACACAAGTTCAGAAGCTGTCAACACTCCCGACCACAATGGCCGAGCTGTTTTTCCCTTTGTTTAAACAAACAAGGCTTTAAAAGAAAAGAAAAGAATAATAAACAAGGGCCAAAAAGATAAATATATCACTTAGAAATGTAAATCGTAGATTTCTTGTTTTGTTTGTATTTAAACAGTGTTCAAATACTGGAATTTCGCTTTCTGTTGAGTGATTGGTAGGTTTCTCCGCAGATTCTGTGTTTGCTAACAGTTTAAATGATCTGTATCATTAGATAGCTTGACTTTTAAGAGTAAGTGAAACTGGACGGAGTGCTGGCTGTGTGTGAGGCCCACTGGTGTCTGGCTCCCTCAGCTCTGGTGGGAGTTTTTATTTTGCCCATAAGCGTCTGAAATTTTACAGTGTGTGGTGTCTCTTCACATGAGAATCTGTTAATGTGTAACAGGCCTAAACAGTCGCTGCTTTCATTGCCTTTACTGATAGCTGGATGAAGGTTAAGGCCTCTCTGAAGGGTTGGGTTTCAGATCTGGCTCGGCTTGCTCCGGCCGGGGTTCAAAGCCCTTGAGAGCACTGAAATGGCACTTTTAAGTTTTTAATGATCTCTTATTTGATACACACTCTGGAGATTTTGCCATTTGAATGACCTGAGACCTCACAGCAGCTTTTGACCCAGTTGTCCGCTGCCTCCTTTTGTCTTGTCCGGAACATTTCTGTTATTTAAGGCTCTGCCAGAACCTTTGGTCATGTACTGTTATTTTCCCTCTACAAGGTTCCCCCATTTCCGTCTTTTGGAAATATTGTTATGCTACTGACACTCAAACATACCTGCTTTTTAAAAATGACAGCCTTGTTTTAATGTTGTAAAAAGGACAGTTTTAGGCATTTATTCAAACACAACTTCAATTCAATTCAGTTTTATTTATATAGCGCCAAATCACGGCAACAGTTATCTCACAGCGCTTTCCAAAAAGAGCAGGTCAGACAGTACTCTGAAGTTATTTACAGAAGCCCAACAATTCCCAACAGAAAGTATGCTGATTTGACCCAGCGGTGCTGATTATGCTTCTAATTTCTGCAGCGCCTAAATGATGTCAATCTTTGTAAAGCCTTAATTGCCTTTATGAAATGTACAGCCCACTGGTCAACAGGCGGCTGGTTTGACTCAATGACATAAAGGTTCCATATATGTTGGGAGCTTGGCAGAGAGGTCTGGGTTTCAAGAGCTTGAAATTGTGTCGCAGACAGAAGACCTAGAGGCCCTGCACCTGCTTGTCACTGCTTATTGCCCGGAGACATTCCTTCACATCCCGTAAGTCATTGGGAACAAGTAGTGCACCCCAGCTCAGTTTATATGACTTCTACATTCAAATAAATCATGGCTGAACACAAGTTTTTTTTTTATCTACTCATCCAGTTTAGCTTTTCCCACAGACGTTGACATTACATGCCTCAACAGGCAAGCATGCTGTTGGAGCTGTTTCTTCTTTTAAAGACGAACGCAGAGAAATACAACACGTCTCCTAAGTAGGCCAGGGCTTTTTTGTTTTTTTCTCTCCCTTGTACGTGTCAACCACTCTCACCTTGTGTCTTCCTCCCTTGCCCCCGGCTTTGCTTGAAGGAAAACGTATAGTCTCGTCTAAAAGCTGTGCAAAAGAAGCGTTTCACTGCAGAACACTGAAGTTTTAGTGGGTTTGTGGTTTTATTGCGAGGACTTATCATGAATACAGAAGTGTTTGCACATGGGATAAACAAAACACCCAGAGGACTCTGAAAGGAGTGCTTCTTCCCTATTCAGAACAGGGACTGAATGTGGATGAGTGGACAAGTCTCAGCAGAAATCGGCAAAGAGGAAATGATTCTGAATGAGGAGTGTGTGATCAAAGTGAATGTTTCTAAAAGCAACAGTAAGGAAGAAAAGTTTCCTTGCTGAAGGTGTTTCAGGGCGTGTATGGGTGGGGAGGCAGTCACGCTCAGGTGTGCAGGGTGTGGGTAAAACCTGACTACATTTCTTCTGTTTTCACTGTTATAACATTTGCACTTTGACGACAAAAACGAAGTGCAGCTCCTCTGGAAAAACATGAACATACATGCACAGCAAACTCCCTCTGCAGCACAGCTGCAAACAGCACAGAAACCAGTCCAGAAACGTTTTCTGAGACGATTTTATGCAACCGGTGTGGGCTTCCTCAAGGGCCAAGCAAAGGTTAAACATTGATTATATGTATTTTTTATAGGGTTAAAAGTATTTTTGATAATCCATCCACTGAGCACCATAACTGAGCATTTCCACCCTGAAAGTGCACTGTAACATCCAGAGTGTTCCAACATGAGAAACCCGGTGGGCCAAACCTCCCCACTTTAGTGTCGTATGTTATGAGATCTGGTATTAGGGACAAGCTTTCTTTTACAATGAGAACCCCCGCATTAACTCACTGAAACTGGAAAGATCCACGAGCAATGCATTTCTGTTGCTGTGAGGAAAGACAGGAAGATAATATTCTTATGCATATATTTGCAAATTATTTGCTTCTGTTCTTCACAGTATTCATTTTTAAGTTTGTTCCAGAAAACCTAAATATCCCAACTGTGAAAAACCAGCCATGAGTTGTGCATGTTTTTGCCTTGAATCTGCAGTGCAACATGGACAGGCCACAGAAATGTGAGGTCAAAGAAAGTGTATGCTGTAGACTGAAAAACAAAATCCTCGCACCTTGTTTTTGATGGAGCTTTTTGAATGCACTTTGAGAAGCCGATTACATTTTAGGCTTTAAAAAATGTCATTCTTCAAACTGTGTAATTGTAGAAATACAGATGAACTTTTTGAACCTCTGGAGTTGAACTTCTGTTTTTGTAAAGTTTTTATGGTTCGTCAGACAATGATTTCCAGTCTACGTTTAAAAAGATATTTTTAGTGCTATGCTTTGTTATTTTTGAGATTGACTTTACGTTTCAGGATGAGTTGCACTAAGTTTAACCTTGATTTGTACAATGCGTTCTTGTCTGCTAACGCTCAAGTAAATAACAGAGTGTTAGTTGCCTAATTCTCTAGCAGTGATACGAAATGACATAAAACTTAATTACAGCCACACTAGCTGCAGTATAATTAAAATACTTCTGTCTCTCACATTCCACTTTTGGTTGACAGAATTATGTGGGTCAACTTGTCGCTCTGTCAAAGTGTTTTGCTCGGTGCCTGCAACACACCCAGCAACACTCACTCAGGTCGCTCTAATCTGGAGCGAGAGCAAAACATTCAGTCACTCTGCGAGTTGAGAGAAACGGGCCAGTGCCTTTGTGTGTCAAAGTGACGGGTAACTAGAGACATCAGACCTGGTGATTGGTCAGTTCTTGTTTCTGCATTCTGTTGGTTGCTAGAGCAACAGGACACCAGCAGTACTGACTGTTGTCTCTTTTATTTAATTCTGTTTAAAATGTTTCGGCACTGGAATTTTCCTCATTCCTCTGTGTGAAATGGCATGAATCCAGATGTAAAGGTGAATTTTGTGGAAAAGGTGGTTTGAAGTATATTTCCTCACTCTTTCAGTAAAGCTTTTTACCGGTTTATCAGCTTTAAAAATCCTATTTAATGAAGCAGACAAGTCTTACTTACTGGCAACCAATACTATGTTGTATTTGTGCTTTTTTCAGACTATGATGGTTCATCCACAGTCAAATACAACACCTACACCCCAAATTTCAGCTCCAAGTCATCCTTTATGTACTCGGGTTCCAGAACGATGGTGAGCACAGCAGAATTTTCGTACTTTTTTCAGCATGTGTTGGACACATTGTGGAAATGATAAATGAAATTATTAGCTGATTGTCAATGTTTAACAATATATTTGTTTAATTGACTTATTAATAACACTAGGGCACAGCATGTGTGGTATTTCACAACAGACTGCCATTTAGATCAGCTCTGAGTTTTGAAACCTACCCTCGAGATTCCTTTTGTTTTTGTGGTTCAGTAGACTGACACACTGTGTCGCTGATGTTTTAGCTGTGTGAGGGAATTCTCGACTTGCGTTTTGGTATGCTTCTGTTAAATTAAAAACAGAAACTTAAAATTCTTACTGCAGAAGGCAGGACACTTTAAACACTTTCGTTATATTTCTTTCCAGTTGGGCCTGTACGTGTTGGGCGGTGTTGCATTGATATGACATTGTGAACATCAACATTACTCTACATCCACAGGGCCCTCAAATGTCTCAGAGGAACAACTTCAGCAGCAGGTCTGCTGGCCCACAATTGGCCCAATTTCAGAAGATGAGTATTGGGGGTGGGTTTGTAGGTGGTGGCGACGGAGGTTTTTACCAAGACGACTTCCATGTCGGTGGCCACCGAGGAACCATGAGGCAACAGAGCCGGATGGATCACGATGCCATGTCTTTCCATTCCATTCGAAACCCGCCTATCGATAACAGCGACAACGGAAGCATGATGTCGGAACGGGACGCCGTGTTGAGTCACCAGTATGCCCAGAGTGCAGTCAATGGGTACGCCACCCAGAGGGGGCAGGGAGGGGGCACAATGACCTATCAGGCCCCCATGCGCAGATCTCTAAGTAGCACCCTCATACATAGTGGGGGGATGATGGGAGGAGGAGGGGCTGAGGTGATCCAGCAGCAGCATTCCTTCAAAGGCCCAGCCTACCGTACCATCAACAGGATTGCAAACCGAAACCGGATGAGTATGGGCTCCACATCTGGGAACATCATGTCCGCCAGTGCAAGCAGCTTTGGTGGAGGAAGAGACAGAGTTGATCAAGGGTTTATCATGCCCGTGATGCCCTCTGGTTCCCAGGGGAACCTCCTCATGCAGCGTCAAGGAAACTTGTCCCGTGCCGCCTCACTCAAAAGCATCCACAGTGTGGGGAAGGGCTATGATGTGACTGGGATGAACGGCGGCGAGTTCGATATAAATGGGTGAGGAACATGTAAATATTATGTTTTGATATTTTGTTTTTTTTCAAGCAATATACTGTAAAGTATCTTATTCCTCAGTTTATCTATTATTTGTTAAAACTTCCACAAACGCATAAATGGAAAGGTGCTTTCTCGTAATGATGAACATGACTATTTCAAACACCTTTGCAGAAACTCACTGGCATATCAAATTTGTATAAATCCACAGCTGGAAATAGTCCACAGCAAATGCCTCTTCTGTGTTAGTGGGATGACTTTGAGCATTAAAGCAGACAGCTGTGCCGTCACACTGTGGTTTCACAGGAGGTTAATCATTAGCCCATGATTCTCGGTAACGGCAACAGTGCACTCCAGTCATTATGGTGATGTCAGTTCCATCCAGTATTCCTGAAAGTGTTGAGCCAGGACAGTGGTGGTGTCGCAACTTTCATGCATCAGAGTTTTGATCAGGGTGTGTGTGTGTGTGTGTGTGTGTGTGTGTGTGTGCGTGTAGGTGTGTAGTGAGAGCTGTAGATTGGGAGGAGGCTCTAAAGTGGCAGGACTGGTTTAGGGTGGGGCTGCTCCTCATGCAACAGAGGGAGGTTAGACATGTGGGTTTGCTAAATAGTGTGTGATTTGGAAGAAATTCAAGAAGCTGTATCTTGCACACAAGTGACAAATCATCCTTGCAGAATGGCTGCTGTGATCTTAAATGCATTCTATGTGTTACCTAATTCAATAGCAGGGAGATGTCATATTCACATATTGAACATGTTATTGGGTGAATTTGTTTATTTGTTCCTTTGACAGATTAAATGACATGGACATGGCCACGGCAGTGGATTTTCTGAGACAAGATGACACTGGTCTTCAGGTCCTTGGTGCCGCATACATTCAACATCAGTGCTACAATCATATAGAGTCGAAAGATCAGGTACTTTGTGCAGATTAAACTTGTGGTTAGAACTGTTAGAGTGAAGCACAGCCATAAAAGAATGTCTGATTCAAGAGAAAAACTGAATGACTGGTGTTTCTTTCCTAGTGTTTATATTTAATAGACCATTGCCCGTAACACAGTTTGGAAGTTGTGTTTTTTTCCAAGGTAAAAATACCTTCATTTTTCCTCCCCAGGTACGTCTAATGGAGGGCATTGAACCGTTGGTGAAGTTGATCAGCAGCAAAAATCGAGAAGTGCAAGGTTATGTCACTGGTGCCACACGTAACCTCATCTATGGGAACAATGACAACAAAAAGGCCCTGGTTCAACTGGGGGGCATACCAGCGCTGGTCAAAGCCCTTGAGGATGAGGACGAAGAGCTTCAAAAAAACATCACAGGTAGTAAAAGTCCCAACATGCTCATTTCAACTATTTGGACAGTTTTCTTTAGCCAAACATATCACGTCAAGCAGTTTTATGGAGAGTTATTCGAAACCGCACTAGCATTCTTTACTTTCAGTTACATGAAACTAATGAAGTTCTCTTTCTTTTTCTCTCTGAGAATCGTGGCACAAAATATTCTTGTAACAATCTCACATTCTTGTTTTTACATCTGGTCACATGAATGAATCAACCGCCACGTGGGTTTCTGCAGACAATATGATCCTCAAAATGTCCTTGAAATTCTTTTGAGCAAATGATAATGTTTGAACATGATATCACTCATACAGAAAAAAAGAGCATGATGCAGATTTGCTAGACGAGGAACGTTTGAATGCACACACAGTGGGAGGTGGAGCTGCTGTCTTCATCTCGTGTGTCGATGAATATAGAGGAGTGTGTACGAGTTGTCCAGGCCTGTGGGCAAAGAGTAAATCTGCTGCTCCCCTTTAAAATCCTTCCGATTTTCATTTTGACAGTTTCAGCTGGATTTATATCTGTTAGAAGACTAAGATACTTATGTCTGACTCACAGTTTCAGTAAGAATCTTAGAGAAAGTGATGGCTTAACAAAGCGACTGTGTGTATTCTACTGGATCTGAATGATTCACCGAAACAGTGACAGAAATCACTGGACTTTATAGATGCAATATGTTCAAGCTATTTAAAACAGGCTGTTTTAATCTTTAATAGCTCAGTACTTAATGTAATTAAATTGACTTTTTTATTTGTTAATAGCTTGATTATGGCTAAATAGTTAGATGTTAAGACTAAGTTAATTAGCTAGTTGTGAGCCTGTGGTGAGTGGACACATGATTTACAGACACAATGTGGAAACACCGATTCCTGTGGCTAATGTGTTCTCTCTTGTGTGCAGGCATTCTCTGGAATCTTTCATCCAGAGAAACTATGAAAGACCTACTGGCTAAGGAAACACTTTATGACCTCACTAAGAAGATCCTCGTTCCTTTGGTAGCCAAAGATTTGCATGTTAACGAAGACCTTTCTCTTGAGGAGATCATCTACAACACCACAGGATGCCTTAGGTGCATACCACTTGTCTTACTTTTAGTCCATGTGAAATAGTGAGTCAGAATCTCACTATGACATAGTCCCACTTTGTAAGCTAAGTACATAATTCTCCCCTTTCGTTGCAAATTATATCAAAGTGATGTGAACAAACACACAACACTCAATTAATTTACATATATATATATATATATATGTATATGCACATCATTTTCCATACATGAAAAATGGAGCCTGACATAAAAAAAAAACTTTAATTGTACCATTGGATGATCTTTTATGACTTATCTTACATACATCAGTTATTTAGACTGTTAGGCAGTGATGGCTCTCAAAATATTTTCGTTTGAAAGGTATACAGTATGCCATCGGTGTATCATGTCCTGTCAAAACAATAAGATCATGATAAATATAATAATCATTCAATGAACACTTGTTTCTCGAGATCCTGATCCTGAGTGAGATAAGAAGTTCATCCATGGCAAAAATCCATAGCTAATCCATAAACCACAGAGTACATGTAGTGTGAAGATGGTTTTATAATAAATCGACTGATTAGCCATGTTTTTATTTTATTTTTTCTAGTGCAGAATTTAGACTCTGGTTAAAGTAATGTTTAGAGTGATTTTAAGCTTGCAGTTTTCTGACCTCTCACTTGCTCTTGGTTTGCTCAGGAATCTGAGCTCTGGAAGTGACAAAACCCGTACACTTATGAAAGATACCGACGGTTTGGTGGAGTCTTTGGTCACGTATTTCAACAAGTCTGTTGAAAAGGACGTGATCGAAAATAAGGTACAAGTTCGCTTGGTTCTCCCTGTTCAAATTAAAGCCAGCTCTGTTTGTGTTCTCATTGGTTGCCTTTGACTCCCAGGGGGTGGAGAATGCAATGTGCATCTTGAGAAACCTTTCGTACAAGGTCCTTGAAGAACTTCCTCCATCTGTCAAAGCGCGCCTTGGAGAAAACAGAGATTTGGACACAGAAGACATGGGCACAGTTGGCTGCTTTACACCTCAGAGTAGAAAAGCCAAAAAGGTATGTGCTGGTTCGCAAAAACATCGCTTATTCACCAAACCGTTTTGTTTACTTGTATTTATTGAGATCTTACCTTTTTTTTTGACTGACAGAAGAAGACTCAATTAACATTCAGTGAGATTTCCAAAAGTCCAAAGGACCAGGAGTGGCTTTATCACCCGAAGATCTTGGGGGTGTACCACACTGTGATGAAGTCACGTCTAGCCAACACCACATGCCGCGAGGCGGCCATTGGAGCTATGCAGAACATCACATCTGGAGATATGAATGTGGGTAAAACATCTATCAGGCCTCAATCGGAATTGTGTTTCTGTCTGTGACATATTGGAGCTCTTTCTGTTTAACTTGCAGTGGGCCTCAGAATTGAGCAACTGGGCTCTGGAGCAGGAGCGCGTACTGCCAACCATATTGGATTGTCTGTACACCGATGTGGAAAATGAGCTGCGTTCTCTCACTTGCCTTTTAAGAAATTTGTCCCGCCATACCAACAATAAGGATGATATGGGTCAGTATTTTGTATTTTTTAGGTCAACCTTTTGATATTAGACACTTTTTTTCTTTTTAGCTTTCATTTTCCTAAGCAGTGATAGATGAACATTTCGTTTTCTTTTTTTTTACAGTCTGTGCTATTCCATTCACTTTCTTCTGTATTGTGAAATTGAATCCTCTATACATAATGTTACTTATATGAACTGAACTAAATGTAATGCTAATAGTTGTCAGTTTTTGTTCTTGTCGTTCAGGCAATGAAGAATAAATTCCAACCAGATCAGGTGGCCCAATCACCATTCTTGGATTTAGACGTCAGAATCAACTTAATGAAATATTAATGTTTATCAACTTGACCCGTGTGTTGATCTAAACTTTAAAATAATGTTTTATGTGCAAAGTGTCATCCAGGGAACATTGCATTTGCTTTAATTAAGTTTTGCTGGATATCTAGGATGTAATCTCCAAGGGATTGGCCATGAAGAATGCTTTATTTTTACTTTTTTTTTAAAAGTGTTATCATGCCTACAGTCTCAGCAATTTTTAAATATAATAGAAAATGCTTTTTGTTTTTTTAGCCACAAAGACGATAAACAGTCTGCTGGAGAAATTGCCCCGTAACTCACCAAACGACACTTCCAACGAAGTGATATTGAACATCTGCGGTGTTTTGAATAACCTGGTGACCGGAAGCTTTGTGGCTGCCAGGGACATTAACTTCTTTAATGGCGTGGAAAAACTGATGGGCATCAAGAATACAAAGGACACCAGGTTTGAGTCTGGATTTTTGCACAGGATATTACACTCTGTCCTTTATACCACGTTTAACTTCGAATTACATGTTTTTCTAGCCCCGGGGGTCTAAGAGCAGCCAAAGCAGCATCAACAGTCCTCACCAACATGTACCATTACAAGAAACTGCGTAAAAAGTACCGTACGGTAAGAAACCCCTGAAATTATTACACAGCTCTCAACTGAGAAAGGGTTAACATAATAGCAGTGGTACAAGCCTACAAACATGCCCAAATATTGATTTTAAATCAAGTTGAGGACCATTTGCCCCAAAATAGACCTAAATATGGGTAGGTTTGAAGTAAAGTCAAATGTGAAACAGCATTTTTCTGTTGGAAGAATAATGGAAGTGATGTGTGCGTGGCCAACTCAACATCTCAGAGAAAGATTATATAAAATATAAATGAAAAGGCAGTGTTTATCACTATCAAAAGAGGGTATTCTCACTGTACTGTTTTTTTAAATACTCACACTGATGTAAACCCAGTCAGGCAGGTCTTTGTCCTGGGTTGGACCAGGTGATTTTACAGCCAACAGATTACTGCTTGCCACTCCCAAAGGTGTGGTGTTCAGTCAGATACCAAATGAACGTGTCCAAACAGAACAGAAAATTGCACTGATATTTGTCATACATACAACTTCACATTCATCACAGTTAAGCACAAAGAAGTTAACTTGTGAATTTTAGAAGACTTGTCGAATGGCTTTCTATGTATTTAGTGTTGTAAGGGTGTGCCAGTTTAATTTTCATGAAGTGAATAATACAAATGTTCTGACTACTTAAGTATGATCTGGAGTCTTTCCCACCCCCATGCAGTGTTATTAACACTTGTTTTATTGTGACTTTCTCTTACAGAAGGGATTCACGAGAAAGGATTTTACCGTTGATTGTTGAAGTGAAGTTAATACAGTGTATAATGTAGTAAAAGGCTCAGTCATGATTGAAAAGACAGTGTAAAGATAAAAATGTACTGAGGATATGAGATCCAACCAGTGGGGAAGAAGAGCTTCCTTTTGTTTTACAACACGGTGGACGTCAGTGCAGCGCAAGATCCATGGATGCAAAAGGACTATTTATGGACTTCAATACTAATATGCACCTTAACCTCTCTGTTTGAACACTGTTTGGGCTTAGTGTCTAACTGGGGATCTCTCCCCTGTTAGAGCAGCATGTATTTAGATTAAACTTCAGTTTTATAAATGCTAATTGTGCCTTCTCACTGTTGCACCACTTTTACAGCTCGAATGCAACCAATCTGCCAACAAGGGATTTTTGTAAATATTGCTTTGTATTTTACACAAAAATTAGTTTCACCATTTTATATATTGTAGTAATTTGTATTTTTCATATAGAGCAAGTTTAGTTTAATGAATTTGAATGTAAACATTGATTTTTTCTAAATTTGGATGTAAATAAATTTGCTTTAAGGGATTATTAATTCATATATGTGCTTTATAAACTTTCAAAGCCTATCATAGAATATATTTGAGTAATAAGGTGGAGTGCAACTCATTGTGTGAAATATGGGTGGAAGTATACTTTCTTGACTTTGTGGGAGAACAAATCAAATTTCTTAAGCCTTTGAGGTCTTTTATGTATAACATACTTCAATTTGATTTCAACATCTAAAATAACTTTACGTTAGTTTTTTTGTTCAAAAACTGAATATACAGTATATAATGTTTGAAATGTATTAATGATTGCGTGGGAAGCCTGAGTGTTTCGTTGGTTGCTTTTTGTGTCTGATATAACAGTTAATAAAATGACACTCGGAAGTAAAACTTCATTTTGTGTGATCGTTGCTCACAGACTGACACCACTATGCTCAAATGTTGGCCACACCCTGTTTACATACTTGCTCCTGCTCAGACAAGAACAATACCAGATGTTCCCAGCTGCACCCTTCTTTTAACTGCTGCAAATGATTACTTCATGAGGACACATCTTCTGTCCTGTTACATAGGAACAGCTCAGCATTTTTATTAGTGGGGCTAACTTGTTGATTATTTATTTATAACTCTTTGTCATTTGTATGACAAAGAAAGACAAACTTCACAAAGAGAAAATACCTTATTTCATCATGTGTTTACTCTGCCCTCTATTGGGGACTAAAAGGGAGTGACAATGAAAATATCAACACAACAGACTCTTTCCTTCAATCTATTAGATTATTTCTAAATAACTAAATATTTTCCACAACAGTAGAAAAAAATGGCAGTTAAAATGGCATATAATGATTGGATACAGAGAATGAAGCACACATTTAAGAAAAGAACCCAAAACACAGAGATTTATGGCACATAAAGAAGTACTTCATTTTGTGAAATTGTCAAATGTCTTCCTCTGTGACCAGACAATAGAAGTCTGCCCGGGTTCCATAGTTGCGTGATCCTAAATCTGAAACATCGATGTCAGAGGGGTTTGGCTCAGTTGCCCTGCTGGGTAAAGGAGGAAGGACTGGAGCTTTACAGGCCAGAGCTTTGTACACAGGCAGGCGAACCCCTGTAACAAATGAAAGATACCACATTCAACATCAAAATATGTTGGCTGTGGTTGGGCTCCAGTGCCCTTCTGCCTCTGATCCTAGGAATAAGCGGTTATGGCAATGGGTAAATGATTTATTCTCACATAACTATGCAGAAAATAACTTCAATATCTATGTAAATACGCATATCAGTTTCACATGGAAATGAAAAAAGTAAATCTCTGTCACTGTGTCGAGCAAATGAATGATTAGACACAGAAATATTTTCTTCATATTAACAGAGATGCTCATCACCGGATGTCAGTAATGCCAATTTTACTTTGCAGAATCAAAAACTGACAATGTTCCGTGTCAACAGAAATGTCTACTTTAATCCACGAGAAATGCAAGATTCAAATGAAATTTGTATTTTCTAATTAAATCAAGACCTTCCCTTGGCTTTTAACCATCTAAAATATTGCTGGACAGTGGGATATGTCATGGAAAAATATTTGAAGGCTTTCAAATGCCCTTATTTGAAGTAGACTATTATGCTGAAATAAACTCACAACTGAGCTTTCATCATCTGCACATAGACCAATTTAGAGTGTTCCAAATGATGCCACAAGATTTTTCTCTGAGAAACATGCAGGATACCAGTCTGGACCCTAAGTAACAGTTATTTATCACCAATCTGAAATAACCTGAACAATACTTTCAGAGAAACTCAACCTCTGATCACTTCATATGCAAGGTCAAATATTCCTCTTTAATCCTGTGTAAACATCATAAGGCAAGTGATTATGAGTAAATAAATATGAGTGAGCGTATTATGTCCTATTGATAAAACTGAAATGAATTATGATACTGTTTGTTGATTCCAACCGTCATCAGCCTGTAAATGCAACAAAGTATTAAATAACCTTCATGGAAGGTGAAATATGTTAAGTTTTTCCTACTTTGAATAAGATCTGTAATAAAAAGTGCCAAAACTGCTAAATGAAAGAGACTGAGCTGACTACAATATTTTCTATGAGTATTGGATGCCAAACAGTTTAACACAAGCAGTTACGTCTCTGTACTAGAGAGAACAGCTTTCTGAGGAATTTCTTTTATTTACACAAAATAAACCAATTATTATAATTTTCTTTGAATATCAAAGTGGGAGATTGAAACTTTAATGAGTTTAGTGCCAAACTCTTACCCAGGTCGCCAGCAGGGTCAGTGTCAGAGCGGCAGTCAAGGTAGTCTGGGTCAAGGGTCAGCATGGGGTCTTTGTCATCCTGTAGCACCGTCTGAGGGTCACCAGCAGACTCGTTGCGGAAAACAACTCTGCGAGGCATTGCTAAAGCTAGCTCCTTCCAAAACACTGAGGAAGGGGTCTGTAAATCAAACAAGCACAAAGCAAATTAAGTTAATACTGTTGGTCTGAGTTACTTCACCTTTTAAGATGAAAACACTTTACTCCTACAGTTATAAGTACACACGTTCACACACAAACACTGTAGGTTACAATGCATATTAAACTAATATTTTAACTAGACAAAGTTTTTGTAACTTGGAACCGGTCGGATTGTTTTCTGCCATTCACCATTACTCTGAGTTATGAGGCATGTTAATGAGAAGGCAGTGTTTAGAGAAAAAAAAAGAAAAGAAACGGCCACAACCTTCAGGCACCAATAAGAATTCGACCTCATTTGAATTCAAATATTTTGACAGTTAAATGTTAAATATGAAGGAAGCCAAAAAGGTGTATGCTTATATTCATAATTTCAGGAGAGAACAACATTTGTGTGTAAATAAGTGAGAACTTCTTTTTTAACCTTAAAAAAAGTTATATGCTTTTGAGTAGTACGGAAAGCTTAAGTGATAGCAAATCTGTCAGATTGTTTGGTTTTGATTTTGGTTGTCAGTTTGTTTTCATCTTTCAACATTCCTCTCCTTTGTTTCAGATAATCTTTGTGTTTGCACAGGCCAAAATTAATTACTGAATGTTGTTTTGTTGTTTTTTTTAGCATGTTCACAAAAACTATTATTCCTTTTATTTATTCATTACGACGGAGTATTTAACAATGTTTTTGGGAAATTAATTCTGAGTTTAAAGTCGTAAATATTCTATCCTGTTTTAGAGAAGAGTTGATCAAATGAGGGTTGTGGAGCATGGAATTCGTGAAAATGTACATTAGAAGAGGTTTCACAAATAAAGAAATACTAAATCTTTTGGCACATCATAATCAGATTGCCATAAGTATCGTTAAAAAGTATATGCAAGAAAATACATCCTTTCCGCAGAAAGAACCAGGCAGACTTGTAGGAAATCGCTGCTTTTGAGGAGGGGAAATGTCTGGATGTGGTCGATTGCAGGGTTATCGGTGGCTGCGGGCCATTAAGAGAGGTTTTATTCTCCTCATATCTACAACGGATTATTAGGGCCACATTTAAAAAAATAAATTGAATTAATTACGAGATTAAGGTCGTTATTAAAAATGGCGATAATTAATTACGAGAATAAAGTCGTGAATATTGTTTTACAACACGAGAGTTGATAAAATTAGGGTCATGAAGCATGGAATTAGTGGAAATGTGCTTTAGAACAGGTTTCGCAAACATAGAGATAATTAATCTTTTGGCAATTCAGAATGTAACACTGGGATAGGCTCCAGTCCCCCTGTGACCCCATTTGGGAATAACGATTCAGAAAATAGACAGGTGGATGGAGAATCAGATTGTCATAAGCATCAGGATGTTACAAAGAGTATGCAAGAAAAGGCATCTTTTCTGCTGAAAGAACCAGGCGCTGCTTTTGTGGAGGGGAAATGGCTGGAATTAGTCGTCTTCAGGGTTCTCGATGTGGGGCCATTAAGAGGGGTTTTTATTCTTGCAATATTTAATAACGACTTTAATCTTGTAATTAATTCCCTCAATTTTTTTTTTTTTTAATGTGGCCCTAATACTCCGTCATAATTCATTATTGTATATTATTTGTTTAAATAAATACCAACTATAAATTCAAAACTGCAAACTTTACAAACTTAATGGGGATCTTACCACAGAGTTGTGCCTCCAGGTGAGTAACGTGAGGCGGTGCTGGTTCTCGCTTAGCTGCTGCTTAATCTCAGGACTCATGCGTTTGGACTGACCCTCCAACACTATGAGTATAGGTTGCTGACATAACTCCAACAAGTGGAGAAGGCCCTGTCTGAAGCCAAACACACAATCAAAGTACATCAGACACTGTAGTGAACTGTACAGCAGCAACACTGACCTCAGGTGGTACATTTTTATGCAGCAATAATATTATTTTATTCCACATCCAAAATCCAGTTTAAACAGAGCTCTTTAAAGGCTTTTATCAATGAGTACAAATATGTTTGTGTGCCTCACCTGAAGTTATTAGAACACCAGTCCTGCTCAAGGTAGGCATAAGAGAGTAGCACGATGAGACGGCGGGAGCGGCTCATGTTCATTAGGAGCTCTGCAGAAGGCTCTGGATTGAAAAAGGTACCCAGATAATATAAAAACATGCAAGTCAGGAATATCATGCAGTTAGGGTCATAGTCTGGTTAGCAACCATTTTAAAAAGCTTTTGGAATTGTTTGCAACAAATAATTAATAACATTATATTGAAAACACTTAAACAGGCAATGAAATCAAATATTTGAAAAATGTTCAACTATTAAAAGGTTGACTGGGAGCTAGAACACATGAATAAAATGTTTCTTTACCTCCACCAGGTAAGATATCGTTCTCATTCAGGTGCACCTTATATCCACTTTTGTTTTCCAGGTGAGGTTTAAGAATGAAGTTGACAAACTTCCTGTCATAGTCATTGTTCACATAGGAAATGTAGGCATCATAAAATCTCCCATCTGAGGAGATACAAACATATCACAGGTGTTAATGACACATCCTTAAGTTAGAAAACAGCATTTCATTTCAGCAGAAGTCTCACCGTTAAGTTCATAGTCTCCGTATGAGTTCCTGTACCAGAGCCTGATGTTAAGGTGGCACCTGACATACACAACAGCACTGACAGCCAAAAGGAGGAGAAGGACGAAGGCTGCAATGACAGCAGCTGTGTGGCTTGGACTGTCTGAACACACATAGAGTCAATAACATTGCATTAACATTAAAATATCAAAACTTCAAAGTTAATGAACCCTATGGATGTGAACATTTCTGAAAGGGCATCTGTCCAGAAAGCAAGGATCCAATTCCCTGCATATCTTTTCAGATTTTCCCTAGTATTTGCAGCTGGAAAAAAATTAACGAATAAAACTCACTACTTGTCCCAACTAGTCTTACTTGAAATCTGTATCCGGAAGTCTAAGGAGATGTTCCTCACTGTGCAGCTGTAGAGTCCAAAACCATCTGATTCTCTGATGGTGATTTCAAGCAGACTGTGAACCATCAGCTGACCAGCACCAGGAGACCTGATAAGTAGTGCAGAAAACTATCTTTTTGTGTTTTGCAAAAAAAAATGATTTAACACTCATGGAAAACTACTATCAATACCATGATGATGTGTTGTGCAAGTAGAGTGTGTGGTTGCTGACGGGTTGACCATCTTTCATCCACTGCAGGGTGTTGTCACATTGCTCCTGTGATGGATCCAAGAGAAGAAGAGCGGTGCAGTTTAGTCTCACAGTGGATCCCACATTCTTCCAGAGATTGGTCAAGTCCCCATTCGGTTTAAATTCAGGAGCTTTGGAGCACTGAGATTCTGTGAAAAGGCATACCACTGTTATTTGTGTTCCCCTCGATAGCTGCAGACAGTAGAGACCTTCATGTTGTGCCTGTGACTGCTACCAGGAAGCATACAGAAACAAAAGGCATCTCTTGAGGCATTTCGGTTCATCTAGCCCTTTCAACAACACACACAAAAAATCTGATGTATCATTGTGCTGTTAAAGGCTGTTAAAGTAAAAAGTTTAAGATTATGTAATTTAATTCATGCAAGTAGAAAACTCACCCTTAACTATGAGGCGAACAGTGAACGATGCTGTACTGTTGCCCTTTTGCATACAAGTGTAATTTCCTCCATCTTGCAAAGTGACCATGGCAAATTCCAAGAAAGCCTTCCCCCTTTGAATTGGGAGTTGCATGCAGTCCTTCTGCCAGGTTAGTTGGATTTGGGTGGAGCTCTGGGGCTGAACAGGCTTTAAAGGGCACTGCAGTCTATATGGAGGCCATTGCTGCCCCACATAAAGCACCTGCACCGTGGAGTTGCTCTCATCCAGGCAATCCTGGCCTACAAATAGACACAAGTTATTCCAGAGTGTCAAGGGTGAAGCCAAAAAATATTTTATTTCCCAGCTCTGAAGTCCTTTCCTTAATTTAATCTGAGCATGTCTAGATTAATTATTTAATAACACATAAAACTGAAATTAAGTAATACTATATGGCCCATATCTGAACCGCTTAGTGCAATTTTTTTAGTTTTTTACAATGTGGTCAAATTAATAGTCTGGCTATCTTTTGTTAAAAGATATAGATACTTCATCTATAGATGATATAGATGCATTTTCTTGAGCTATAGCATAAAACCGTTTCAATATAGCCTTTGTCTGTAATTTTGTGATACTCAAAGGTAACCTGGTTTACCCTTTCAGTAAGCAAAGCTCCGGGCAAAGCGTCACACTATATTTAATAAATAAACACTACACAGGAAAAAAAAAAGTTTGGCAATAAGAAATACCCTGCCTGTACTTTACAGTATTGAGTACGAACGCTAAGCATAACTAAAATATAAAATGAAAGTATTCAAATGGAAGAGCGTCTGTTCTTTTTCGAGTGTTCCGACACAAAAGCATCCTGGTCCGAAGTCCGGAGCAAGTCCTGTTGCCAGGCAACAGCACGTCATTTCGTACCAGATAGTGCGTGACCCTTCCTACTCTCACCAGACGTGCACTGACCTGGTATCTAAACACTCAGCATCATGAATATCTATACCCCTAACGCTTGGAATAAGCGGTGGAGTTTCTAAAAGTGTCAGCATTTAAAAAAGTTGATACAAAAATTTAAACTTATCACAGTAAACCAGAATTAACTCGTTTGTGTTCAATTCCTACCAACTGCGAAGAAAGTTCTGTTCCACTGCGCGGAGCACAAGAACATGAAAGCGACTAAAATCACAGCCATGGGCCGAAGTTTTCCTCTTCCTACTCGGTCTAGTAGGAAGATAAGCCGCCCGAGACTTTTCTTCTGCCTACATTCACATAGAAGAATACAACGTATAAAACTATCTGTTTGTTTTCCTTTTCTTACGAACGCGTAAAGTTGGCTATGCGGACGTCAGCTCTCTGCTTCATCAGCTGCACCTGGAAGAACCTGAAGCTCCTCTTACGATTGGCTCCCTTCTGTCACGTGACGCTCATACTGCCTTTCACCTGCGTTCCGCATGATGAAAAAAAAGATCATGCAATGGGATTTTGCCATATTGTTGATTTAGAACATGAGTAAATGGTCTGAATCGTTCCTCTAACACTACTCACTATCCTTTCATGTTTTAGGATGATAAAACCTATATGTTCTTCCATCCCTGAACTCGTGCATTTATAAAAGATTATATGATTAAAAAAATACTTTCTTTATTACTTTATTCACTCCACAGTCAGAGGGCAGTCAAATATTAATACACCAAGAAATGTATTTCTCACGGGAATTTTTTCTTAAAATGTATGTAAGTAAAACTTAGCAAAATAGGTATGATGTCTGGACAAAGAAATTGTAAATTTCCCTCAAAGGAGTATAAACCATAACAAATGAGGGACACCTTTGTCATAGTAAATTCCTGAAAGTGCAACTGAATGCAATAAAACCTTCAATGGGTCATGAATAACTACATTGATTAATAGGAATACATGAACATATGCATTTCAACACTTTAAATTTAGATCACATCTTGTCTCAACAAATCTTTGTTCTTTTATTCATTAATATAAAATATTGTAATGCAAAACATTGTCATTTACAAAATACACTATCAGATCCTGTCTGTTATAAAGCAACAAGCATTACAACCCTGAATTTACAGAGCAAGGCAATGTCATAACACAATCAGGTATATGTAGTAGCAGTATAAATAATAATTAGGTTATCTTTAAAGCACTCACACACAACTCACTAACACAGATTCAAGATTAAGCTCTCAGTGCATTGTTATAATAGAAAAAGAACAGAATCATTATTGGTCAGTAAAACCACATACTGCACACGAGAAAAAAATCTTTAAGGTCCATTTAATGGATATAAATCCAGATAGTCAGAATCTCACAGCAAACAAATAAAAAAAACACACTCCCACTTCTGATAATTAACAGCCTTAAGGCATTGTCAACACTGGGAAAGAGTGTACACAAACACACACAAGGCAGCACTGGGTAAACATTGAGGAGTCTGAATGCTGTCAGGCTTCAAAAGACCTGCAGGAAATAATAATATTGGCACTTATTAATAATCATACAATCCCAAAAAAAATCAACAGATCATTTACGTAACCAAAGTGGTACCATAAAGTATTTCTTTACACATACCAGCTATAGCTTTTATATTCCATGTGAGCTTAGCCTGATCCTATCCATTAAGATAATTGATGTTACGAAGCTCTCAGAATTCTTAAAATATTTTAAACGTTTTTTTGTGTTAAGATGGAAGCCTTATTATATAAACTTATAAACTTATAAACTATTTTTCCAACATTAAAAAAGCTACATAGACACATTTGTGTCTCATATGTTAGAATTTTAGATAATTCCTGTCAAGAACAATTTCTATTAATAATGATGTTTGATTCTTATCAATTAGATCTCTAAAAATATTTTTGACTGAAACAATATACTTTCCTTTTCATTTCAAAGTCAGTTGCATTATATTCCAGGATATTGTGTGAATAAATTATACACAAGCTCAATTAAGATATTCTGAAGGTAAACCTTTCTCTTTCTTTTTTGAGTTTCAAGCAAACATAGCATTACAATAGTAAAACTCGTCATAGGAGTGGCCCCAAGGCGGGATTAGAACCATGGAATGAGCATTTTTACCATTCTCCCCTGATGAATATGGTAATGCCTTGTTTTTTTCCTCCTGACTTTTTAGAGTCTGTAAACCCTATTACTTGGAACTGAATGGGATCATACTAACTTGGTTTCTTTATTAAGTAAAATATCAGAAGGACTAAGAGCTGTTTATGCAGCAAAGTGCAATCACCTTAAGACTCACCTGAGTTCTTCTTTAAGCCTATTGAGTTTATCAAAGAGCTGATCGTTCTTCACCTGCATGGGAGCACTTGGTACAAACCAGGCTGCGATGAATTTGCATATGACGACAACATGCTGCAAGCAATGAGCAGTGTTAGAATCTGATCTCTTCATCATCTGTGAAAGTACATTATGGTTTCATACATACAGCACAGGATTCCCCTTTTGAGATGCTGACTTTTAAAATAGCCTTAACTAAGAGAACCTGTTCAGGTTTAAAAGGATATTATAAAGATGGAGGAACAAGGTCTACCTGTTAAGACTTACCTCAAAGAGGATAACAAAGGCAAAGCGTACAGCTAAAATCAGCCAGAATTGTGGGGTAAAGTTGTAGTCACTGCTCCTGTAGTCTTTATAGCTGTGAAGAGGAACACAAAAATATATCTAAACAAATGATGTATGAATGGAGAAAAGTTGTAGTGCCACCCTATCATTTTAAAAACAATGTAAGCATTAGTCTGCATAGTACAACATAATCTCCGAATGAGTTTACTACACTGTGCCTCTGACTCTCTGTTTTCACCACATAGTGTTGAGGCTTCAGTGCCATTATTGCAATCAAAGTTGTGGAAAAAATGAAGTCACAAAATAGTACAAACCTGCATGAAGTGATGTTTATGCCATCAGAAGTGACCATCTGACTAGGTTTAAATGTAACTTTGTCATCAGTCATTGAAGCAATGGAGAGAGTGTTGTTGATGTAGCCAGACATGCAGCTAGAGTGAGAGAAGAGTCTTACTAAAGTCAGTGTTTCAAAGGCCACTGTAAATTGTCATCAGTTTCTCTAAAAAAAAACACATTCTCACTCGATATCTGTTACTGTGCCATTGGCACAGGGGCCATAGTGATACTGATAAACCAATCGAGGAATGAAGTCCGAGGATACACCGATCACCAGCCCATTTGCAATGACAGCTAATACACCGATAGCCTCCAAAATGTCTATCCAAACACCTACGGAGAGGACAAGGGGGGTCAATTTGCATGCATAATTAGGAGTAAACAAACAAGCATTTTTAAAAAAAGGGGCCTTCACCAATATCGTTTGTTTTCTTGGGAACCATCCTACGCTGCAATGTCACCATCTTGATGGCATCCAAGCGAATTTCAATCACATTATTAATCAGGGCTAAAAGTGGAGCAAGAGGAAATGCTGCCACAAATATAGTTGTAAAGCTGAACTGGATCACTAAAAAAGGGGGAAAAAACAAAATAAATCAGTTTAAATGAGTCCAGTATTAGGGACAATCATCCTAAAAAATGTGTTTAAACCAACCATACAGCTCATACCCATCTCCAAAAACTCGTCAAACAGGCTGAAAGAATCAACATCTTTGAGTTGATAATTGTTATGCCAGTCTCGAAGCTTGCAGTTTTCACACTGTTCAGCTCTTTCTTTGGCCTCTGTATCATCTTTCAAGTAGCAGTGAGCACATTTTCTCTGCAGCTTCTTGATTCTTTTTCTTTTCAGAAACTTGCCGAACCATCTGAAATCAAGAAAACTAAAGCTTCAACCAGAACAGTGCAACACATAATGAGATTAATAAAATACATTCATACTTACGGGCCAGAAAACTCAAACACATTGCTGATGATTTGCTTCAGTACCATTATAATGGTCATTTGGATGAAGAGGTCTGTCAGGCAACCACTGGGGTGACACTGCACGTAATGGTGTAATACGTTGATAATATAGTTAAAATACATATGTTAAATTTTAAGAATGCAATTCCAAACAGGACAAAGGATAAAGGTGTGCTCACTTCCTCAAGTCTCCATTTTCCTGCAATTCGTACATAATCGCCTGGGTGGCCATTTATTCTGTCATCAATGTCAGAAAAACAAACCATTATTAGTCTGATTTGTTCAAAACCATTGCAGCAACATACCAGGGTTTGTTAAGTTCAAGTGGTTAATCAACAAGTTCCTACCTGCCAAGAAAAAAGGCCACATAGAAGAGTGAGGAGAAATAGGTGAAGAACTGGAAGGTGAACATCTTAACAGTGAAATTCTTCTCTGTGGCAGCAAAAGACCTTGTTTTCTCTGACAATGAAAGAATTCATGTCAGTATGAATATATTTTACTGTTTGAGTTGTCAAAATCCTAAAATTAGCTGACATCTTGAACACTACTTAGTCTGTAGTTATAACACCTTCAAATAACAAGCACAACATTTAGTATGTGTGCTGTCATGTGTAGCTGTGTATTGTAAACTCTTCCCAGGGAAATAATACAGATAATTTACAATATATAGATGTACAATATGTACAGAAAGCTCTGCTGCCTTATTGTGCTATTTTCAAGGCAGAAGTTAAGAGTGAATGTGCTATTTGCACATGGAAACACTACTGTGGATATTGTGTTAACGTGGGAACAGATTTACATATTACAATAGGTTTACAATGGACATTGTATCTAGGACGGCTTACACCAGCTCTCATAAAGATACAAGATAAGTCAGGTGATATCCACTTGAAAGAAAGTGTGCGTGGTGCACCTGATATCAGGTCCATGGAACTTGGACCTGGGATTGAAATCTACTTTTAGCAAAGATTTCACCACCCAAGTTGTAGAAAAGATGGGACACCATGTATGATATACTTCACAGCTGAGTGTATTGATGTACAGATCTCATTAACATATAAACATATAAAATGCTTAAAAACATGAGATAATTTACTGCTCAATGCAAACATAATTCTGAAATCAAAAGAGTTTGAACAGGCAACAAAAGGCTGGAATCTAAATTGAGAGTAACATGTTGCCACCAATCAGATTGATAACTATTTCATAACAGGATTGGGTATAAATAAAATCAGCATCCCTTTTTTTCTCTGATTTCACCTTAAGAAGATCATTCACTCGGAGGCCATGCACAGACTTGTGGAACATTCTATGCCGACCTATATGTCCCCAACATGCAGTTCAAAATCTAGCTCTGCATTTCGGTATTAGCATCCTCCCCTGGCTCGTGTTAGGAGTCTTCCTGTATCAAACTGTTGGCTCCACATCTACATCTGTGCTATCCACTTCCTGTTTGATGCCTGAGTCCAGCGGCATTAGAGATAGATACAGCAAACGTACCCATTCCACAGAGCTTCATGGCAACAATCCTGTTGACCTGCAAAGACACAGATGTAACAATGGTCAGAGAGAATCTTGTTGAAAATCACACCGAGGTCCACTTTTAGCATACTTTGTACCCGTGTCATGACAGTGATGATGATGTAATGGAGGACAGCCCCCAGCATCATTGCCTCCATGTTCAGGTCCATGTTCAGGAACTTTCGGGATCCACTTGCAAAATTTGCAGCTACAATCACTCTGAACACCACCAAGGCGTGTGTCAGGCCAATGATCACCATTATCTATGGAGAGGTAAACACTCAATTGTGCCACTACCACCAGAAAACCTTTCTGTCTGCAGTAACTAATGAAACACAATGCAATGGCTTTAAACAGTTTTCTTAGTGTATAAATGATTAGCTTCTCACCATAGCTGTGACACAGATCAGAACCACAGTGCTCTGGAGATATGAGTGTGTGAATTTCTTTGGTTCACAGTTAACGTCGTTCACGATTTCCAAGATTAACTCTTCCTGTCATTGAATTTCAAAAGAAACAATAGACAAAGCATTGAAAAGCTGCCAGAGTATTACTGAAATGGGATGCAGTGTATTAAAGTGATCATACCTCCTCCTCGCTCCAATCAGACACTTTCCATTCGCACACATAGGAAGCACGATGTCTTTTCCAAAACTCCAGAAACAGTGTTGCTATGAAAGTAAGAAGCATAACCTATATGAAATAGCAAAGTCTTACCTTATAAAAAAGGCACTGGTGTTGCACTGCAATAATTTGAGATGGTGTTTATGGAAACAAGATTGCACAATGACTGAGTTTAAGTATTATCTCTCTCTCTCTATATATATATATATATATATATAATCAACCCACAGCTGGATAGCCAAGGCTGTTTAGGACATGAATATATTCTCTCAATAATGTGGCATCTCTTTGCCAAAGCACATCTCACAAAATCTGTCTGTTAGATAAACACAAATCTGAGGTGGATAATAGATCCAACAGAACATGGCGTTCTCTGAAGCTAAAAATGAGTCCGAAATTAGACATCAGAGAGTACAGCTTGATTTGTAGTTACTGAAACTCCTTCCATCTGGATTTAAATGCCTGTGATGTAAATGTTGTATCTTAAAGAAAACACACTAATATCGGCAGACAATACTGTGAATATTGAAAAACTCACTCCATATTGCCATGAACATTGCAAAGAACACTGTGCCATTATTGTCGAACAGAATGGTCACCTGTGGATAGAAAATACCCAACAGTCAGCACCATCTGACAATTATTGGCACTAAGATCCTTAATAGTAAACATAATAACATACTTTGGCATACGTGCAGGTGTCTGAGAGCTTCCACACTTTGCAAGAGTTGTCACAAAGTGGGCACATGAATCGGCTCGACTCACATACCTCATGTCTGGAAAGCAGAAAGGTCAGCTATTGCACAGAAATAACCGCACAGAAAAGGTTTCATCACAGCACAAAAGCTGACAGAAAAAAAAAAACTTACATTAGAGGTGAGGTGCTGAAGAAGCTGAGGCCATAGAGAAAGACTATGATCCCTATGATTGCAGGAGGAATAAGGAGGTATGTGTACCAGCCCAACCACAGGAAGTACAAAGCCACTTTCTCCCCAAAGTAGTTCCTGATACAAGAACACACACAAATGGTATGAAGAATGAAAGGTAAAAAAGCTACAGATGTATCAATGACCCGACAAAAATCATAGCTGAATTAATTTTCTGACTTGTTTTTGGCCTAAACTGCAGCTCCTCAAAGGAGTCTGCAGATGGGGCTAATATGAGAGCTGCAGTAAGAGGCTGGCATTTTCTCTCTGCTGTTGGCATTACGCCGAACAACATTCACTTGACCTTAAGAATCATGGCTCTCCTTACATACATTTGGAAAAACTACAAATTCTGGCAAGGTGTTCAAACTCAACACTCTTCCACCTTTAACCTACATCACAATGGCGTACTGCACACATTTTAAACCCCGGTTTCAAATAATACCAACATCATGATGCTGGTGACATGTTTGCTGTTCTCTTGTCTCAAAAACGATAAAGCTGCCATTGCTGCAACCGTGTAAATCAGAATAATGAATAGGCTGTTGTGTTGCAAACCTGACAGCAGTTATGGGTTGCCCTTGGAGACAGGCTGTCCAGCGTGCCCAGCTCTCCTTCAGTTCTTTCTGTTTCTTTTTCTGAAAGCAGAGGCACACAAAATCAAAAGAAAATCATCAACACGAAGAAGAGCGCTGCTTAACACAACATGCTGCTTCAAGGGAAACAGAACCTTGCAATGTGAATAAATAAATACATTTGGGGATCTTTCTACACACATATGGCATGCAGATTAAGTGATACAATTAAGAGACTGAACTACGTGTCTCATACTGTAATTTACAACCCCTTTACGTTTTCATTTCTATGACACTTCATTTAGCCTGTATGTGTGTTTGTGGGGTAAATATGTGGATGTGTCATTGTATACTGAGTGTATGTTCACACACATGCCCACTAATTCCAAGCATAGATGAGTCACTGCATTAATATGACTCTCGCTGCACCTCTGTGAGAAATGTTTTGTTTCTAACAATAAATTCCAACATTAAAGGCGACTGCCATGTTTCACTTTTCAAATACTGGAACACTTAGACATGAAAAACACATCGTCAATCACTGTATAAATTTACAAAAAACGACTATGGAGCAGGTAAGCAGCCACTCAGACACCAATGCAAAGCACCGTTGTAGAAACTGTAAGTGGTGGCTCGATCCTGGTGGCCATGGGACTAAAGGAAGAGTGGCAGAGTACACCGTGGACAGGTGGGCAGCTATCACAGGGCCAACAGAGACAAAGACTGACAACCTTATGCACTCAAACTCACTGCCATGGTCAATTTGGGATATCTACTAAAGCTAATAAGCACATGGCTGAGGAAGCCTGAATGCCGAAGAAACCCATGCATGCACTGAGACAACATGCTAACTTTGGACAGCCAAGATTTGAAGAGGGAACATTTATTTCCTGTGAAGCAGCATTGCTAACTGCCACGCCTTTGAGTAACTGGTTGTGCCAAAGTCAACTGTAAATATTTCTGATGTTACTTTAGATGTGATAGCAAGGTTTAAAAATAAGAATTAGAAATAAGTTTCCCATGAATTTACCTCATGCAAACAGAATCTTGCCTCAAAAACCTTTGTCTTCATGAGATCCCGTAGGGATTCTGTGAGGTGAAAAAGGAAAGAATGAGTTCCTCATTGAAAGGGAAGGATCTGCACTGTAGTTCAATCTCACCTTCTGTATGGATCAGGGTGTGATTTAAGATGAAATGGACAATTCTTATCCTGAAACAGGGACAGATTTTATTTGTATTATGCAGCTAATGAGAACGGCCTTTTAACCATGCCAAACTTAGAGATCATTTTCGAAAAATAAAATCCACTCAAGACTAACATCTCAAGTTCATAAAAATAGAATGCCTTGGACTTAGTGAAAATTCTTTTGAGACCATTGCATGCCATTAGTATTCCTGTTGTCATATGGTGCACATAAACAGCATGTAAACTAAAAATAGATGGAGCTGTTCAGCTTACCTTGTACTGAGAGCCACAATGTTCTGATCTGAACTCCAGTTGCAGGCATCAGACACTTTAAGCAGATACCTGTACTTCTCAAATATTTCTTTAGGAGCTTGAATCCCATAGAAGACGAGGTCGTCATCAATAATTTTCTGACAACAGAATATTTAAACATTTGACCTCTGTTTCTCATAAACAGGAAATAACACAGGTTTGGACTTACTTTCACTTTGAAGTTCTTTTTCTGCAGCTCCTCAATGTATTCTCTTTGCTTCTTGAAAGCCTCTCGATCCTGGTCATTGCAGGTTTTGGCTACCAGAACGTAGTCATAGGACAGCGGAGTGAGCTGTGTTCCAAAATGATGGGCAAGAATCAGACATTCTCACATTTAGAAACCCAAACTTAAGGTGTTTGTTAAGATGATCTGCAGCATTCAGGATATTCTCAGAAAGGTTACAATAAAGGATCTCACCACAGGAGGAAGTGATATCTGCTCATTGCCATTCTCTTTTACCACTCCCATGAGTTCCAGCAGTTCAATGCTGGGCTGAATCACAAAATGATAAAAGAAACATTACAAGGAGAAGCCATCATGTTAACAACACTGTGAACAACACAGGCATCACAAATGGATATGAACATAGAATTATTTTTAGCAGGTAATTACATTCTTCTCCCTGTCTCATAACAAACTGATAAAAATCAGCATACGGTTATCACCCACTAAAGAATCCTGTCTGTCAAAGGGAAGTGTGTCAATGAATGCCACCCTGGCGAAAGAAACCTGTTGCTCCTTAAAACAACTGTCTTTACACAGGTAGATTCTCACCTGACATAACTACATGCCATCGTAATTATTCTTATGGAGCCAGCCCATGCCTTTCACATTTTCTGTTACGTGTCTTTCAAAGCGGAGGACCTGAGGCCATCCTTGAAGCCCACTGTGACCACTATGATGTTACTGACCAAATACACAACCCAACTCTAGTTCAGATGAAGGCATCGGTGATGGTCCAGGCTTTGATTTGTGGAAATCCGGAATGGGTTAGTGTCATCTGAGGGTCTGGCACAGGGACAAGCGTCGTGGTCTGATAAGTGCTTTGTTAGCCGTCATGTTAAACGGCGGGCCTTTTGTGTCAAAACATACGCTCTTAGACAGGTAGCATGGCCTCGGAGGAGCTTTATTATGTGAATCGACGTGATTATGAGAGCGATCACCCACCTGCCTCCTGTGTCCGGGCATGACGAGCAATGCAGCTGCGAACCCCCGGATTGAGAAGAATCCTCAGTGACCATTCAGTGATCCCCCGGCCTCAGTCTGCTCTGCGATCTGTCCAACTATAGAATGACATGAGTGCTCCTCAAGAAAACAGTGGCAACTTCCGGATTTCCTGCTAAAAGATTTGTTTCTCTAGCGAAGGTATGTAAAAGCGACTCTACCTGTTGCTGGTGTCACAGCATTTGTCTGCACAGGCACCTCCTCACTTTCCCTCTGACAGTCCAACAGCGCACCCAGAGACAGGCAGCACCGTCCACCGTGTAGAATTATTACAGAAGAAAAGAGAAAATGGATGGGATATGCCAGGTGCGATGGAATGGCATATTTTTATGTTGCCTCCGCCTGGATAGAGCAGCATCGGTTTGGCCGCTAGATGGCAGCAAATCCCCCTGGCTGCATTGATTTGCTGTGGACTGAGTCATCCTCCACTCATCAGTCAGCAAGCCTGCAGCTCCCCACAGTTGTTAAGAAACCAGAAATGAGCTGGAGTGGATTAACTGATACGATGTTTTACTTGAGTAAAGCATTCAAATCAAATGCTCAAGTACAGGTTTAATAAGATGAGTGCCATCAGTAGAATACTGTCACCGACGCACCACGTGTGAGCAGCACATTTCTGAAACATTGACGGAAAGACTAAGAAAAAATGTACATAATTACAGCACCAGATGAAATGAACTGACTTCATTCTACAAGATCTGAAAGCATCTTTAATAGCTTTAATTGAGTAAACTGCAAATAAACTCCTTAGAGATCAACATTTAGACGAGGAAGAAATACGTTCAATCACTTGTTCTGTGTGAAAAACAATCTTACCGTTTCAAATGGCAGTGATGATTGAAAAAGTCATGAAACATGGAATTGTACTTCTTTAAGTACTCTACGTCTGCAGTTTTACTTCTGCAAAAGGATCTTATTTCAGAAGAAAGGGTTGTGTTTTTAAGCAGGAAATACCATGAAGAATCAAATAAAAACTGACATTGACAAAATAGCCTTCTTGCTGATTATTTCACAAGAGTGCACAACTTATTTAGTAATGATATTCGTGTTATTTTTTGCAATAAATGAAATGCTATGCCATTCAAATGGCTATGCCAAAATGTTATTCTTTTTAATATCCTTCCTCCATTTTCACACGCTTGACTGTAAAAAAGGTAAAGTAACATGAAGGGGTGGTCCCGGGTGCCCTGTTATTAGAGAACATTTTACTGTTAGCCTTAGAAAACGTGGAGGGCAGTGCTCACCCAAGAAGACCCACATCTCAAGGAATAAGGTGGTATGAGGCTGGAGAAAAAAGAGGTGTGGTAGCGTAAATAAGCAGATGTATTTCTGTACCCGGCCACACCCCACAGAGGAGGATAACATAATTACACCGCACGGCACTGTGTAAACCACTTGAAGGGCCATAGGGGGGGCCACTGCAGCTAAATCTGACCAGAGTGGAAGTGCAGAGTGGGGAGGCATCTGGGAGGGGCAGCAATGAGCTGCAAGAGACCCCTTCTGGAACTCCCAGCCGGAGAGGAAGAGACATGTGACTGTCCGGGAAGAGATACTCATTTCTCCACTGCTCTAAAGTAAACTACACACCGTATCAAACATCCTGCCTGCTGACAGATTTATCGAGGTTCAAGCTCTGGAAACAGGAAAAGACTTTTTAGCTCAGAACAAAAAATTGTATTAAGTCTTTCTCACCCAGCCAAATAAAGACTTGTAAACACTTATTGTTAATCTGGCCTTAGGTTTAAGGGATCGTGTGACTCACCTTCTGTAGAAGAAGAAAAAATGATCCATTTACCCATTTTTGGAAAAGATGACTTAATATCATCTTGAATCTGTGATTCTCAAACTTAACTATAGATATTTGTTTAACAAATTAATTAACAATTTTAACAAGCCAGGTCACCCAGTAGAATGACCAAGAAATGTGACACAATCTTGGATTTTCCTTTTTTATTCAACCTCTCCTTTAACCAGGCTGATTGATAAGAACACATCCATCAGAGAGGAAGTCTGTTAAAAGGAAAAGGATTATCTGGGGACCCTGGTAAATCAGGAAAGAATATATAATTTCCAGTTTGTTAAATATAAACATTGTCATCCCCCTAAGGGGGGGGGCAGCAGAGATGCTGCAGCACAGGATGACAGTCACTGCACATTTGTATTAGTTTGCATCTTTCTTCATTGCTCAGCAAAAAAACCTGTCAGTTACTACCATTTCCCCTAGATTGTACCACGTTATAGGTTCAGGTGTTTAATGTTCACCTGTTTATTCGCATCATTCTGATATTCTTGAATAAGCAGCTTCCTCTGTTTTAAATACGTTAACGTATGAAAGACAACCGACCCAGAGTCATTTCCCGTTTCTCACTGATGACTCATTCGGTGTGATTTGTATCTTGGCAGACATGGAAACGTCAGAGCTGAGACTTTTATTTGAAACTGGCCTGTGTGTTCTGTGGTCAATGTGCCCGGTAGGACGGAGAGAGACTAAAAAAGGTCACCTCCAAACTTGCTATAAATGGCGTCCGTGTGCCATCCCCGCCTGTTGTTTGCTTGATAAATTAAATCCACCGTCCAAATATTTGCGCCTGTTCTCGCTTTTTTTTTTTTTTTTTTTTTTTCAGTTGCTCACACGTGTGTGCATCGAGACACTGAGTCTATCAGCGGAGAAGTCGGAAACCATTGGCCGACGGCGGGCAGCCACTCCCCCCCGCGGAGCTCCCCCCCCGGGCCCGGGGGGCCGCGGCCCGGCCCTCCCGCCCGGCCGGACAGCCGGACACTCTGCGGGGCGGCCAGAGGGAGACGGACGGCGGCCGGAGACGTCACGGCTACTCGGCTAGCGGGAAGGCAGCACAGGGGCGGTGGGACCGGGAGACTCTGGAGCACACGGGGGTTCACACCGAGAACCGACCAAACATGCACCGAATAACGGGCAGAACGGGAGGGGACAGCCTGATAGAGATGAGCCCGTCCGAGTCCTTCACCGGTGAGTAAACAGCCCTCCGGGACTCTGCTCGGGTCTAAAGTTACATTCGGAATAAAGATGACCACCAGCGTCTTAGTTCTTCAGCTGGAGCTGGACCCTCCGAGGGGCCTGAACGCCTCACAGGCTCCACATCCAGTTTCTACAAATTTTTTGGGGTGTTGAAGAAGTATTTCCTTTACGTTTACACTAATACGTTGTGATTGTTACATCTGTTAAAGAGTGTAACATCATTAATCATTTCTAAAAGCTAAGATGAACACATTCGTCACGGCTAGGACATATGGTATGTTGTAAGGATGTGTGTAAGAAAGTGAATTATTATACTAATGCCATTTGAAAATCATCACAAGTAACATTTTATGTGAACTTTTGGAAGCGCGTAGTCTCCCTTTAAGCGGAGCGGGCAGCTCTGACTGAGGGCAGCCAGGCTGGAGCAGCTGGCCGGCCCACTGGAAACAGTTTGTCACCCACAGACAGCCACTTCATCCACCAGCACAAAACCCCGGCCCCTGGCCCTCTGTGGATCCCACACAAAAGCTTTCCGGGACGGTTGTGGGATTTGACCATCTATGGCTGAAAAATGTGTCGTGCTGAATGAAAAATGAATAACTCTGGGAGCTGTCGGTGCAACCCTAACCGTCCATAAACAGATGTGGAGGTGTAGACTGAGTGTGTGAGGGGTTTCCACAGGATGGGGAGCCCTACTGTTACCTTGGTGCTGCGTGTTTACGGTGTGGCTGCATAACAGAGGGAAGTGGGTTTGCCACATGTCACAGCCTAAAGTCCCAGAATGACTGAAAATGATACTATGTCGGTTATCATAACATTGTTGTTTTGCTGACAGATTGCTCGTGGACCACACCGGGCATACAGTTGTTGCTCGTCACTGTGCTGTTTGTAGATCTGGGTTTTCCAGATTCAGACCGGTGCGGGTGCTGGCAGGGCGCTGCCTCGGCTGGCTTTGTGGCGGAGCTGGTCTAACCTATGTTTATGCCTGAACGCCTTTTTACTGCACCCCTGCCTTACGATGGCAAATCAGACAAACTCAATCCCTGTGTTGGTATTAAATCAAGCAAACCAGGCTGACGAATAGCCCGAACGTCTAACGTGGTATAGATGTACCCACAAAAAACATTGGATGTTAACTTCTGTGTACATGCTAAAGACAGGAAACAGCTTGGGCTGTTATCAGATTCTCCAGGCTTTGACTTTCTTTATCCTGGCTGACTTTCTGTTCATTTGTGAAACAACATGTTTACTCAAAAGCCTTTTGGGTGTCTGTTTGCAACCATCGCTGTGGCATTTCCACTTCTCAGCTGCTCACTCTTGAACAAAGCCTTAACTGTGGTGGCTGCTGTGAGCAGAAAAAAAAAACTCTTGGCATGACCAGCTGGCTGATATTGCTTTCAATAAAGGGCCCAACTGTGAATCAATATGCTCTGTTGTTTCACAGGCATTCTCCTAAACTGCGAAGGAACCACGCTACAATCCAAGTTCGTTTCACCAGATTTAAGGCTGAAAGCAATGAACTGCTGGAAATTTCTAACAAAAATGTCTGGCCTCATGTTTTAGTCCAAATGTTGATGTGTTGCCTCCAGTGCACCCGTGTTCCGCTGTCATCTGACACTGGGAACATACTTAAAACGCTGGAATTGGAAACTTTTTGTTGGATTTAGATCTTGGAAGAATATAGAAGCAGACAAAGTATTTGCAAAAATGAATTATGTCCAATTATGTGTGGAGAAACAATATAAACCAATTGGCGAAAGCTTACTGTCATTAGGTTTCTGAATAATAACAAAACTGTACATGAACTGCTGCTGGCAGATGTTCGTACTTCACATTTCTGTCCTGTTTGGGTGGGCCCACAACCTGAATGGAGAAGTCATCTCTTCCTACTGCGTTAATGTGCTTTAGATTGAAAAAGAGGAAAAAACAAAGACAACACAAAGAAGATTGATCTAATTTTCTATTTCCCATCAACACATCAGCAAGAAATGTGCTATGATTTTCACACAATTTCTGAGCTTTTCCTACTTCATGGAGCGTTTGTAATATGCCTGGAGAATAGATCCCATACATGAACAGTTTTAAAATCCCTCCTAGAATCCTTCAGTTGAGGATCTATTTTGGTGTTTCACATGCTTTTTTCTGTTTATTTGTGGCACCACAACAAAATGAAGAGTTTACAGGACGCTTTACAGGGTTTACATGTAATTTATCGCCATGGCAAAATAAAAGCCAACACACATTCAGAATAAAGTTGTGCACTATATGTAAGGTTCTGCTTTTATGCACTAATAGTTATTCATTTTAGCATGATGTGGACTTAAGTTCTGAGTCCTTGTTTCAGGTCGGTGTGTGCACATTTTCTCTGTTCCTTTCAGCCTAAATATAAAGTCAGAGTGACCATCAATTACATTTTCCCTGCCTTTCAAAACCCAGACATAGAGGCTGTTTTTTTTTCTTTGTTTTGTTTTTTTGCTGACCAAAGTGCTGTGCTCATGTTTGTCTTGCCTTTTCATCCACCACTTGATTTGTTTATGGAAATCCCTTCTCAGAATGTAATTTGGAAAACTAGAATTGTGCCTAACAGCTGAGGAGTGCTGGGAAAAAAGAAGAAAGTGTTTTCGGTTCTACCTTGTTTTGTCACACTTACAGCTTATATGTTCAAAGACACTCAGGGGGTTACCCAAGGCCTCATTCTCGCTTCCTGAAGTCGACTCCCTTCACTCTCTGACCCTGTTCAGTCACTGTGTGTTCCCTGAGGCACTGCTGCCTCTGTACAAAAGCTCTGTACAAATATAGAGCACGGCGTTGGCAGCCTGTCAGTGCTTCCCCTTAACCTCAGGCAGCTGTTCATACGCCTGTAACCGCCACCAACCTGAGTGTTTCAGATCACTTGTTACCCTAACTTGCATAACGGAATAAAATCATGAGTGTTGGGCAATTATAACTGTCACCTTCTCTGTTTTTTCAGTTTATAATGTTTTCCTTGTCTCACTGTCTTGCAGATGAAATGAATGGGTATCACCAACATGCCTCATCCAGCACGGGATCCCTCCAGCAGGGGCATTCAGGGGTAAACGCCAAACGCAACACATATCCACACTCACACTCCCTCTTTGCCTCGGCTCTTCCCGGCTCATGCTCATCATGACTAACAATCTCTAGTTCGGCTTGTGAGGTTCCATGTGTAAATATAAGGAATTGTATATTGTATTGCTCACAGGTAGTTCCTGTCTATTTCGCTAAAATACTTTATACCTCCATCCTGCTGGTTTCCTTTATATCCGAAGGGGTCGCATAATAGTTTAATCTTTGTCATGACATTTTTTCCCCCGCTCCGCTACTGAGAAGTGTGTCAGTAGTTGGACGTAACCCTTATGCTCCTGTATTCTCCTGCTTCCACCCTCTGCTTAAAGTCTCCTTTACTGCCTGAGGTGTGTGTAGAGACCTGTGAGTCTCTCAGCACCAGCCTGGCCTCCCTGGCCCCCTCCGACCACAGTGACAGTCCACAGTCTCAGACATTAGAGCAAATCAATGCTATGACGGGGGTAAGACACCGGTCCCGGGTGCAGCTGCATGCCGTTGTGTGTTTTCCTCTAGTCTCCAGTCACCTCTGAGCTCCGCCGTCTCAATGACTGAGACCTGAGCGGACACAGTGTGTGTAAACCATGTTACAAGTGTGGCGTGTTGGATGTATTGATCCGTTTGATCACCTCTGCTAGGTTTGCTGCTACATTTGTAGCAGCATGCTGCTGAATCCGTGGTGTTGTTCGGCCCCCTCTTACTGTCCACTCGGTTCCTCCACAGCTTTCGAGAAAGCGGGCGCTGTTCCTGAAGTATCGTTCCAGGGTATGGCATGGTAAAACAGGCTTGTGATGTGATGCAGCCCTGTGCAATTGCCTGCTTTGCCTGCCTGCCTGCCGGCCAGCCAGGCCTTTACTCCTCTTTCAGGAGTGTCTGTGTGGAGTCGAGTTTCAGTCTCAGCATCAGACATTAGAGAATGAATCCCGGATGTCAAAGACATAGATACACATTTTCCTGAGAGAGAGTTGACGCTGGCATTTTAAAAGCATGTTTGTCTCTGCAGAGGGCCATGGAAACATGCACTCCAGTATCAGGAGAGTTCATTAAAACATGCTTTTTTCTCACCTCCGATAGCTGTTAATTCAAGAGAGAGCATGGCCGGTTGGTTTGACAGTGTAATTAGAAGGCATAAACTTTCACATGCAGACTTTCACACACATCAAACACTATCCCTGCTGTGTTTTTTCTTCTTCTTTTTGGTGGGTATGTATTTATGCCTTTACATAATTTAAGCATCCTGTATGGTGTAATCATGGCCCTTCCCTTTACTCATGACAGGATAAAAAGTTCTGTAGCTAAACACATAATGCAAGCTGGTTTCTTCTTTTAAATCTGTGGTCTATGTGGTTTTTGTGTAGGCCGCATAGGGCTGAAAGCTGATAGCTTTTCTAATATTCAGTTTCCCCTTAAGTGAAATCTAGGATTTAGCTGAGTGTAAGATCTTTTTAAGCTTCAAACAGGCACTCTTCCACATGCCAGAAATCATCTCTAATTTTTTATCATCCCTGAAACCCATTTAGACAAGAATAGTTCTTGCGTCATTATTGCATCCACTTTTCAAGTGGTTGCTTCAGGTCTGCGCTCAACTGTCTCTGAATGAGGTTTTCTACTTATTTAGGAGATTCTCTGCCGAAATGTTTCAGAGAAATGTACCGAAATGTACAACAAATGTACAAAATACTCTCAGAACACATAACAGATAGAGCACATTTTACTAACTGTACATGAGCTGTTGCTGAGTCAGTTTGCTTAATATTGCTGCACGCTTCAGATTATCGTCTCTGTTGGTTTAGAAGCGGCATTGTGCTCAAACAAGTAATGAGTGTAGAAAACTAGAGAGCCCCCAATTTAAGCCTAAAAAAAGACGCGTGTTGACAGGGATGAATTAGAGGAGTGTCTCCCTGATGCTGAAAAGCAGCCTATGTTACCCCATCTTTGACATTTACCCTCCTTAATTAAGATAGAAAGATACTGCATGCTAGAACGCCCTGTAGTTAAGGGTTGGTCAGTAAATGTATAGAAATCTGTGGCAACCAGCCTCAGCATACGCGCTTATTCCATATGGCTGATCTGTAATTACAGCAAATTAGAGAGTTTTTCCAGCAGGGTTCCAGTTAAAGTAAGCACCCACCCTTCCATGGAGAAGATGGTCCGACATGGTATGGGAGGTAATACAGACCAGTGGTTACAACGTACAGTAAGCTTAATTTGGGATTGGGCAGCCATGTACTTAGTAGTGTGGTGCAGGTTTCCTACTTTTCAGTGTGCGAGTTGAACCAGGATTGTAGCCACTGAAGTGAAAACATCAGTTTGCTGAAACCTAAATCACAAGCTTTATATTTAGCTGTGTTTTTTTCTGCATAAATTGCTTTAGATAGGGTTGTGTCCAAACTAGGAGGATTCGTTTGACAGATATTAGTTCCTGGTTTCCTGTAATTTAGTGATATGAGAGTTTTTAGGGAAGATTCTGCATGTGGGTCAATGTAAACACGCAGCTTTGTGGTCGCTGTTTATGATCTGAAATCCAAAAAAAGGCACACATGGAATAAGATCATATGAGGTCATCAACTGTGACATGGCAAACCTATGGTGTAGTTAGAGCTTTTCAATAAGCGTTTTTCACCTGTGTCTTACTTTGATGTTTCTATCGTTAGTTTTGGCTGAGGACGTTTGGCTTTTTGAAGTTTGGATGAAAAATACTTTACATTTTTTATCTGCTTTTGTTAAAAAAAACCAAAAAGCATCTTGTCCAGGAGCATGATGAAGCTGATGGTCTAGCCAGACTAACAGCGTCTCCCCATCTCCCTGTCTCAGCCACTTACAGAGCAGGTTAATAACAGATTAAGCGAACAATGCAGAGCGTGTGGACTGTTCGTAAGCTATTTGATCAGTAGTTATTATCTTAAATGTGACTCACGTGCAGTTGAGGATTTTTTTTTGTACAGATTACCCCCCCCCAGCCCCCGCTCTTCTCTGATGGTGTGCTCTTATTAGATTAGCTAGCTGGCAGACGCTCTGCTAGCCACAAGCTGATGTCATCCCCAGGACTTTGCTTCTCTGCCTGTCCCACCCCCTCCCCATTCTGTCCCTCTTGCTCTCTCCTTACTGGATAACTGAGCAGCGAAGGGTTTGTCCTGAGATGGTTAGTTGTTTGGTTTGATCTCAACTGGATGGAGATCAATGGAGTCAGAGTGAGGCAGGCAGTGCTTTCAAGGCCGGACTTTAGTCCCTGGAGGAAGGCACTTTTAGTCTGGGGGGAGCCGACCTTTTTGCTGATGCATCCCAAACAGAAGCCGAGTGGGCCATGGAGGTAAAGTGTTCTCTCTTTCCTTGCAGCATTAAGTTAATGGACAGAGCAAAGCTTGTGAGGATGATAATACAGAAGCCAAACGTAGGGCTGAGGGGGTGTGGGCTTTCTTTTTGTTTTTTTGTTTTTTGCTCAAGTTCTCAGTGATTTATGCCCCCATGTGTAGGTAGCTGCTGTAGAGAGGTTTAGGGAGGTACATTGAATGTAGCTATATTTAGCTGTCCGAACAGCTGAAGCAGCACTGACAGGAAGCAGCCTGCCTTGTCCTCTCTTTAAGCATCCCTGTGTAGGCCTGGGTTTGTAGTTTTTCAGTCCCACAGCCTCTGCAGTTTAGCATCAGCAGATACACATTCTTGGAATATCACCAATTCTGCAGCTAGTTGTCAATCTAAAATCCAGATGTAAATACTAATGTACATTGTAGGAGGCTTGTCATACCACCAGTTAACATCTGCTTTTTGCCGCTTCCCAGTAAGGGGCATCAGCCATGATGCATCTGATAGCATGTTGTTTGTGTTTGCAGTCAACATACAATTAGTAGTTTATTTTGTTTGTTTGCTTTAGGAAGGTAACCTGGTGTGTTGTGACGTGGAAGCTTGCCCTTTGGATTGACCATTGGACAGAGGAATTTTGTCTGGTCTGCTGTGGTGTATCCACGGGCTTACTGATCCTGTATCTGTGTGTGTGTGTTTAAATGTGTGGATGTCTCTGTTTTGTCTCATTACAGATTGATAAACAACAGCACAGTAAAGACTCTGTGTTCTTCCGTGATGGAGTGCGCAGGATTGATTTTGTTCTGTCTTATGTTGACGATAAAGATGGCGAGAGAAGACAGGTAAGAAATACCAGAAAAGCTTTGGCTTCTATCCGACTCTGTCATAGACCAGCTTCACACAAAGTGGGAGTGAAAGTTGATCACTGCAGCATGGCCCACATACCTAAACACTAATTAAGTTAGAAAAACTTAGACAGATATTTTTATCAGTAATCTGCTTAAGGGATTTTCCAAAAAGATAAATCCAACGTAGAAATCCACCATCAAACCTTACCTTTCTAGATAGTTAAATGAAAGGGATTCCACACAAACTGTGGATCTGTGTATTCTAGTGTGCTCTCTATTTGTCTCTGTCATACTGAGCTCTTAGCCTTCACATTGGAGTGTTACCACTACTGGGCTAAAAGGGTACAGCCTACTCATATCTGACCCACAGTCTCAGTCAGTGAGTCATCAGTAAAGACTTCTGGCCTGGTCAGGAACTGGCTCATTTTTTCCCCTCTGTATGAGGAAGGCTAACAGGATTCCACTTCCCTTGTTTGACAGAGAAATGTTGTAAAATACTGCACTAAATTTCAGCTCTAATGAGGCTTTTCTTCAATGTTTGGTCTGTTTTTACGGCACTTAAATAATACTTTTTTTTCTCCACACACACAACTTTTGGAAGAAAATAGCTCAAAATATCACATAAAGCCTTTTTCCCCACCTACCAAACTTTCACAGCCTATTTGTGAATCTTGACAGTTCCTGTTTCATCGACTGAGTGAAGCAGCTCTGATTTTCCCACAGTGGGTCACAAAACAGACGAGCTATGTTGCTGTTGGGCTTTGTGCGATCTGCATTGAATCTGGCTCCTTCTTTGCCTTTATTATGATTTGAACCTTATCAGATGCACACATTGTCCTGTATTTATTTTCTCATTTTCTGAATGTTTTCTTCAAATATGCAACTTAATGATGGTTTCATTCTGTTCTGCTGAAGGAGAGGAGGAAGATATATGAGGCTAACTTAGAGAACGTCGGCCTGGAGCTGGAAACAGAAGATAAATCAGTAAGAGCCTCTTGTTACTACTTTGATAATGTGAGCTCAAATGTTTTGACCGTTCATGTCTTCATTTCATATTGTTGCCATGTAAAGTTAGCTTGTAGTTAATGTAAACATTTTCAGGGAAACTCATTTTGCAACAAATCTGTTATTTATATGGTTATTTTCCTTTTGATTAGGAGTCAGAGGATGGAAAGACGTACTTTGTGAAGATCCATGCTCCATGGGAAGTTTTAGCCACTTATGCGGACGTTCTGAAGATAAAGGTTCCCTTCAAAGCCAATGACATCCCAGACAACAGTGAGATGCCCATGAACTGGCTGTCCACCCCATTTCGCCTTCCTGAGCACATCATGCACCCCGAGCCAGACTACTTCACCGCTCCCTTTGACAAGAGCAAGTCTGACTTCTTCCTAATTGGCAACAAAGATACCTTCTTCCCTCCATCAACTCGCAACCGGATTGTAAGAACACCTCGCCAGCAAACATCTTTTATCTTGTTGTTGTCCCCCAAATCCCAGAATTCTTTGGGCATTTAAATAAGTGATGGAAAAAAAGTCAATCGTGTCATTTTAAACTGTTTGGATAAAGATGATTTTCTTCAACATTTTACTGTCTATCCAGGTCTACTACATCCTCTCCCGCTGCTTTTACATCAAGGATGAAAGTGTAGACAAAGACAAGAAGGGAATCAAGAGGCTGCTGAACAACGGCACTTACACTGCTGCCTTCCCTCTGCATGATGTGAGTCCCGTGTGTGGAATTTGCATACATCTCATACAGGAACATCTTATCTAATGCATGCTTCCAATGTATCAATGAATACATTTATGTGGAGTATGACAGTTAAATGTGTATTCTGGATGCTTGCAGTCGAGATATTGGGAAAAATCAAGGGATCCCAATTGTGAAAGCGAAAGATACACTCTCCACAAGCACTGGGCCAGATTCTTCTGTTTCTTCAAGGAGCAGCCGCTGGACCTTATTAGGTAAGACCTCAGAAGCAGGCATTCTTATCTGGTGTGTATTTACTCAACACAGGCCTGACAGAAGGATTAACAGCAAGGATTCCTTTTGTCATCTGACAGGAAGTATTATGGAGAGAAGATCGGCATTTATTTTGCTTGGCTGGGTTTCTACACTGAGATGTTGCTGTTCGCTGCAATAGTAGGGACAATTTGTTTTCTTTATGGGTTCCTCACCTACGAAAACAACGAGTGGAGGTGAGCTCCTCACAGGACGAAAGCTTGAGTTCTTTGCTTCTCTCATGCTGTGATCTAAGTGGGCATTACTTTCCTTCCCAGCAAAGAAATATGCAGCGAGAAAGTCGGGGGAAATATTGTCATGTGTCCTCTTTGTGACAAGAAATGTAGCTTCTGGAAACTCAACTCAACTTGTAATTCCTCCTGGGTGAGTGACGTCAGCTCAGGTTGATCTGCCCACAAAGTGGAACATTTAAACAGTGCAACTAAAAAGAAACTACTTTTTTTAATGATCTCATATTCCTCTTTTCAGCAATCACACCTATTTGACAATGTGGCAACTGTATTTTTTGCCATTTTCATGGGAATTTGGGGTAAGTAAAATGTCTGCACACAGAATTTTGTTCTTTAAACACAGTGCACCACCTAGTGGAGGTAGTTGACATAGTAGCTGAGAAGTGGTTCACTTCAGCATTGGAAAATTGAATTTTCATAATTTCTCATTATTATTTCATTAAGTTTACTGAATCCTGAAGTGAAACTGCTGCCTCAATATTAGAGAAGAAACTTCTCTTTGGGGAAAAAAAGCTCCGAAGATTAAAAAGCTCCTTAGTCCTTTTAATACAAACGCTGTAGGGGGGGATGATTGATTATCTTCTCATGTGGTGCCTGGGGTGTGATGGATCGATTGCCTCTGCAGTGACGCTGTTTCTGGAGTTCTGGAAGAGGCGGCAGGCCCGTCTGGAGTACGAATGGGATCTGGTGGACTTTGAGGAGGAGCAGCAGCAGCTGCAGCTTCGGCCAGAGTATGAGACCAAGTGCACCAACCGCAAGCTGAACCGCATCACTCAGGTGTCTGTGTGCTAACGAAACACTAATGCTCTGTTTCACAGATGGTGCTTTGTAAAGCTTTTGTAAGATTAAGAGGAATAATAGGGTTTGATTACTGTCTTTGCTGATTTTACTCGCTGCTTGCACTCATTTTTTGCTCTAAAAAGTTGTTTTGAGTGGAGATCTGAATTTGGGATGCAGACAGTATTATGAGGGTGGTGACGGAAACATACTTGCAAGGTAAACTCAAGCCGATAGTTGCAATCTTCCATGACCACATCCCACCCATCTTTAGGAAACAGAGTGCGTACTTGACAGAACGGCTACAGATGTACTGGGGAAACTGTTTCTGTGCTGGGCCACCGTGATCCTCTGGGTAAGAGTGGTGCTCAGCGTGGAATGCCGGTTTGGTGAGGGAGAGGCTCTGTTGTGGTGCAGCTTGTGCAGATAACAGACAGCTCTGGAAAGAGTCGGAGGCACGAGTTCCCCTCTGTACCACATTCAGCGCTGGTTATCTTCTAATATTTTGGAGTATGTTTTTGCCAAAGTACGTGTTCACCAGGAGACCAAAAGAGTGAAAAAGAAAACCTAAAGAGTCCTGATTGAGCAATGTGGTTCAGCCTCTCACAAGAGGCTGGAGGTAGTTCAAGGAACTTGGGCTTTTTAGAGCTCTCTTGTCAGGATTTAACCAAAGGTGACTGACTCTTGTGTTGATGCTTTGCTCGCCTCTGCTTTAGGAAATGGAGCCTTACTTACCCATAACAAGCAAGTGTGCACGATCATGTCTGTCAGGAGCCACCGTCCTGTTGTGGGTGAGCACAGAATCTTTAGTCCAGTTGACAAGTTTGAAATGCTTTTATCTTGTCTCTCCATCAGCCGTCTCTTCCACCATGCTGATCATCTCCATCACTAATATCGTGTGTCCAGAGCTTGTATGCATAAAACTGATTGGCGGAATTATTTCTGTAAATTCTGACAGCTAAGACTACTTTTTAGTTGAGCTGAATCAGTGATAATTCTACACATTTACACATAATTCTAAGTTTTAAGAATCAGGTAAGTAATAATAAGGTCCCCTTAGAGTTGCAAACCATCAAACTTGTGGTTTTATTCATACAGGCTCAAAACTGTTGTGTTATCACATTTGTAAATTACAGCATGTGTGGGAAGAGAAGGGTTATTTTTGGGCATGTGTGCACACTTTCAAGCATCCCACTGCGATCCTCACCGCTGAGTAGACCCTAACCGTCTCGCTTTTTGCATGGATGTTTGCATGCGCCTTTGTGGTTAGTTTGGTGACCCTCTGTTCAATGTGGTTGTCTTTCATGTTGTCACTGTTTTCTCTGTCCTGAAGATCTCATTGATCATTGCCTGCATCATTGGGGTCATAGCGTACCGCCTGGCGGTGTATGCGGCCTTCGCTAGCATCATGAAAGACAGTCCCACCAACAGCCTGGAGGTTGTTGGACCCTACATCACTCCTCAGCTGGCCACATCTGTCACCGCCTCTTGCATCAACTTTGTCATCATCATGATCCTCAACCTCATGTATGAGAGAGTGGCTGTTTGGATCACTGACTTGGGTGAGGGCCAGAGCATGATGCTATGCTCAAAGTAGGAGTTTTTTCGAATTGTAATATTAACTCCAAATATTTTTGGACTTTTTGCAGAAATTCCAAAGACCCACCTGGAGTATGAGAACAAACTGACAGTGAAGATGTTCCTCTTTCAGTTTGTCAACTACTACTCCTCGTGCTTCTACGTGGCTTTCTTTAAGGGCAAGTTTGTTGGCTACCCTGGAGATTACGCCTATATGTTTGGAAGGTGGAGCAAACTGAGGAACGAAGAGGTGCCACATATGTTACTGTGTTAAAAGATTTGAACCGTCCATTCATTTTCAGCCTGTTATTTACTGTAATGTTGGGGTGTGTTCAGTGTGACCCAGGTGGCTGCCTCATTGAGCTGACCACCCAGCTGGTGATAGTAATGACCGGCAAACAAGTGTGGGGCAACATTCAAGAAGCTCTGGTCCCGTGAGTACACCTCCCTTCACCTGCATGTACACAACATATACACAGGAGGTTTGCCATTTTTTAAGTGTGCCGGAGGGGGAAAAAACACGTCATAGTGTGAAATATAGATTTCAACAAGCTGTGTGAGTGTGTGCTCGTTGTATAAACATGAGTGGTCATCATGACTAGTTGTACACTATAAATGCAGCCCATACATGAATTGTTTTACTGAAACAATCAATGTGATTCCACCGTGATTAGAACTGTTTGATAAGTTTATAAGATTGAATATTTTATTAGACCTAGATATTGAGGTAATGGGTGTATCCATGCTTTAACTGTAATATTCCCCCATTTTCATATTCAAAATGTTAATCAATTTATTAAACGGAGGGAAAAAAACAAAAGAAAACATATTCTGAAGGCCTCTGCTGCCACCTTGTGTCCTTCAGGTGGCTGATGAACTGGTGGGGCAGCAGGAAGGCCCGGAGCCACCCGCAGAGCCTGTACAGCCGCTGGGAGCAGGACTACGACCTGCAGGGCTTCGGTCAGCTGGGTCTCTTCTACGAGTACCTGGAGATGGGTAAGAGGCCTGTATATTGCTGCTATACTCAGAGAAAGCTGAAAGCTCAATCTTTCAGATCTACAGTTTAGATCCCCTTGAACACCAGGGGAAGTTTTGTAAGGATCAAGCCAAAACTGAAGACGTAGTATTGCATTCCAATTACACACAATTAAAACCCCACAACATTTTTCTAAGGTATAAACCATTTTGATGCCGAAAATCTGTAAACTTAACATTAGTAATTAAAGAAAGCTAAGTGTCGATCTAAGGATGGATAATTGGTAGATGGTGCTGTTGCCATTTCATATTTGTCTTTTCTGACATTTCTCCTCTCTGTGTCCCAGTGATCCAGTTTGGTTTCATCACTCTGTTTGTGGCCTCCTTCCCACTGGCACCCCTTTTGGCACTTGTGAACAACATCATTGAGGTCAGAGTGGATGCCTGGAAGCTCACGACTCAGTTCAGACGTCCTGTTGCAGCCAAGGCCCACAGCCTTGGAGCATGGGAGGAAATCCTCAATGGGGTGGCCGTGCTCTCTGTTGTCACTAACGTGAGGGCTTAACTAGACTTACAATCTGTGCCAGATGCATAAGGCTAATTTTTCAGACCCAGTTAACTCCACTGATTTCTTCCCTCTCTTGTAGGCTTTCATTGTGGCCTTCACCTCTGATATGATCCCCCGGCTTGTGTATATGTATGCCTACCAGCCAGACGGCAAAATGAATATGAAAGGCTACATAAACAACAGCCTGTCTGTGTTCAATATTTCTGAGTTCAATGAGCATAGCAAGCCAGAGGAGGGGGAGAATCCCTCCTGGTTCAACAGCTCCATCACCACCTGCAGGTGAGACTGAAAGAGTGATTGGATAGCTGCTCTGCATGTTGAGTAGATTGGAGCTGTCCGTGAGGAGTTGCTGTAAACTGTGTGTGTGCGTGAGAGCATGTGAGAGACTACAATTATCACGTCTGTTGGTGCCCCTGCACTGTCGCACCTCATCCAGCATGGCTCCTTTCTCCCCTGCACCATACACAATCTCAGTTTTAATGAATCCGCTCCAGGTCTGAACATTGGAATGGTCTCTTTCCGCAGGTATCGTGATTACCGCTACCCCCCTGGGCACGAGAAGCAGTACCTGCACACGATGCAGTTCTGGCATATTTTGGCTGCCAAGCTGGCTTTCATCATAATAATGGAGGTAAGTCCTCTGGCCTGACTTCTCCATCAACACTTACCAAAGATTTGAACTGAGCCTCTACATACAGTATTCACAAAATTAACACTTTTGTTAGACAGGCTTTCAGAATGGACACACCTAGCCAGTTTGTTCTGAATGAAGGTCCAAACTGTGACAGTAGTACAAACCCACTCTTAGCAGCTTCTGAAGCTCTTTGTCTGGCTGACAGAGTGGTCCTTTTTCAGGCATGATCATAAGACGGCTGAAGAGAGGGTCCCTGACAGCAAGTTGTAGATTACAGAGGATGCATTCAGTTCATGTCGAGGAACCAACACGTCCCATATTTCACTGACCACATAGAATTAGGCCTTCTAAGATTTTCATTTCGAGTATCTGCTTTGCCAGCTATTGGGAGACAACTATCCTCTGGATAACATCTGTACAATTACATGTCTGCTGGGCATGTGTAAGAATAGCTTGTAAAAGCTAACCACTTACATTTTCTCCTCTACAGCATGTTGTTTTCATGGTGAAGTACTTCGTGGCCTGGCTCATTCCAGATGTGCCATCTGATGTGAGGGCTCGGGTAAAGAGGGAGCGTTACCTGGTCCAGGAGAACATCCACAACTACGAGGTGGAGAAGCTCAGGCTCCAGCTCAGCCAACACGGCAACAGCGAGTGCACCTGCACGCCGATGATCTATCCGTCTTTATCCAAACACGAGGTGCTGTCAGAGTGCCTCTAGCCCGGCCAGCTGCTGGTCCGCGGCCGGGACACGTGATGTAGATTTCCCTGCTCATGCATCCTGATACCCACCGCCACTCTGCTGTGTTGCCTGAGTTGTTTGCTGAGTAACATTCACTTTCACTGAAGAGCTCCAGCTTCACTCACTTTTCAGCCATCTCTCGTCCACTTACCTACCGACAGTGGGAAAGCACATTTGTCAAAAAACAAGTCTGACAGTTAGAGCCACTTAAATTTAATCATCTTTCCCAAACTTATGGGTTTCCTGTCTTGTGTGTTGTACTTATAGAGATGAGGGTCATAAATTGCTGTAAGGAAAGAGGAAATCCTATACACTGTGTCTAAAGCTATCAGCTTACCTATGTTTTGATGTAAGACTATTTATTATAAGTGCCACTATGAGTAACCAAAGACTGGATGCCTTATTCTATCATACACTTATCCTTTGATCTGCAAGTTAAATACAATCTTTTTGTACTTTATGTACTGACAGCAGAACATGGTAAGTTTAAAATCAGCAGACCTGGATCCATTCTTGCATAACCACATAACGCTCCATTAGGTTCTCCAGGCCACCACCTGACATGTGAAGACCTTTTTTTAATTAAGAGAATTCTGTGCTGCTTTTATTAATGTAAGGATAGATTTTTGTCCTGCGATGGCCAGTTGTTCAGCCACAGAAGCAGCAGCTGGAACTTTTAGCGTTGACAGCGTTCCCGCAGCTGAGAGCCAAAAGCTTTGAGAGAGTGAAGAGATCCCTTTTGGTCCCCGCTGATGATGGCCTGTGCCCACTGCTGAGCACTCCGGCCATCAGCTGCTGCCCCCAGGCTTCCAGCTTCCTCAGCCATGTCTGTGATGAGAACAAAAGATGCACGTTCTCTTTTGATTTGCACACAGCACTTAAAGATGCATGGTTACCAAGAAATAAATGTCAAACTAATTGCTGACGAGTCACTCTGTATTCATGACCAGTGTTTGAGAAGTGTACAGCTCGTTGTATAAGTGTACAGCTCTCACCTTGTGACACCTATGTGTTTTTAATGTAAAAAAGAAGACAAGATATATCTCAAGTTTGAAATTACGTGGATGTTTGATGTCTCTTGTTGCCTGATAAAAGAAACACATGAGAGATAGCTGTTATTAAAGGTTTTAGATACATGTAAGGGAGCTAAGAGTGTGTGAAACATGTTTAAATATGTGTTTGTTCAAGATGTTTAGAAGTGACCATGAAAGTTCACCTCACTGTTCCAGTTTGCCTTATCTTCACTATCTTCTGCTGAACCAGTCCCCTCAATGCCTTAAAACATGCCTCTAATACTTTGTTTTATATTACTTCTTCCAAATATAGTGTATTTTCTCTGCTGTTGTGCATTAGTTATGTTTTAATTTTGCCATGCTAAGGGCAAGAAAGGTGAGCCTGTTTACTGTATGCTCAGTTACACTTTCACATTTTTATTCATTTTGTTCTTTCATTTTTTTGTAATTGTCCTATATCCAAATATGTCATGTGATATGTAACAAAACTAATAATAAAGTAATAATTCGACTTGTGCATCTGCTTGACATATTTCCATGGATCCTAAAATGTTGTAGGGCTTCAGCTCTTTCTTCAGGAAATGAAAGGTGCTGTTCTCTGAACAGATGGCCATTGACAGCATTGATAACTATTCAGTGTTTGTTCACACTGAAGGGTGTGATTTACACCCAAAAATACTGGCAGGGTGGTTTGACTTGGCAACAGAGCAGTTGCTGTTGTGACAAAGAAATTGCTAACAATCCATTTAAAGGTATGGTTTGAAATGTAATGTAATGCTAACCTCAGGCTTGTTTTCTAATTATGGCAAGTAATTATTTGCTAAATGATTTGACAGCTTTTTTTTCTTTTTATATACTTTGATAACCTGAACCCTCCCAGTCAGTTTCTCAGGCTTTCCCTCAACCTTCTTCCTCCCCTCATCACAAGGTTCTTCTTCAAACTGACCCTGGCGTTCTCCTTCTGGATTCCTGCCTTGCTTTCACTCATCTTTCGCCAACTGGAACAGCTGTACTGGAGGCTTACCCCCCCTCCTCATGGCTGTGAGACTTCTCCAGCCATTATCTTGGCATTTATGTGTGTGCATGCATCAGTGTCGGCTGATTCACAGTCCTAGTGCATCGGTGCTTTTTGTTTATGTCTCTGGATGGACACTCCAACACAGAAACTGTCACCAAAAAGGCTTCGGCTCCCACTGTGAGCACTGAGGATGTGGCTTCTACTTTACATACTGAGTGAGTCTGGCTTCCTCTTCTAGCTGCTCTCCATCTGCTGTGGCACGCTCAGAGAGAGATATTTTGCCCATCCTGGGGCCCCCCAATTTAACAAAAGCCTTTCTCCTACCCTGAGCCAATTTTGTATTATTTTTAATTGGCCACCATTTATAGAATGGGATTTACATCGGTTTTTCTATCAGTGCACATGATCCATGATAAGGCAGGTACAGTATGTCTGACATTACACCTGTACTGTAAAGGGAGACTGACAACATGGTCAATTACTTTTGAGTAAAGGTCCTCCCTCGTTTATCTGCTTCCATCTCTTATCAGCGGTGGATCGTCTTCCTTACGCAACACTGCCTCTGCGTGGCTGACTGCACACTCTACTTTACTCTAGCACGAATAGTGAATACTTTTTTTTTAAAAACACATAAAATATACTTTAAAATTCCCCACCTCTTTGACGGCTCCTTTCCTAATTTTAAAGCACAGGCTTGAAGCACAGCTCCTTTGACACCCGAAATAATAGCCAAATCTACCAAACAGAGCGAGCCCTTTGTGTTTGATGCGTTGATCCTTTGTGGTGCGTGATACCCTTTAAATGGTGTTCTGTTAAGTTAGAAATGGGTGAAGGAGCATAGTTAAGCAGTTGTGCCCGCTTTCGGGATTTTGAGGTTGTAATTGAATTAGGGGAGGGGAGGGAGGGGGGGGGGGGGGGGCGCTGACAGGTAGGTGATCGGGGCGCTGTCCGTGGTGCTGAAAGCTCCTCCGGCTGCTGCCAGCTCAGCTCCGACCTGAGTCCGACACCCCGCAAAGCCTCACACTCCTCACCCAGCCACACTTTGTTCTTTTTTTTTAAAAAGAACCCCACTATCAAATCTTCCTGTGATCCTTGGTTGGTTTTTCCTCATCGCTGGCCGGATCTTAAGATGGCACTGCACGGATTAACATTGCGCAAGGCAAACGCGGACTTATTTGACTGCTGTTTTGTGACTGTGAAACCAGCCCTTTCAGACTGAGCGTGATCCCCCCCCCCTTTTTCTCCATTTTCTTGCTCATCTTTTCAGGACATCGAGGTGTTTTCTTTTTTTTTTTAAGGAAAGAGACGCTGAATTTGGATTATTGTTTTAACAATATGCTCTTTAATGCTGCACTTCATTTTGCTATAGTATCATAGGATTTTTCTTCTGAAGATAATTTGGATATGGAGCCAAGCAATGAGAAAGCTCCCCCTACCACCAAAGAGGGGCTTAAACAAATGGCAGGAAAGGCCCTGGGGGGTCTGTACAGGTAAGAGATTACCATTTACGTCTTTCTTTTACATAGAAATTTAGATAAATTCTCGTCCGCCAATCCAGAAAAATCCACATGTTAAGATGGCATACAAAGGATGTTTTATCAACGCCATAATGTGCTTCTTTCTGCAATGTGATTAAATTAAACGGTAAATCCAGCTTTTATGACACGAATCACGCTCGAAGCGCCGAAAGCAGAGTCTTGTGGCCCGAATATTTAAGGATCAGATATTTCCCTGGAGAATGGCCCCCTCCACCAGCAGCTGTGGGTGCTTTTAATAATTAATGAAACGGGACTAGTCGTGACACAGGGTCGGAGGATATCTATTACCTTATGTATCCGTCTGGATTCATTCAAGATCGATGAACTTCAAACCAATTGACTTTCTATAAATTTGTACCCACAAAGAGCAGGTACACCTACACGGCCACGAACACCTCCACCAAATGCATCCCAGAGAACAGCAGATGACTGGAACATCAGCTCTGGTTTACAGTACGGAGGCTGGGAGCAGTTCCTAAGATCTGAAGAGCTGAAATTGTTTTGACATTTTCGTTGGAAATATGGAAAGAATTGCCGCAGCTTTTATGTTGAAATAGATTTTTTTTTTTTTTAATAATCATTTCTAAACTATACTTTACCACTTGGCAGAGAGCACATGTTATTCGTTTATGTTTTATGGGTAAAATGTGCTCCAGAGGCTGAAACTGAAGCTGTAACACAGAAATCCAGAGGCTGCTTTTAAACTGGGACCAGGCCTGAGAATTCTCTGAGAGGCCCACCTGTTTCAGCGTGCGGTGCAGAAATGAATCTCACATTTCTATAAAGAAACCGAGCAGGAATTAAAACAAAAATGATCTAAATTCCAACAGCATTATTTATGAGCGCTAAGTGAAAAAGAAGGGTAAAAAAAACTGTAAACGACGGCGATGCTGATGCTGCAATGCGGTATGAAGGTCATTTTTTTCTCTTAGGATGTAAGACGGTCTCTTTTTGCACAGATGGGAACGAAAAAATAGACTTTTTTAAAACCTCTGCATAGACATTTGTGTAGGCTTTTGGGGCCCTCTAAAGGGACTCTAAAGGGCTCTGTCAAGGCCTGGTATTTGAACAAAAATAATGCAGAAACAGAAGCAGTTTTCTAACATATAAAATGAATGGTTACATAAGGTAGATAAGCCTGGCATTTTTGCACGAGATTTGACGAGAGAAAAAAAAATCTGTTTCCAACTGCAAAATCTCGATTCAGATTCTTTTTGGCGACAAAACAAAAAGGAAAAAAAAAAAAAGACAATCTTTTCTGCATTTATGTTTGATTTAAAAAATCCAGGTCGATTTGTTTGTGCGTAACCTAACTAAAAAACGAGTGTCCTGTTATATGGCGGGCCTGTGGGGCAGGAGGCTCGAGAAGCGGCAGCAGACAGGTGAGGGCATCGAGCTGACGGAGGACGGGAGACCCCGGCCGGACCAGGAGCGGAAGCCCCCCCTGTGCGACTGCACCTGCTTCGGCCTGCCGCGCAGATACATCATCGCCATGCTCAGCGGGCTCGGCTTCTGCATCTCCTTCGGCATCCGGTGTAATTTGGGCGTGGCCATCGTCAGCATGGTCAATAACAGCACGATCCACCAAAACGGCAAGATCATCATCAAAGAGGTGCCCGTTAACCCCCCCCCCCCCCCCCACCTCCACCACACGAACACACCCCTGTCCGATAGGTGATGGGGGGCCAGTAGACACGTGGCGTCCCGGGGGTTAAATGCCTTTTTTTAAATAGAAAAAGAAATAGCCGTTTCTTTGAGCTGTTTAAATTAATTTTTGCTTACGAAAAAATATTTATTATGTGTTTTTATGTCATTTTCTTCTCTTTGTTGCTCAAAAAAACCAGTACACTGGCAAACAGTGACTTCATCACATTAGAAAGCCTACATTTTCCTGCGTCTTTCTAAAATCTATTTGAATACATTTTTCATTCAACAACGATGTGTTTCGTATTTAAAGACCTGAAATACAATAATCGAATCACTTTTAGAATCTTGAGAATCCCTGTCTTCGGTTCTGTGTGTCTGAAAGAAAGCCAAATTCAACTGGGACCCGGAGACCGTGGGGATGATCCACGGGTCCTTCTTCTGGGGCTACATAGTCACTCAAATTCCAGGGGGCTATATCTCCTCAAGACTGGCTGCAAACAGGTAAACGACGAAACAAGAAAGAACAAATATTCTTGGTGGAGATTTCCAGCATAAAACGCTCAGGGTTTTGGGCGGTGGTTTCAGACTGGTTAGATCCTTTCTGTTTCTCCATCCACTGAAGTGATGGTGTCATTCTGGTGTCATTCCTCCTGCTCGGCTGTCATATGAAAGTTGGGCTGCTGAACTGGGGATTTGGCTGATGGCCGCCAGGCGTGCCTCCTCCCGTTAATGAGCTCCCCGGGGAGGGCCGTGCGTGTCTAATCCTTTATGTCGGGAGAGGCATGGCAACCAGCGCAGAGCAGAGCCCGGGGAGAGGGCTGGCCCCGTGGGCAGAGGTGCCGGCGTCATTCACACACCCACACCTCATTGCTCAGCAAAAAAAGACAAGTTTTAAACAAATAGACGGAGGAAATCTGCAGACCCAACACTGAACAATAAGCCCCTTATAAGGAGAGAAAAAAAATCTAAATTTGAACGAGGCCCCTTTTCTTGGGCTGATATAGGAGATTTTTTAAAATTATCACGAATATCTCTTTGGATTGTTGCTTTTTCAGTGTAATGATAAATAATAAGATGCATATCTGGAGGTGGAGGTCATCTTGCCAAGTCATCTGAGCCCACTGAAGTCTTCCACTGCAGAGCTCACTACCTTGGAAACAGAATTACTGCCTTACATGTGTTTGTTCACAGTCCAGTTAGCACTGGTTTATCCTCATTATAACTGCTTCTTCCTAACTGAAAAGAATCAAACAGTGATTATCCATCAGCATGTTGGATATCCTATAGCCTTTGGTGTACTTTTTATATTGATTTATCTGCTAGCATTATAATGATTTTTATCCTGAAAATAACGTCTGATAATATTTTGACACACCAACATGCTTTTTATTCAGAGTTTTCGGAGCTGCCATTGTGCTGACATCCACCTTGAACATGTTCATTCCCTCTGCTGCCCGTGCGCACTATGGATGTGTCATCTTTGTGAGGATATTGCAAGGCCTGGTGGAGGTACTGACGCACAGTTTGCACGTTAGGTTTCAACCTTTAAAATATTCAGAATGATGCTTTATCGTCAGGCCGGGGGCTTCTGATGATGCTGTCCAGACATGTTGCATGTAACTACATTTTATACCAATCCTCATAACATATGTTGCGTTCTGTTTGAATTTGACTGGAAAATGGGTCCCATTATGTAGATGCTCCATTCATTGTAATGTACACAGATTGATCAACAAGCAACAGGGAACCCTGAATAGCAGCTCCATGTTCACAAAGAAACACTCTGAACAAAAGAGGTTTTTTTTTTAAAAACGCTTGATGCAGGCAGCTCTCACAGCTCAAGAAGGGGCGTCATTTCAGGCAGAGCGATGTTATTATCAGGCTGAAGGTCAGCCTCTTTTGTTATTTTGTTTAGCTGCATACTGTCATTTCAATAGCGGCCCGGGAGCACAGAGACAGAGAGCTGCCCGTGCTCTGCACCACACCTTATTACTACAAATGAAACATTAGCATTTCTGGGTGTCTCCCACTGCAATACCCAGCAATTTGTGTCTATCAATAGTTGATTGTATGCCACTTAGTGTTTAATGAAGATTTAATAGGAACAATTTAGTTTTCTTTTCTCCGTGATGTGGAGAGTCCGCTTGAATTTGTACTGACTCAAACCGAGGCCATTAGTCTCAATTAGATAGGTCAACTCCAATGTATGTCAGTTTGGTTAGTATTAAACACAATTTACCCTGTAAGTCTTCGACAAATAAGAACAGACTGTGTCAGTTAAGCACTGAAGCTGTGAGCGAAAGTGTAAAAATAGAAAAAAGAACTTCTGCACGATTGCATTTTCCAGCATCAGTCTGTGACTGATGTCATTTGTCACCATGCAGGGAGTGACTTACCCCGCCTGCCATGGGATCTGGAGTAAATGGGCTCCTCCGCTGGAGAGAAGTCGTCTGGCAACCCTCTCCTTTTGTGGTACAACACATAAACGTGACGTGTGGTTTATGTGGAGAAAATAAGACTGGCTCAGTGGTGTCACAACAATGCTATCATCACATTACTCCGCACAATGAAACGCAGGCCTACAATTACAGTGTTGCTCCTTAAACTGTCTGTGCTGAGCACATTTGTGCGTAACAAAAAGGCACAACGCTGCGCTCAGGATAAACAGCCAGGATCATATTCTGCTGAGTCGTGATAATGTGCTTTGTTCAGGGTCCTACGCTGGAGCGGTGGTGGCCATGCCTCTGGCCGGGATCCTGGTCCAGTACACTGGGTGGTCATCAGTCTTCTATGTGTACGGTGAGTGTCACTGTGAACACACCCGAAAGCAACGAATTTCACTTCAATTGAAAAGTCTGAAGCAAATCAAATTGCGCTTATTTTTTCTTGTGTCTTGATCAGGGTCCTTTGGGATTGTTTGGTACATGTTCTGGATTTTGGTTTCATACGAGAGCCCGGCGGAGCACCCCACCATCACTGAGGAGGAGCGCCGGTACATCGAGGAGAGCATCGGCGAAAGTGCCCAACTTATGGGTGCAATGGAAGTGAGTTCCAGGCCAATATTGTTTGACTTGTAACACCAGAAAAAAATGTTGGATATAGAAGTGATTTTGTTTGTCACATATTTCCACAGAAATTCAAGACCCCCTGGAGGAAGTTCTTCACTTCTATGCCTGTCTATGCAATCATTGTGGCCAATTTCTGCAGGAGTTGGACCTTTTATCTTCTTCTCATCAGTCAGCCTGCATATTTTGAAGAGGTTTTTGGCTTTGAGATCAGCAAGGTAATTAAACATATTTCCATAATTCCTATTTTTAGCTCTGACTGTCAGGATTACAAAAAATTACTGTTTGAAATGAAAACCTCAAATTCACAGTGATAGATATATAAGAGCATCTGCAAATGATAATAGCAAGTTTAAATATTATTGAACTGTTTAACCCACAGATAATTGTGACAGGATATGTTGCTTTAATCAGCTTCACTTGTCATTTGCATGTTTGTATGTGAGATTGGGCTGAAAAGAAGTCATATTAGTGTCACGTCTGGGGGAATGTCTCGTCTTGATTACCTATTGTGTACACCTGGGGTTTCCCTCCCTCATGTGTTTAAATAGTCCTCGTTTCCCCTTGTCTGGTGCGGGGTCGTTCTAGTCTTCTTGTCTTGTCTCTTGTCCTTTCGTCCGTCGTCACCCCCACGCCAGGTTTGTTTCGTTATAGTTCTGCCACAGCCACAGTCATAGTCACGTTTTGTCATAGTCTTGTTAATCTTTATTTTGTTACTTTGTCATAGTTTTTCCACAGTCTTGTTTGCTTGCTTTGATACTTTGCCCACAGTTTGCCACAGCTTTGTTTTGTACTTTGTCTGGACATTCACCCTGTTTGTACAATAAACCTTGTTTCCCCTTCATTCCGCGACTGAGTCCTCCCTCAAGACCCACCCCCCTGACAATTAGGGAATAAATTAATATTTCTTTCTGTCCAGTGATTTGTATCTTAAATTTTTTTCTTTTAAGCAGCGTTTTAATTTTATGATAACTAGATTTATTCATAGAACTGAAGTCATAAGATATCTGATGATATCTTATCTTATCAGATATAAGATATCTGATGATATCTTATTCTTTAAAAAGACAGATTTGACTAATGTTGCAGTGAAAAGACAGGAAGTAATTCAGGGGCACAGTGTGGATGTGCAGCCTGTGAAATTAATTTGATTTTGGGCATTTTTGTCTCCCATCACGTATAAGTGTATCGTTCAGGCAACAGAATCTGGCCAATCTCAAACTGCTGTGATCTTTGCCCCTCAGTGAAAGCGTAAACCATGACTCATGCCATGCTGACAGTTGTAATTCAGGATCAGGATGAGATTTTGCTCCTGTTGAGGTGAATTATTGCCTTCTGGAGTCAGAGGCTGAAGAGCAGAGGGAAATATGTGCCCAGACAGTGATGACAGTTTCCCTTTGGCTGTAACGGATGCTTCAGGAGAGTGTTTGATTGTTTCTCAGGTCGGTATGGTGTCAGCTCTTCCTCATTTGGTCATGACCATCATCGTGCCCTTGGGAGGCCAATTAGCAGACTACCTGAGGAGCAACAACATCATGTCCACCACTATGGTTCGCAAAATCATGAACTGTGGAGGTGAGGCTTTAATCATCACTCTTTGATCTGTTCCTAAAGAAGGTTTCTAAGCATTTCTCATCAGTTCACTACGGCCCTGTTTTTTTCAGGGTTTGGCATGGAGGCGACTCTCTTATTAGTGGTCGGCTATTCTCACAGTAAGGGGGTAGCCATCTCTTTCCTAGTCCTGGCTGTGGGATTTAGCGGTTTTGCAATATCAGGTGAGTCTTAAAGCAAGCAAGTTGTGTTCAAATGAAATCTGAAATCATATTGTTAGAAATCCAGAATCATCACTGCTTTTGCTGCAGGTTTTAATGTGAACCATCTGGACATCGCTCCACGCTATGCCAGTATCTTGATGGGCATTTCCAATGGTGTGGGGACCCTGTCAGGCATGGTCTGCCCACTCATAGTGGGCGCAATGACAAAGAATAAGGTGGGTATTACCTGATGTGAATGATACAGACAAATATCTAAAGACCTTTATGACTTAGAAATTAGGTTAAAGATCTAATTAGAGTTAAAGATTAGAGTTGGACAACTAAAAGCACAGCATTATCACCGTACTAAGAATCCTAACTCACAAGGAAGAGGTTCAGAAAGATGAGAAGGACAGATCAGACAGATTACCTATAAATGGAGTTAACCAAAAATCACTATAGGTGAAGGTGTGTAAAAAGTTGTGAGGTTACGAAGAAAAAACTGTACACAAAATTCTCTCTTATTGGCTAATTGCAATGTTTTTGAGTCTAATACTCTCCATAAAGTTTGCTAGAAACTCACACAGAAAACACAAAATGCTGCCAGAAGAATATTTTGCAAACCAATTTGATTTTGGTTCAGATGAAACCCATTTTGATAGGAGTAATAAAGGACTGTACTCAAGCATGAGCACCACATCCTATCTGTAAAACATGCTGGTGGTAGTATCATGGTTTGGGCCCACTCTGATGCAGTTAAACAGTCAAATCAGACTCTTACTAAATGGGAAGATAGTGAAGTTAGTTTTTCATGTATGGAAACCTGCCAACATTCCAGAGACCCAGATGAGAGAGTCAATTGGTAAGTAAAACCTAAAGGTCCTCCGGTACCCTCTCTCCTTACCCCTGCTCTCCTTGTGTCCCTAGACCCGAGAAGAGTGGCAGTACGTCTTCCTCATTGCCTCCCTTGTCCATTACGGAGGCGTGGTGTTTTACGGGCTCTTTGCATCTGGGGAAAAACAGCCATGGGCTGACCCCGAAGAGACCAGCGACGAAAAGTGCGGCTTCATCGACGAGGATGAGCTGGCCGAGGAGACGGGCGACATCACACAGGGATACGGGGCAATGGCTGGTCCGGCCAAAAGCTATGGGGCCACGGCGCAGCTCAACGGAGGCTGGGTGCAGGACTGGGATAAGACGGAGGAGTACGTCCAGGAGCCAGCTGGAAAGATGTATGCTCAGCGTGGCTACTCTTAAACCATACCGTTGTGGTGAGTCTGCTTCAAAAAATGGACTCTCCATCACAGATTGCACAAATAAGCATTGTATCAGATATTTTATTCCATTTTGTGTGTTCAAGTAGTTTCAAAGGAAAATGTAAAGATGTAGTTAGTTGCAATGCAGAACAATCCTCACTAGAGTCTCATGCATTTCATCACATCTATGACGTAATGTTTCAGTATACAAACAGACGGCGGTTGCATAGAAAACTGCAGGCCTGTGTTGTAATACTTGGGCACCAAAACCTCATCGATCTACTTGAACAACATGAGCCAGATAACACTGCAGTTGACCATCACGTAGGGTCTATTTCTGAAATACCAATCTGATTGCACTGAAACTATAAGTGTTCTAAAAACAAGATTTTTATTCCGTTTCTCAAATGTGTTTTATGTACTGTATATATCTGTATACTGTTTCTGTGAGACTACTGTGGAATTTGGGTCGTTGATCTGTGTTGACATTAATATAAAAGGCCATATTTTTCATGGACAGTACCTCTTCAGGGAGATGTCTGCTTGCAAAAAAGGTCTCCTCCTCCTCCTCCTCGAGTGAGGCCTACAATAACATTATAAGACAAAAATAGCGTGAGTGAAATTGAACCGTAGAGTTTTAGTGTGTGTTTGTTGCATGAATTTGCTCAGATCAATGTTTCAGACGTGGCCGCCTCACAGTCACTGATAGTCTTCATTCAGCCAGCTGCTTTGTTCTTAGATAAGTGTCTTCTGCCATTATAGATAATAAGACAAGCTTTCATAATCAGGTTCAGGTCTTGATGTGAAGCAAATTTTTAAAAAATGTTTTGAAGGCAACTGCGCAGAAGACATTGTTTATTGATGTTTGGTGTGCACTGCAATAAATTCTGTGTACCAGCGGCCACCCATCACATTCTGTTCTGTAACGTAACAATAGCTTGCTGTATCTAACTGTACTTGTTTTGGAGTCATGTGATGATCAACATTAAGCTGTGTGTTTTTAACAGTTTCCTAGTGTCTGGAGAATCTAGCTGTAGTGCTCATGTTGGAGGAGATGTTGCATTTTGATGGCGAGGAATTCAGAACTACATGCAAGCAACTACTAAGTTGTTTGTGATCTCTCTGTATTCCTCAGTTTCCGTCACATCCACCAGGAGTACTTTACAGGCGCATTGATATTGTCACTTTTAAGTACATCACATGAATTAATAGATGACTCTTCCACTTGATTTCATTTGCTGTTGAAACACTTTTCTTCATTTCTGTATGGAATCTGCAAGGATGTTGAAAATATATGAATATTTAAGAATGTTTATGATGACCAAAAGATGCTATTACGGCTCTGTGCCTGAAGTTTATGTAAAAAGATAAATGTGATTTTATGGCTTATAAAATGGTGTTTAAAGAAGAAGTATGTTGATGTCAAAAAGTGTTATAAAAATACTCATATCATTTTATAAAAAAATCGTCAAAAAGCCACATTTTGTGATTGTTATGTGTTTTTTGTTTTTTTTAAACTTACTGTAGCCATCATGGATGGAAACCTATTTAACCAGTCCTCCAAATGCTGTGCTCTCTCCATGTTCCTCATTAGTAAATCAATGACGGTTGTCTGGAATGCAGGGAAGATCAGTGGACCCTACAGCCTGATGGAACCAGGAATGTTAGTGCTATTACAGTGTATTTTCCTAAAAACCAGAGCAATTCTCTGTGTTTACACCTCTTGAATATGCAGTGAGGAAGCGGGAGTTGTGGTGTTATAGTGGTGCACAAAGGTAAGTTAATGTCAGCAGCATCTCAGACCTTCCAGTCACTTCCTGATAGTTAAGAGTTTTTTATTACAAAAAAAAACATACAGACGGCAATAATATAAAGTAAAATATTAGAATTATTCCCTGAATAATTCCATTTCTGACGCTGTTTGTTGTATGTTGTGTTCAGATATTGATCCAGCTCCTTCATCAAGTCTAATCAAGTGTGAAATCAATACTGTTTCTCTCTGGAATACATTAGCCTTTTAAAATACGCAGTAAATGCACCTGAAAGTCTGTGTGCAAATTAAATCTGCTAATGACTTAATTGTTATCTGTGTAGTTAGAATATTTTTGCGGTTTAATAGCTGAATGTAAAACTACACAAAAAACTGAATATATGTGGTTGATTTTAGTTTTTTTTAAGATCATTTAAGAAGTAAGTGGCACTTGTGCTGTAAACGTTACATAAGAGAAGCTAATGAAATAGGATAAGGGTGCTGTCACACCTCTTTTTACATGATCCTGTTTGAATTGTTATAGTTGATACTTTTCCCATCAGTGTGGAAAGAGACTCAAAAAAGATAAGGTAAGGTAGCCAAATCCCTCTGAAAATGCTCTGTGTGAGCCTTTGTTAGTGCACATTAATACGTTTGTGATTTCTAATATATATATTTTGGAAGTTTCTTTCAACCAAACCTACTCAAATGAAAGTGTATGCAAACTTTCATTTTAAAATCCTTCCACTTCTAAAGGGGCAGAGACTACAAACAGATATTCAGTGTATAACTCAAGATCTGTCACAGCCACTGGAAGCCACTATGAAATGCAAAAGAAAAGGCTCAGAAAGGTCCTGTTAATGTATAACCTACGTGCATTGAGCTTTTTGCTCTTAAAAAAATTATCTTACACTTCAGACTGTTTCCATTTAAAATAACAGAGTTCTAGAGAAATGGTAACTTGGAAAAAAAAAGTAAATGCTGATTTTATACAAAGTTCCAGCAAATTCTTCTTGAAACTGGTAAAAAAAAACTCTAGGCTGGTAAATAATTCCAGGGAAAAAAGGACATTCCCCCATATGAATCACTCAGCAGTACTGTTTAAGTGCATGACGGCCTTTTAGACTGGGAGGTTATGACTCCTGCTGCTCCTCTCAGTCTTTGCAGACAGGAATGAGTCATTTGAGACAGATGAAAAAATATTGGAGCAGATTGTGAGTCCACCTTCTAGTCTGACCAGCTGCATTAAGAATGATGTCAATGTGACTAACTTAATAAATGTCTAGGTTTTCCATTGTCTACTGACTGCAGCCCTGTGTGAATACAGTATATACTGAGATACACATGTATATATATATATACACTGTATATATATTTGTGTGTCTGCGTGTGTATGTAAAGAGCTTTAAAATGCTCCTAGCTTATTTGAGTGAACAGTCAGACAGACAGAGGTGTGTGTGGGTTTATGGTTCTGGGCTTGTGTTTCAGCCCATGATGGACAGACTGAGTACAGTAACCCTTCACTGCGTTGACGGACGGTTTGATCACAAGAAGCAGCTCCGTGTCTGAGTCATCCCCGCAAGCAGCACTGGCAGCAATTAGGATAAATTTCACTTTCGCCTCTGATTATCTGCCCAGCTGAGGGAAGCCATTAAAGCTCGCTGCTGTCAGCCTCTCAGTGCACATGTTAATTTGAGGGAAAACACAATTGTGTTACTGCTCATGCGGAACATGTTTTCTCATGCCTAACCAGCCAGAGTGGTCATGGCTGTTGCCCCTATGACGGGCCTGTTAGCATGCACGGTAAATGAGCTAAACCTGTCAAAGCTTACGGGTGAAATTCCACCTGCACTCACCTGCCCTCAACACTGACGCTTTATTTTTGCTGCGTCTCAGGCTTAGTCAGAGCGATATTTCTGTAGTTGTGTAATGGGAGGGCGGGTGGAGGGGGACTGAGGAGTCGGTAGTCAGTCGGTGGGGCAGGTGCACTTTGGCTCCTCAGGGACTGTAATGGGATGAGGCCCAGCCAGAATGAGTGTTTGATGACAGGGTTGCATGTATCCCCTGAGAGTCTGCCTGCATGCAATTATTCTCCTGATCCCCCCTCCAAATGTCCACAACATTCTCTGCTGGCTGCAGCCTCAACAGCCTTTAATTCTAATGTAAAATTCAACTCTATTATAGGCTAAATGATTAAGTAATTACAGACGAGCATTTCAGAAGGGTGCTAAAGTTATTACTATTTTATGGCAACCTCCTACATACACCACCTTGGGGCAAATGAATTCACACACACACCTCCTCCCCTCCCTACTTAAAGCCTTTATTAATGGAGAGCTGGTCAGCCCATTTGGTTTTACATGAAATATCAGGTTATAAATCACTGCTTTTCACTACAACACATCAGCAAAAACTGATTCTGAGCATTCTTGTTCTTTCCTTTGCTGTGTTTTAGACATTCAATTGTGCTGTAGTTGTTCCGACAGCTTGCACAAAAATCCTCCTTCTGTGATGCGCAAATGTTGCCCACCCTCCCCAATTTCCAGTCACAATAAGGGCTGTGTTCCATCGACACATTAGCCTATGCTAACTTTCCACTGCCATGTATTAACACCCCTCTAGCTTGTTTAACCGCCAGCTGTGATGAGGTGTTGCCACAAAAGGGCTATTTAACATCTGCATAGCATGTGAACTTTAGGAGAAAGATACAGTCGATTGTATTCACTCCACAGGCTCGGTTTCCTACAGTTGTATGTAATGCAAAATATCAGAGGTCCATCTGGTTCCCCTCCCCCACATCAGATTGTATTGACACCTTCATACACGCTCACACTGTATAACACACAAAGACAGAGGAGGATGATACAATCAGTCAAGAAAACACTCAATTCTTAGAGATACTTCCAACAAACGGTGATAGAATTTGAAAAAATAATTACATTTATTGTTTTCAAAATAAATGTCTTTCTAAGAACAGATTCTGCTGATTCTTTTTTATTAACAGTTTTCTTAGTAATCCACTTATTTACTTAATATCACTCCATAGAACCTTTAAATGATGCATTTATAGGAATTTTTGTCACATTATTGAAGCTATTAAAATGCTTAAAAATGTATTTTTTCTCGCCAAGTTTGATAAACTTGTCGTCATTGGCACACCACCCCCCGTCCTCTCCTGGAAACAGGGAAATGTTTCTGCAACCACAGCACCTCCCTGTAGCATCTGACAGTGCAGATTTTCAGACGTCATGCGGTGAACAGAGTGGATATCTGCACCGACATTTAAGAGAGAAAGAAAGACGTAGTCTTTCTCTCAGAAATGTCCTGAAAGAGCCCCTCTTCCTGCCTGGCGCCTGATCATCCCAGAGCTCTGAGAGGGACACAGGTGTGCAGGCGGGGGGGTTCCTGCTGCTGCCATCAGTCACTGGGGCCACACCAGGGCCAATCTGAAGCAGCTTAGGCACGCGCCGAGGGAGGGATCTACCCCCCCGCCTGCCACCCCTCCTGACGACTCCCTATTCACACCACCAGATGGTGGCTGGATCTGAGTTTTAATGAATGTTATCCTTCATGACCCTTTAGAAGGCGCAGAGCAGCAGCTCCCCCCTCAGCACGTCTCACTGCGGTTTGTTCCCCCACGCTGATCCAGAACAATATCTCACTGGATGCATTCAAAACTGAAGGAGCACTTAAATAATAGAAGAGGGAAAACCATAGTAAATATACAAATTTATGTCTGAAAGACAAACACACACATTTACAGGTTGCACGTTCGGCTGAATGAGTCATTTCGCACAATGAAACGTGTCAGCTACATATTCTAACCCCTTGTTGTTTGAGTTAACCCTTTAAAGTCACAAAGGAAAAGCAATAGGTAGTTTGTTCCTCGGAGAACAGGGCAGCTTCCTGTTTACCTGGATGTGTTTTTTTCCCTCTTTCAAATAACCGGATAAAACATTAGGTTAATTAAATATAGACTGACACAAGCGCCGCGCTAAATTATCATCTTTCTTTGCTTGCAGTCAAACGTTAACACATGTGAGTCATCAGCACGGCTGCTCACCCGCTCTGGCAGTTTGGTGTAAGGCTGTGAACAGGAGTGAGAAGCACCAAATCTCCACAAAATAATGCACCAGTGGACATGGCAAAAGCTACACGCAGAGAGCTCTATCTGAGAAATAAATCCGTCACATTGTTTCTGTAGAGACAGAACTAAATGTTGTGACCAAATGCATCTGAATTAAGCTGAAACAGAGCCTGGATCCCTTTAGTCCATGCTGGTTTCCATCCAGCCTTCTGCATATGTTTTTATTGGCTGGAAATAAATTGCTTGTGTACAAGCTGCCCTTTCTTCACTGACCCATGTCTGTCTCTACGTGAATTGCTTTCACGGCGTGTTAAACGAGCCATGGCTGTGTTGGTGTTTCCCTCCACACGCGACGGCCGGGGCCCTAATCCGCTGTCTGACAGAGACGTGTCACACACCAGCTATTGTGCTCCGTCTGACTGAGGACGCTTGATCTGACTAATTGATCCCTCGCCGTGGAGGTGCTTTGACACACGCGTGAGGTCTGAGATGTATGAATTGTTAGTCGACTCACGTGACTGGCATTAAGCCAATCAAATTGTGTAGATTTAGACTGAGCACAGCTTGTGGGGTTGTTGACAGATGGTGCGAGAGAAACTAAAAATGAAAATCATTTTGGGTACAGGTACACACAATGCTCTTGACTCTTTGCTTTGTGCATTTAAAAACACAATCCCTCTTCCTGCAAGACCATCCACAAGGATAAAAAAAAAAACTTTCAATTCATTTCAGTGATATTAGTGCTGTAAGGGCTGCATAGAACGTGGTACAACTTGAGAAAACTTTTTTTGGACATACATGCATCAGTCTGTCAAACAAGCTTTGATACTAATGCTGGCCATACCTTTGGTTTAAACCTGGCACCAAACAATACTTACACTTACAAATAATCAATTTAATATGATAAATGTACATTTTTAGATTTAAAAAAAACTGCAGCTCTAAAATATTGACTAAAGCAGGTCAAGTTATGATGTAACAGTTTCATTTGAAGTAATATAATTAATACTGTAAGCATAAAAAAATGTTTATTATGTTTGCACCTTTTTCAGTTTAATTTGATACTCAATTGAGTATCAAGAGTATTGTACACACACACCAACATGTAAATACACATCTGGTTAAATGTAGGTTATGTTGTTCTGTTCCACAGAGCTTCACTTCTGACCCTTAATGGCCGACAGGAGGTCTCCCCACACACTCAGACCTCTGACATCAAAGTCTCCATTAGAAATCCTCAAAGCACGTAGCTCATCTTCTGTACTCGCCCTCATGGAGGGACAGGCCTCAAACAAGGTTTGAAAGTGCTTAGTGATATTCTGGAAGGACACTGGGGGATCTGTGCTAGTCTGACCCCATTCTCCATCATTCACGCTGTACTTCATGTCCGAGGCCCACTGCTTCAGTACGCCGCAGTATGCCTCTCTGAATTTCAAGTGTTCTTTCGCCAGGTCTTTAAGAAGTGTAGAAGGAAGCAAAGAACACATGTACTGCAGCACATTGTCTTTTTTCAGCAGCCAGTCCAGGAGAAAGTCCTGTGAAGCGGTTTGTGTAGCCGAGTCCTTCGGTGTCAGCAGAGCTGCGGTGATGACTAAACACAAATGCTGTGCTGTGCCTTCAAATAACGGGAGGACAGAGCACAGAAAATGCTCTGCCAAATGGGGGTTAGTGTTTTGGCTCAGCAGAGCACCCAGCCTCTCCATCAGCATCTCCCCCTGAACCTCAGCATCAGCACCAACAGCTGAAGCTCCTGAGACGGGACTCAGGACTTTACAGGCGGATCTGTGCTCGATCATGTGGCTGCAGAGGCCCCTGATGTCCTCATACTCACAGGGCGCGTCGTTAACTGCGCTCTTTGTTTCAAAGAATATCCTCATGACAGAGCTGGGGAGTTCCGGGTTTTTCAGCAAACGGACGAGCAACAGGTGTTGGCAGCGTGGGAGATCCGTGAAGGAAACTTCAGAATATGCTGGGATGGCATCTCGCAAACTTTGATTCGTGAGCTGCAGCTGCTTTTCCATAACTCTTCTTATGGTGGAGTTAGTGTGAAACCTAGAATAGATGTGCTCGCAGTACTTGGCCCAATGAAATGCTCTGGAGACAGTTTGTTTATCCCACTGGTTGACCGCGCAGCTGTGGGCCGCCACGGCCAGCAGCTCCACGGTGTTAGCCAAGTTTTTCAGTACAGCCTCCATGTGGCGCTGTCTGCATTCGGAGGTCGGCCTCTGGGCTCCAGGGCCGAGCACCAGCCCAGAAATAAAATCACAAAGTAAACATCCACTCAAATTGTCCAATGCCTCCCAAAAATTGTAATAAAATGCGAAATGCGTGGGCTAGCTACAAGTTAGCCAGAGTCAAGTCCGGAGATTGTAGTCGGAAACAGGACTTCCGGTAGCAAATTTCAAAACAAATTTAATTTCGGACGAAAATGTTTTCCACAAACGGTAAAAAAGGTATTCCGCAGATTGGGAACGTGAAACAGTAAGATGGGTGAGGTTTCTGTTATTATAAACTCACTTGTTTCTTCTGGTTTCCGCCAACCGAACTTCTGGTTGCGTTTGTTTAGCTTCACCGCGCATGCGCATCAGAGTACAGGAATTCAGACAACAATTTGCCCTTCAAAATAGACAACACACTAAAAACAACAAGAATATTTTTCTGGTTTGAGTTCCACGTTTCTTTTGAACGCACGTATACATATACATGTCGTCCCCGTAGTAATGATGGCGATGCTATCACAAAATAGTCAGTTTTCGGGACCACAACATACACCTTTAAAGAAAGACTACTGCACTTTGGGTTGTTTTAGTGATAGACGTCATAAATGACAAAAAAAAAAACATTTTCAACCACTGCACAGCCTGGTTCGTCATTAGCACCAGTCCCACAATAAATGGCCAGTAGAATAAAGACAGGAAAGCCATAAAAGATGTGTATCTGGGTATAAAGCGCCACAGACCGACCTGCTGAGTTTAATCCAGTGTGTCAACAATGAGGGAGGCACTGCCAGCAGGACCAAACTTCCCTCCCATCATCATCATCATCATCAGCAGCAGCAGCAGTCGCTGCGGCGTCCCGTGAGTCTATCTTTTGGTCAGATCTGTGAGTAATGCGCACTGAGAGAGACCTCCCCAGCACACAGTGGTTGTGGAGCCTGTAACCTGCTCCTGGGTGAGCCGCTGAGAGAAGCATGAACACTGGGACCCACAGACTCACAGCACGAGTCAGAGGAAGGTGCGCACCAGCGAACTCTACCCCAAGGTGAGCCAAGTTTATGGACTCTTCTGCGTTAATTCACAACCTTCACATTCACTGCGTGCATATCACTTTTGGGAGTTTTATTTTTTTTTCCATTTTAAAATCCTAGTAACTATTATTAGAAAGTTTAGTTCTATGCAGAAAAATGCAGCCCTCCGTATCAAAAATCGGGGGCATGGTTAAGTACTTGCTGTAACTAACTTTAAAAATGGAAATTTGCATTGACTTCGCAAGTTTTATTTCTCATATCAAATAAAAAGTGCAGGGCATCTTCAGCTGCACAGAATCTGACAGATTTTCTTCGGTAGAGGCTCTCAGTCACAACACTGCTTTTAATTAGTGAGTGCCTGGCTGGAGTTCAGACATAACTCATCAGGGTCCCTCCCTTGATCCTATTTCCAGAGTGGTTAATTGTTTTTTGTGGTTGTTTTTATTCTTCAATGTTGTGAAACTTAAAAATCTAATGGGCGCTGCCAAGTTTTTATATAAATAGGCAAATGAAACAACATCTAAAATAAAACCAGTAAGCAGACATACAAAGAGTATTCTTGACTTTTTGTGTGCCAAACATTCTGCATGTTGACTGTGCATATCTTGACCACATGCAGGGGTCTACAATTCATAGACTGGGGAAAGTTAACATTAATAGAATAGTTTAATCCAGAAGATATCTGTGCAGAATAGCTACCCCCATAACAATCATTCAGGTTCTGCATTGTGTATGTTTGATTTTAAATCCTGACTGTGGAAGCAGACTATTTGAAGACTGTGTTTCATGAATGAACACTGCTTTTGCTGATATTCTCTCTCTGTTTTCTGCACTAAGTAGCTGCAGCTGATGATAGTTTAGTATCTAGTAGGCTATGATCTGTAGGAGAAGCACACTGAGTCGTCTTGTTTAACAAATCTGCCTCTGAATCAGTTAACTGTTAAAGAGGATGAGGATAATATGGTTCATCAGGACAGAGCCACGCTTTTCTGTAACTAATGCGATTTGGCAAATCCCTGAATAATTCAGCCATGCCCATCACAATGGCTTTGCTTAAGTCAAGTGGTATCTTTGACTTACAGATGATTCATCGTTATATTGAGGGACATGAGAAAGTTGCACAAAGTCTGACATTAGATTCTCAACCCAGTTTTTAAACTAATATTGAGACGTTCAACAGCAGAAGAGTGCCATCTAGCATGGTGGTGTATTGTGTTCTGAGGCCTGAGAGGTCAGGCTACAGTATGGTGAGAGGAACCAGGTATGTTTTACGATGGTTCTTTGAGGCTCCCTTTTTTGGGAAACGAGGTCACTTAGACATTTTTAATTGGGACATTTCTGTCCCAAACAATACAGCTCTTCATGATTCTTTTTTTAGACATTTATATCCATTGTGAAAGAAAACAGCACGTGTTATTTGTTAACTTCATTCAAACACTGGTTGAGAGACTAACAAAACGTTTTCCATCTGTCGAGTTGAGTTTTGAATGAAAACTCAAACGAATGAATATTCACTGTTCTCCCTAAGAGGCAAACACACTGAATAAAGAAATGATTGTTTCAGAAGAGTTTTGGGTTTCTCCATAAAACATGTTAGATGATCGTGTTTATTTACGTGCAGCACCAATGAATGAGCTGGCGTGTAGTTGTCCCAGTGACCCTGTTCTGTCAGTGGGACATGGGAATGTAGCACCTGTGTGTGGGTGCTGAGCTCCACAGTTTAGCGTGTAAGCAGTGGGAAACTGTTGTCTGCGCGACTATAAGATGACCTCCGATGAACATCAAGGTCTTGATGTCCAGTTTAGCACAGCGGTGGGATTTGGTTACAAGGAGTTGCGCAGAAACCCTGAAATGTTTCACAGTTTTAAAGGGCAGATTCCTCAGATTGTGTTACACTCCCTCGGGATTCAGAGGAAAAAGGGAATGCTCATGCGCTATGAATAATTTGTTTATGGTAGCTTTGCTTCCTTCTTCATGTAAGTGCCTTTTGTAATATTCATCATACATCCTGTCACTATTTGACTGCCATTGGGGAATTTGAGATTCTTCCCCTTGTGTCCAAATGTAAGGGAACGGCTGTCAAATTGAACTGTTTTCCAGAATCCCAATTTGTATTTGTAAAAGGGAAATTTTGGTCAAGAAACTCTTTGATCCTTTAGTGACGCTGGAAAAAATATATTTCTCTTAAGTTCAAGTCAATTGCAAAAAAAAGTAAGCAGATGAACATGTTGGATAAGGAAATATCCAGTCCATCTGTTTTTAAGGCCAACTGTAACCAAAGAAAACCAGTGTATTTTCTGAAGAGGAGAATCATTTTCTAAAGAGTTCTGAAATATTATTTTCTATATTTTGCAAGACTTTTCAGCTGTCGTCTTGATTTCGGCTGGAAAGAGACTTGAACAGCATTTGCCTCTCTGTATCACATAATTTTTCCGTTTACATTGCACAGCACATTTCAGCTTCTGAATGATCCGTTTATATGTCTTGCTCCTCTGTTTACATCGACTGTCTTTTTGCTGCATCAATTCAAGTAAGTCCTGCTAAACTCCGGACTGCAGTGGACTGATATTGACAGTAAGATAGACTAGAGAAAACTGAAAGAGCTCATTGTTGCTGTTTTAAACGCCCAATGCGTGAGTGCGACTGGTATGAAAGTGTCTCTTGTCCAGTGAAGAAGGGGACTGGAATGCTACTGTCCAATGTCATCAGGTGGATCGTAATCCACACTAGGAATTGGCCCTGAGGACAAAAATGCTCATGAACAATATTCTCTTGTATCTTTCAGATTGTCCTTTCCTCCAGTTCAGAAAACATCAGCCGAGATAGCAATAAAAATCATGACTTACAAACGTTTGATAAAGATCACTTTCATTTTTTAACACTAAGACTGTACAATATGTGAAGAATATCAAGAAGAGCTGAAATCTTTTTGTGTCTTGTGACACATGAATAATTGCAGCTATTCTCTGGGTTACCTTAATCCAAAGTAAAAATTCTGTGTTAATATGTTTCCAGTCAGAGACAGCTGAAGAAATTTAGAAAGACGTTTTTGATAACTGACTTTGAGACCCTGAGAATCAATGGCTGGTTATTCACTGCTTTACAGTAGCCAGTTTCACGTCTCTGCCTGTGTTATGTTCAGAGATGCGTCTCACATTTTATTTCACAATGTTTCCTGAAATTCTTGAGTGCATATTTCCAAATTTAGTAATATAAGTTAAAGCATCTGTTTTTGGCCATAACTTGAAAGATCATGGCATAGCAGATCTGATGTACTGAATTTAGACTACTGGTGCTGTATTGTATCTCTTATTCTGTATTTTCTGCCATATTTATTTTTAATTTGTTACAAGTGAATAGAAATTTAGATTTTTACTTGCCCTGTCTTTCAATATTCCTTCAAGCTGTCAGTAAGGAACAATGTGCAGCTCGCTGAGTCCAAAACAGCCTTTCAGCCCCGGACTGACTGACATGCAGCAGTACCAACAGTGGCTCTCCAGTCGACATGAAGCCAGCCTGCTGCCCATGAAGGAGGACTTGGCCCTGTGGCTCAGTAATATTCTTGGTAAGCTGATTTTATAGTCAATAGGCAAATATATCTAATAGATTAAATAAATCCCATCTGAAAAATAAAATAATATCACAATTTTCTTTAGATTGGAACATTGGGAGTATTGGTGAGAGTCATTGTAATGGCAGTATTATTGATAACTTGCACAGCTAAGATAGGTCAAAACCTTCTGGGATTTTACTTAATGACATCTACACCTTACGTTAAGGTAGCAATGTTTTGTGATCCATTTCTCACACATACTGCTACATTTGGGAAAAATACAGCCTGCATTTGTTGATTCACTTGACCACAGGTCTGGCATGGTGATATTGCTGACATAAATTACCTCTACAGGGGAATGGAATCAATCCGTGCCTTATTACAGACCTTTTTAAAGTCAACAGCCAGTGTGAAAAGGGCCTAATGTTTCCATACTATTCCACTGATTACCTTAAATGAATAATGGACATCATTAACCTCTTCTAAATAATGCACAGCCACTGGTGAAGCTTATGCAGCAACCGGAACGTGGGCCATGTCCTGGGTACTTTAGCTACACTGTCACAAAAAGATATATAAAACACTCTGATCTTATTTGAATTTAGAAAGATATTGGGCATATGTTTGTTTAGGTTGACACACATGTTTTCACACAATCAGCTGTTTCTGTACTGTAAGACGAAAATAAGCAGAGTACAGTACAATTATTTCATTATTCTGTGAGAGGCAAATTGTCTAATTTAGAGACCAAAATTAGATCTGTATTACTTGCAATAGACTTTTGATTTTAAGTTGTGACACTTATCAGTTCACAAGGTTGTCAGTGGTAGTGGGTTGTCATTATTAAACTAATTGTAGCACATACAGTTATAATCTTTCCAGACCTGATATAATGTTTTGTGCTACTCTCTTGTAAGCCTGGAGCACATAAATGCAACAAAAGTTGTTGTTTTTTCTTTAACTGTGATAAAGATTCGGAAAAAAATAATCTTTCAGAAAATTGTACATGATCAAATACATTTTTTTTTTTAGTTTGATCTTCTTTACTGTGAAAAACTATGGTTTCATTGAAATTAGACTGACCTTGATCTAAAGAAATGAAAAAGGTATAAATGTACTGTCCAATGCACTTGAGGTATATTCAGTTGTATGTAACGACTGGGAGTTAGCACAGTGAGTTCTACTGAGTGTACACAATTTTTTCACAAGCAAACTGGAAGCAGGTTTAGTTCCTGTTAAAGACTCCTTTTGTCCGTATGCACAAATTAATTAAAACAACTCAAGAGTTTTCTGTTATATCTGGCTCTATGTTTGCTCTGGAACCAGCCAAGCCAGAAACCTCAGCTCTTCTGCGGTGATGGATCAAGGACTTTCAGACATCAGATGCATCCATGTGTTTCCAGTAAATACACAGTCAATGTTGGTTTTAGATTTTTATGTGGGAGGAGCAATGGGTGGGTAACGTACATCTTTATACAGGGATGTGCCATATTGTTGAGTTTTAAGGTTAAAGGAATGGAGCAACTTCAGTGATGAAGTACTTTCGAACCCTCTGGCAGTATGTTTTCCTCACATACAGCCAGGGTCGAGCAGGAGCAGAAGAAGGGAACTCACTGAGTATTTCTCAAGATTCAATCACTCTTTTCTGGGCTCAATTGCAACATTTGGAACTCATTAAACACTGAACCCCCAAACCCCTCCTCTTATAAGAAACAGAAAGGGGGGCTTAAAAGAAAGAAATCTCTCCAGTTTCTTTCCACAGACACCCCCTTGCCACCACCTCCAATTTCAGAATGATCTAACTAAGAAAGAATGGTCAACTGGAAGTCAGTCAACTGGACACCACATGTTAATCACCAATATGTATCTGCAAATGTGAAGAAATCTGTCATAATGTTGTGCACAGATACCACCTTTTTGTGTCCCTGTCTTCCTCAGTCCATTGATGTTTTACAGGGAAATCCATCAAGATTCTCTCAAATCATGTAATATTTCAAAGTTTGCCTTTGGGGCAGCTGCCACAGACCCAGCAGCGGCAGCAAAGCTAAATAAATTATCAGTTTTTTAGAGTCACCCACATTACATCAGGTTCAGCCTTAACCTGGGATGGATTTGGGATTGAATTTCTTCTCTTTGCACTTTGAATATTTTTAAATGAGCACTTTATGATGGATTTATAGCACAGGGCTGTCTGCTGTCTTTATGTGTCCCTCGCCCAGGTCTGGAAATCACCGCTGAGAGCTTCATGGATCAGTTAGACAATGGCTTCCTGTTGTGCCAGCTGGCTGAGACACTACAGGAGAAGTTCAGACAAAGTAATGGAGACCTGCCTGCCCTTGGCAACAGCAAGGTACAGAGAAATCGAAGAATTTCAGTAGTCTTGCGTGATACGGGTTACAGTCAAACACTAATTTGGAGGCTAAATCTTGGCTAAAAGTGTTCCCAGACTCAGTTTTTAACGTGCATGATTTTGCAGATATTTTTTCTGCAAAAATATCACTCAAGCAGCAATTTATTAGATCAGATTGAACAACGGTCACTTAGATATCAAGTGCTTTAACAGCTCCATAGCTTGGATCCATTACAAGAAAAATGTTTTTGTGCTTTTCAACTTAAATAATTCTTTGAAAACCAATCCGTCTGTGGTTTTTATTTGGACCAAAGCGATGCAGGATACCGTTGAACCGTGATTAGCTTCCATTGAAACAGGAAACATATATATTTGATGTTAGCTTTGCCTGTAGATGATCAATGACAAAAATCTAATATTTTCCCATTAAACACTCTGATCTGAAACATGTACTCCACAAAATGTTGTGACATTTTGTGGAGTTATCTAGGGTCAGAGGGAGACACAATTTTGAGAATCTAAAATAATCAACTGACTATTCTTACAGTAATTTTCATTTGGTTTTGTGAAAATGGAACGAGTTCAACAGTTTCAGAGGGCTCAAAGAGTGAGATGGGGGATGGGGGTATTCCAGTCTCTAACAGGGCAAAGGAAAAAATCCTTGTAAGGACACATTAACTGATGGGGCCCCATCCCCCTGTGAGAATCAGGAGAACTGCATTAGATGATCTGTGAGCCATGAGTTAGGGCCTCATAACTTTTACCTTGAAAGTTGAAATATGTTATTTACCCAGTGCAGTCTTTTTAAATGTAGACTTGTCAGGTTATACAATTGAGAAGACAACTGTTGTGCAGATGCTTAAATGCTTTTAAAGTATGAAAAGTGGAGCAATGACTAGGCAGGGTATATATATATATATATATATATATATCAGTGGCTACAGATGTGTGTGCACACACTGAACTGACATCTGGGGTTCTGTGGGATGATATGGCTCCAAAAGAGGGAAACACTGATTAGGTCATGTTGCTAATTCAGAGGGAAAGAAGCCAAAGACTCTTTTGTTGGTTCTCCAGTGAGAGTTGTTGGGACTTGCACTGAAGAATGACTGCGCTGATGACGGTGGGTCTCCTGATCTCAGCGTGAGTGCAGCAGCACAGATGTGAGGAAATACTCTCGGTCAGTGACCGTGGGACGGCAGAGAGGTTTAGAGTAGAAATAGAGGAGCCTATTGATTGAGGAGGTCAACAGGGAGACGCAGAGGAGTTTGAGGCAGATATTTTGTAGTCAGTTTGATTTACGGCTGTCAGTCCCTGCTATTATATAGCTGGTATTAGTTTGGTGAGCCGTAAAAGATCAATCTTGTTTTCCTTATTGGATATACTTATATAACACTTTGTGACACTCAAAGTTTAACATGTCAATAAGCTGTAGTTGTTTACTGTTATTGTTTGAACATTTATGATAATCCCCATCTGTGTCATAAGTTGATGGGATCTGAGTCATGGGGCTACTGAAACAAATACTGCAGAGAAGAACAATAAATCAGACTCATATACTCAGAAGATCCCTCTGTGTTTTTAGTTGTTATCATCCACAGGAGAATCAAGTACAGTTATTATGCGCTCGAAATGAAAAAGAAATGACAACAGAACTTGTTGACATGCAATTTGTTTAAAGAGTGAGGAAGCCTTTAAGAAGTAAAGATGCAGAAGGCTTAAAAAACATGTGTACAAAAAAAAAATTGGAATATTTTTCTTACTCAGCAACAGATACAGGTTTTTATAGTCTGTCATCCAATGGTCATTCCTGTTTCCATTGTTAGAATAGAATCAGCTCAACTGATAACAACTTGAATGTAACGGGCTTGCCTGCTGCTGCATCAAACACTGAAGCCATGTGCAGCATTATGACCCAAAAGTTCTGAACTGAATGGTCCAACCTTTCGAGCTGAAATCATCTGCTGAGCATTAACTGAAGCATTTTCCTTCCAGAGTGGCAGAGACTGGTCTCCTCAGCTAGAGAAAATATGAGAAACACAATATTAGTTTTTTTATATACGTTTTGATGTTTTTAAATAGATATTGGATCTAAGTTGTTCATCTATATTCACAATTTGTTTTTATTTACAATTTTTACAGCATCTCTGCCTTTAGTTGATCAAGGAATGATCATTACCACCAATAGAGGCATAAACACTCCTCTTAACACTAAAACACTCATTTATGAAAATGGTATACTGTTCTCATATGACAGTGAAAGTGTTTCTTTCAAGAATGTTTATAACCTTTCCAAATGATAGAAAACTATGTGATTGTAAATGTCACTGCTCATTTAAAACGATGTAGTTTCTTATCCTGATTGCTTCCATCTGTGCAGGGATATTGTTACCAGAAGTTCTTCACCTAATGTGCAAGTAACCCCACAGAGATGCAAAATGATGGAATAAGCCACAGCAGAAATGATGAAATCCAATTGTGAATCTTATTTCAAACAACATTTTCAATATTGCCAATTATGTTTCCACACTAATGCAAAGTAATTCACCGACACAAATTAGCTTAGAAAAGAGCAAAAAGGAGAGCCTGGAATGAAGAGAAAAAATACCCACGAAAGCTTGCATATTTCCCGCATGAGCTCACTGCACCTTTGTCAAAGCGCACAGACACACATATCCTGCATTAAACCACAGCAAAGCACATAAATCTCCCTGAGCGGACCGCGTGGGGGCTGAAACCCATAAGCATGTCATTTGAGCCCGAATCATGGAAGGCCTGGTAAAGTAGCCACAGTTTTCTAACCCTTCATCTCCCATATTGATCTGTGTGGAAAAGTCCCCTGATCCTGGGCTGAAAGCAGAGCTTCAGCAGGCAGAGTAGTCAGCGCTGTCTGAAACGTCTCCAGCCAGGCACACATTTAGTGTGGCTCTTTGTTTTGATGGAAACTCTGAGCTGAGCAAGCAGATATTTGTTATGTCATTGTCTCACAGTGATTGCACCAGTCCGTTTCCTAGTTTGATTGTTATGGACTCGTTTTTCTTTGTCTCCAGAAGAAAATCCCACATCGGAGGATACCCTGTCGGCAGAGTGCTCCATCTGGCTCATTCTTTGCACGTGACAATACGGCCAACTTCCTGGCCTGGTGCCGCGAGGTTGGAGTCGGAGAAACGTGTCTGTTTGAGTCGGAAGATTTAGGTGTGTCTGCTTCTTCCCAGCTATCTAGATTAGAACGTAGAGTAACCACAGCCCACATACAAAAGAACCAGCACCGACACTGCCGGGGATGCTGACTCAGGTTTCGGTGTCTGTGAATGACCTGATTGTGCAGGTAGTTCGTCACACAGGCTGGACTGCTTCCATAACTTTTCCACAGAGGTTCAGAAGCCTCACATATCCAGGCTCTGCTTCACCTCCTTTGACCTTAAAAAAAAGAAGCTCTCACGGGCAGCAGTCTGTTGGGAGAACAGGGAGGAGAGCAGCTCTATCGGACAGTCAGGACATCTTGAATCACAGGGTTGTGAGTTTGTAAGAAAGTAGCCCAACCTGTTGCAAATATTGTCTTTAGCTCGGACGAGGACTTTTTTGTTTGTTTTGTTTCCATTCACATAATCTGGTTCGTAATGATGTCCTTATAAGATAACAGAAAGTATCAGAACATATTCTCTCCAATTTATGTCCCACTGTGGGTTTACCCATTTAAACTAAGTAAATCATATATTTTCCACTGGATAAGTAAACTAAAGAATAAGTTATAGATACTAAACAATATTTACTATAACTGTGATTAAATGCTTTGGAAATATTGCAGCAAACAACAACAGCTGACAACTGTTCTTTCTTTCTGTCTTTCTTTCTTTCTTTGGATGAATCTATCAGTTCAGAAGTAGATGTAACAACAACAGGTTTGCTATCACACAGTGGATATTCTGTCTCTATTGCATGGCGTGGTGTGTTAGATTTATCATGCTTGTTGTCTCCACACTTTCTGTCTGGTCTGTCGTGTGGTGAAACAAATAATTAACATCTCAAGTCTAGCTGTCCATGTCCAGTCTGAAGAACACGCATTTCCATTTAATTTGGTTTGAACAGGATTGAAGAGGAGAGGAACATTTCAATGCATGAAGTTCATAAGCTTGTTTCCATATGCATTTCACCATCACACGGCCACTCATCCTCACCCATTGCCTTGTTGAAGATGCATTGCATTATATCAATCAAAGCTAAAACTTGATTTCTGTTTTGTTTTTTCTGTAGTTCTTCATAAGCAGCCACGGGAAGTTTGCCTCTGTCTTTTAGAGTTGGGACGGATAGCATCGCGGTTTGTTCTGGCTTTTAACATTTTTTTGTTGTTTATTTGATTCCATCTATGATAACTTACATGTTTACCAAGTTAGATTCTGGGGTCTTCATTTTCCAACACTCTCTATTTCATTATCAAGGTACAATGTGGAGCCACCTGGCCTTATAAAACTGGAGAAGGAGATTGAACAAGAAGAGAGTGCACCCCCACCTCTTCCATCACCTGTATCTCCACCTCAGCCCATCCCTTCATCCCCCTCTTCCTCCCCTTCACCATCTCCATCCCAGTCTCCGTCTCCATCTCCAATTCCACCCAAAGTGACATCAAGCAAAAAAAGTACCGGGAAGTTGTTGGATGATGCTGTAAGTCAGAAGTGCTTAAACTCTTATTTTCTTTTAATTTAAACTGGCTTTGCTAAGTGTTTGTCCTGATTTGTGGTACAGGTAAGGCGCATCGCAGATGATCCGCCCTGTAGGTGTGTGAATAAGTTCTGTGTGGAGATACAGTCGCAGGGACGTTACCGAGTTGGTGAGAAGATGCTTTTCATAAGGGTGAGTTTTGCAGAGCAGTATGGCCTATTTTTACATAGTGTTATTTTTTATACTGTTAGCAAATCACCTGGTTTTATTTGTAAAGGAGGTCCAGATTTTCAATTAGATGATGTGCTTAAACAGTGGTGTATTTCCTTATACCTAGATTACCAGCGTGGTTATAAGATATATTTACTATGAGTGCCTCTTTTTTATGCTTCTTCTACTCCACTTTTTTGGAGACATTACAGTATTTAACACTGAAAATACTGTTAAATGTACATACAAAAAGAGTAAATGTCTACATCTATCTATTCTCTAAATGATAATGACGTTTCTGAGCATTTCAGCAAGATAAAAAAATCCTACAAACATTTTTTGAATGAATCTAAATGAATAAAATTCAGCCTAGTCTCTAACGAAGAATGTAAATTGCTAAAACAAACTCTTCTCAGTTCACACAGCACATGAGCACATGGTACCATGATGTGGGGCTGGCTTTGGCATGGAAATCATCCTTTGTGTGTTGAGAATCAGCCTTTCCTGTGAGCTCTGATTTACAGCTGATGTTGTTTCATGCCAGTGTAATGTAGCTCACTGGCTGTAGGGGAAGAAACATCCACATATTTCCATATGATCTCACAAGGAAGACATTTCTTGAAAAATGTTTTAATCTTACCCAGACATGGCTGATACATTCATTTGATCTGATAGTCACAATGGATCTCAGTGCAGAAAATGTAACTCTACTGACTCTGAGGGAAGGGATGATGAGTATTTGTGAAAGATAAATGGAGGCTAACAGATTAGAGAAGTAGCATCGGTCCCCTTGGGATCCTGGTTACTTGGCAACCGACTACCAGGATTCACACCTCCAAGAATGTGATTCATACCAATGGTATGTTTGAGATCTGCAGGCGTGCAAAAGAAAGCTTACTCTAGGATGTCCTCTGCTGTCAGCCCTTTATAGTGCACCAATGCCAATCCAGATGTAATCTAAATTTGTAGCATTTTTAGGATTATTACGTTGTTTTTACTTTAACCTCAGTAACATAAAGGTATCAGCAGCGTCAATAACATGGTGCGAATTTGAATCATTTCTACCCTCATGCTGATTGAATGCTTCTGTCTTCTTTGTGTTGCTGAGCAACCAAGGACAAATGGTGAGAGGCTCAAAGTGTCGATCCGGCACAATCTGTCACACGGATTCACTACACACAGAAATGGTCTTGTTGAATCGTTTTCATTAACATGACACATAGTCTTTGAACCATTTTGGAGTGTAAAATATGTTTTAAATGCCTCTCAGTCTGCACTCTTTACCCTTGTTTCTTTCCAGCAGCTGAAAAGGCATGAATGCAGCAGGGATAGTCGCTGTCTGCAGACAGCTGGGAGGAAACTAGTGACAAAAGTCTCACTTCACAGTAACCTGTACAACCTGGCTCTGACCTTCCCAGGTCCCAGAATAAATGAGCTGCTTGTAGTTCCAACATAAGAGGGCAGAGAAGGACCACAGTGTTGTGATAAGTGCTGTCCCAGCTCAGCCTCAGGCCTCCGCACCTCTATGGGCAGTTGAGGAGGGAATTAGCTCCAGAAAAGGTTTTGTCCCAAAGCAGCATGGTTGAAACCCTTCTGCATCACACAGGGCCATTACAACTACAGTAACAAAGCCCGAGGCATGGCACTGGTGATTGGAGGCGCTGCCCCACTACTGCCCTCTAGTTTGATTCCTTTAAGAGGCTTATAAATGTTGTATGTTATACAGCTGGAGGGCTTCAAGCCTCATATCTGGCCACACTGAGGTGACAGTGTCATGAGGTTGTTTATTTATTCCCTATCTTGTTTTCCTACCTATTTAGTTCATGCATCCCACCGTGTGTAGTTTAGAAGATTGATGGTGTGAATCATTATGTTGATTTACTTTCCTTTGAAAAAGCACACTCAGTAAACAGGCTTTTTTTTCTCCGAGGTGTAATGGTGTGTTAACGAGGAAGAAGGGCAATAAGGCACCACAGTGAAGCAGATATGTTTTATGAGCAAGGTCTCTCGGGAATGCAAGTGTTTGATCATCCAATATACCAGCACTTTTTAGTTCTTCTTTTTATCATAACGGGTGGTGTTGCCATGGTAGAAAATCTCTGGAATGTTCCCTGATATGGCAAGTGGCATCACTCTGAATTGTTGCTGTGAAAGAAAAAAATTGCAAAGAATGCTTTGGCTAGAAAAGCTAAGCACATAACTTTTGAATGATGAAACAGGCTGAATATTTCAGCCATTCTAATAGCCTGAACCAGGTCAGTTAAACAGTTCTCCTGATCCATATAGTGCTTCTTTGTTCTCACTACCAAAACATGGACGTTTGTAGTTTTTTAGTGAAAACACTAAGTTAGATTGAAGTTATATTTAAAAATATCTTTATTATATTTCAGAGGAAAATGACAGTGATTTTATTGATCGGTTGACCATGTGTATGGTGCAGTGATGCAGTCATGCCGCATTTGCAGCTTTCAGTGAATACCGCATTACTTAGTAGTTCAAACATTAAGAACAGACATCTACATCTTGCTTAGGGGAGGGAAGTGTATTCACATATTCCAGAATACCAATTAAAGCAAAAGGGTGTTAAATCTAAGCCAGTCTAAGTTAAGATATATTTTCATTCACACACACACACACATCTTAAAAAAGGCACACACCTCTTTCATCGTCTCTAATGGGAGCCCTTTCAACTTAGGCTTTCCTCAAAGACTTGCACCATAGTTAGATAATACCCTTTGTGCTAGTTGCTGTGGATGTTATAGGAAAAAGGACAGGTGCAACCGTATTAAACTGTACCAAAAACGGTTAAACTGTTAAATGCAGAGACTAAAGCACTACTGTGCTGTCGGTAAGTGTGAGCAGGCATATATGTGAAGAACTGTGTACTGCCTTGAAAGTGTTAGTTAGTTAGTTAGTTAGTTAGTTAGTTAGTTAGTTAGTTAGTT